TGTAGTGGAGCCGAAGATTGCCCTGCGGGCTTGACCCGCTGACACGTTTCACATGTCTTCACGCACCGGGTGACCCACTTGTACATGTGGGTCCACCAGAAGGCCTGAGAGACCGACAGAAAGGTCTTCTCGCGGCCCAAGTGGCCGCTGGAGGGCGCGTCGTGCGCCTCCACGAGGATATCGAGCTTCAGATCCTCGTCGTTGGGTACGACCACCCGTGGAGGTTCATTGGGGTTCACCCGGTAATAGAGGAGGCCATCCTTCAACTCATATCGGTGGAGCCGTGAGCGCTGTCGCGACGAGAGCCAGTCGGACTTCGCGCTCCTTTCTGCCGTGAGGAACTTGACGATAGGCGCGACAGCCTCATCGTCCCGATACGCCATGCGTATCCGATCATATAAATCCGTTGTCATCCGTGTGATGTGGGCCAACTCGTAGTCAGGACGCCGAGAGAGGGCATCCGCAAGCACGTTGAGTTTACCCGGCTTGTACTCGACGCGGAAGTTGTACTCCGCGAAGAAGGACAGCCACCTCGCCATCCTTTGGGAGAGGTGAGGCGAGTTGGTCGCCGTCCTCAAGGATGCGTGGTCTGTGTAGATCACGAAGGGTCGGGAGCCCAGAAGGTGAACACGAAACCTCACAAGGGCATATTTCATTGCCAGGAGCTCCTTGTCGTGGACAGGGTAGTTCCGTTCGGCGGCTTTGAGCTGCCTGGACTGGAACAAGATGACTCGTTCATGTCCAGTCGTGTCGGCCTGCAGCAATGCACACCCTATGGCGTAATTGGAGGCATCACAGACGACGCATAACGGCTTCGTCTCGTCCGGCAGGGCCAGGACAGGGGCCTCTTGGAGACTGGCATTGGTGCTGTCAAAGGCATCCTGGTGCTCTTGCTTCCAGTGCCAGTCGACGACCTTCTGAAGGAGTCCCGACAAGGGCTTAGCGAAGCCCGCGTACCCCGCGCTGTACTTATGAAGGTAGTTCGCCAAGCCCAACCACTTTCGAAGATCCTTCTGGGATCGGGAGGTTGGCCGTGCTGCCATGGCCTTGACCTTGTCTGGGTCAGCCTGAACGCCCACGTTGCTTACAAAGCAACCGAGAACTTTAATCTCTGGTGACGCGAAAACGCACTTGTCGATGTTGGTGTAGAGCTTGTTTGCTCGCATTACGTCCAATACTCGACGGAGGTGTGCTAGATGCACCTCCATGGCCGTCTTGCCTCCCTCGGCACGGCTATGGACGAATATGTCGTCGAAGTACGTCTGTACGAAGATACGCAAAGGGCGGAACAATTGTGTCACCACGCGATTGAACATCGCCGGAGCGTTAGACAAGCCCTGCGGCATGACGAGCCACTCCCAAAGCATGTCGCTTGGAGTGCTCACCGCGGTGAGCGGGATGTCGCTCTCTCGCATCAGGATCTGGTAGTATCCGTCCACCAAATCCAGCGCACTGTACAGTACGCTTCCGGCCAATTTGTTTAACAACACATCCTTTCGTGAGATTGGTGTTTGGGCCGGCACCGTTGCATTGTTCAGCTTGTTATAAGCGTAAACTAGACGCCACTTTCCGTTCAGCTTCCGAACGCAGAAAGTTGGCGTCGAGTGCGGGGATTTCGACTCCCGCACCATGCCTGACTTCGCTTTCGCGGCGAAGAAGGCATCAATGACCTCGCACTGCTCGCGCGGGAGAGGCCATTGCCTCGTGACACAATACTTTGTGCCGGGCACGAGATAAATCTCGTGCCGTACACCTCGATCCGGTGGGAGTTGGGTCGGTGGGTGTTTGTTCACCCCGTCCGCATACACCGTCACCAAACGATACACCGGATCCTTGGGGTTCTTAAGGATATCAGAACCCAAGCGCGTCTGACGCTGCTTGTTCAGGTCTTCCAGGACGTCCTCGTCCAAGACAGAGGAGGAGTTCAGCTCCTCCCGAGTGGTCTCAGGTCTCATGAGCACCCTCTCGACAACCTTTCCAGCCTTGAGGTTGGCCAGGAAAGACTCGACCGTCATTTCCTCGAGGTTCAGTATCTCTGCAGCCTCTGGCAATGGTTCCAAGTGGACACCAGATGCCTTGACGGGTAAACCGGTCTCGCCATCGAAGATGTGATAACACTCTTCCACCGGCCTTGTCGGAGGAGCCCGGGCCCTGGACTCCGAGTCGCTTGACGCGACGTCGATCCGAACGAAGTTCAGATCCGACTTGTGGCGGCGGCAGCGTCGTCGTCGACGGCGACCGTGACGTGGAGCTTTGTTACCCACGTCTGGGGATGTCGGAGCGCCGACATCCGAGGCACTCGTGGCCTCGTGTGGTACTGTGGTATCCACACAGGAAGCGTACTCAGCACCTTCCTCTTCAGTTAAAGTCTGGGCGACCGCGTGTGGCACTATGTTACCCACACAGGAAGCGTATCCGACGTCTTCCTCTTCAGTTATGGTCTGGGCGACCGTGAGTGGAACTCTGTTACCCACTCTGAACACGCTGTTCTCAGTGTTCATGACAGCTGCAGCTGTCTGCGGAACTAAGTTACCCGCCTGTGGACCTAAGTTACCCACTTGGTCGGCGCCTCTTCTGGGCGCGGCCACCATCAAAGTATCCTTGGAGTCGTCATATACGTCGACGACTCCCAAGCATCTGCCGGATGCTTTGGTACCCTGGCAACCCTTGCGGGCGCCCCGGGTCCTGACAGAGGTGGGAACATGACTCACCAATGCTCTGTCGGACTGCGCAGAGCGGCTGGCACCGATTGTCTTGCCTCGCCAGTCGATCCAGGGCTCGTGCTTCTCAAGCCAGGGCATGCCCAGGATCATATCATATAGATCCATATCGAGAGCAGTGAGCTGCTCGAGGCTGTCAAAGTCTTCAAACTTGACGGCCAGATCCACTTGGACGTTGGGGACAGTGACGACCTTCCCGTCGGCCAGTCGCACTGACACTGTCCCGCTGCCCTTGCTTTCTCTCAAAACATCGGACAACTTGTTGCAAAAACGAGCAACTGTCTGGCGGCGTGCGAAATTCTTCCATGCCCCAGAATCGATCAAGATGCTAAAGGGATGATCGCATCCCCGTACACATCCGTGTACTACGAGCAACCCGCCGCTGCTCCTCGCCGATTCGAGAGTGCGAAGACTCTCAGGGGCTAAGTCCCTGTGGTACGCGCCACCCGCGCACCCATCATGAGGACTTAGTTCTTCCCCAGTAGGGCGCCCCGCCCCTACTGGTTTCCGGCGTTCCTCTGTCCCCGGGATCCTGGCTTCTGCCAGCGACCCTTGAGGACGGGCTTGGGGAAAGACCGTCTGCGGAGTCTTGCCGCGGGACAGTCGCGCTTGAAGTGGTCCATCTTCCCGCAGCCGAAGCAGCGGATGTCACGCTGTTCGGCGGCCCCTAGTTCCATGGGAACTGGTTCGTTGGGGCTCGTTCGACCGGGAGTCGACAAGGAACTCCCAGGCCACGCTGAGGCCGGCGTACGCGCCTGGCGATGGCTGTACTCTTCCTGAAGAGCCACTTGAATCGCCTCTTCAAGAGTGTTTGACTGCACCCGGAGCAGCTGAGTGCGCGCGGGGCCCACTCGAAGGCCGTCCATGAACACAGTCATCTTAATGTGTTTGTCGAGTGGGTTTACCACTAGGAATGCCGTGAGCTCCCGTGTTTCTTGAACGTATTCATGCAGCTCACGTCTCCCTTGCTTGCACGAGAGGAAGTGCGAGCGCTGGCGGTACTCGTAGCTCGCCGGGAGGAACGCGGCTCGGAGCTGTTCACACAGCTGAGCCCAGGATGTGAAACATCCCGGGGATGTCGCCACCCGTGTGTACACCCAACTCTTAGCACGGCCGCTAAGGTTGGAGAGTGCAAAAGCAACACGAAGCTGCTCGGTCGAGATCAGAGCCGCGTCCATCGCGAGCTCTACTTCTCGGACCCAGAAGTGAAGGTTCTCGCCTTCCTTCCCTTCATACAGCTTAACCTTCAGCCGTATTTGCTTCGGGTGGGGCGGATTTGCTTCCGCCGCCGGAGCCTGCAGGCTCTCCCGCACATGCGCGATGAGCCCCTGCTCGTACGCGTCAAACGCATTGACGCGCTCGAGCTGCTCGGCCGGTGCTGACACCACCAGGCTCTGCAGGGCCTCCATCACGAAGATGCCTGCCATCTTCCGAACCGACTAGAACTGTGAGTCGTTCATATGGGAGAAGTCGTTCCTATCCATGGCAATGAACTTCAGAGAGGTTCAGGTAGTCTACCCGCGGTGGCGTGGATTGACTACGAGTCCTACCAAGTGTGACGGGGTCACACAGCACCTTGCGCTAGAGGAAGTTAGCTTCCGAGAGTATACATACTCTCAGTGAACGGCAGTTCACATGTCCCCTTTTATCGAAAAGGGAGCGAAGTGACTAGAATGTAAGCTGAGTATATTTATAGGTAGATAAAGCTTAGGTTTAATACAAACTATAAGTCACCTTTAGAAAAGCAATGTCATCAGCCAATGGCTGGCTTTGGGCGACCTTGGTACCTTGTACCACATATCCCGAAGTGTGACGTGTCACACTTCATGTAACCAGGGGTACACTTAGGGCTACGTACCCCGTTACAAAAAGACGGTACCAGCAATAAATTGTGCGTGGCTTTGGTCATCCTACGTCGATTCCGTAGACGTGTAGAAGTGAAACAACTCGCCAATGAAAGTCCGCAGAGTACGTCATGAGTGCTGAAGTCTTGGGAACTCTGTGTTAATTGAGAAAAGTCGGAAATGCAATTTGATCTGTGCAATTCGGGGTTACCGAAGCTAAAACAGCAGCATAGACTGAGTCGGTCAGCTCTAATTTAGAGATTGTCTGTGTGAGTAACACGCTAACTACATGTACATGTACGTGAATTCCATCCCTAACCGCAATGGTAAACAGACTTTTGGCAATCATTTTTGCCAAAATACATGCAAAGCACAAAATTATTTATTAATAGTCCATAGACTCTGAGGCTCAGTCTTGATTTCACGGCCCCAATCCTTAGCTTTCTGTCGTGCAGCTAACTGCGAGAAGGCAGTTTTTGTCCCATCGCTCGGTGTAGTAGGCCGCGAGACGACGGCCGTCGTCTCGCCACTTCTGCCATTCGGCGTGTGCTTCGGGTGTTAGGTTCGGGAACAGGTCGATGTCCATGGCGTGGTCCCATTCAGTGTCGTGTAGCATCATCGAGTCGCTCACTTGGTCATAGCGCAGACGTTGGTGGCCACGCACGATTGACATTTTCCGATTCGGTTCATTGCTGAAGACGACCCGCTCACCGTAGGGGACCTTGCGCTTGATAGAACGCCCGACGCCGTTTTGGAGGAACCCTCCGTCAGGAATGCCAGTGATATCTGCTAAGGTGTTGAGTAAGTCGTAATGTTCCACGGCATCTTCGATCACCAAGCCTGCAGCATCACCCAGACGTCCTTCCGCGATAATGGCGGCTGCCACACGAGTCATAGACACCTCGTGTGTGTTCGTGACGTCTGCTTCAGGTGCTTGGCCGTGGTCTCCCATGATAATAACAATGGTGTCGTTGAGGATGCCCTCCTTCCACATGCGATCCATGAATTTGCCAAGCTCCATGTCGGTGAAATGTCTCACTTCCAGGTACCTCTGGATCATGTCGGCGTGAGAGTCCCCTTTGTAGAAGGCAGAGAAGTCAGGCTTCTCAGATTCTGCGTACCATTTTGGCCACGAGTCGAACGGGGCGTGGCTGGATATGGTGTAGTGTGTGATGAAGAAGGGCTTCTTTGGCACATTCTCGAAGACTCGCTTGTTCTGCTCCTTGGTCTGATTCACGAGAAGGTCGCCTAAAATCTGAAAGCTTATGTCGTCATGAACGCCCCAGCCTAATCCGCGATGCGCTGCTCCGTACCAGTCGTCATGAGTAATATTAAGATAACCTTCAGCCAACTTCACCATATCATGGTTATCCCAAACGGTGTCGAACCCATGGGCAGGGAGGAAGATGTCCCAGCCGTCAAGTCCAATCGAAGATCCCGTTGTGAACCAAGTTTCGTATCCTTTTTGCTTGAAAAACTGCGGCATCCCCGTCAGGTTCGTGCCCTTTGCTCCACCCGTGATACCTGTCTTGACCGCACTATGATACGGGACCTGCGCGAACAGCACGCTTTCCAGCGAGCGACTCGTGGGGTTGCTTGACCACATATTGCGGAGCGCAACGCCACGTTTCGCCCACTTGTCAAAGTTCGGCGTGATCGTAATACCGGTGCCCTTGAACAAGTTGGACGGGTCCTTTTCTCCAACGAGGTACCGTGAGTCTTGAAAGCGGAATGACTCGACTCCGATGATCAAAATGTTCGGTGGGTTGTCGCTCTTGACTTTAACGTCGAAAGCGAGATCGCCGCGGAATCCTGTCGTGCGGCGGTAAAGCGAGTGGTTTCCAAACAGCTCATGCTCCTCGGTGTTGTGAATGAACATTTCTACCCACGGTTGATCACCAAAGACGTCGGATTGAATGAGTTGTGCAGGTGCAGGCTGCAAAGCATTGGCGAACAATTCGTTCAGTGTAGCGTTCAAAGCCGAGTTTGCCACTAGGGACGAGCTGGCATAACTAACCGCCACGACGGCCGCAGGAATGAGCACAAGCCCGATGAGGACGACAGTAATCCGCACAGCCTGGTGGCAGGCGGCACGTCCATTGCTAGTACCAGTCTCCGCAACGCATAGCAGCGCATTTCTATCTTCAGCGTTTATAGTCGGGCTTGGCCATGTGTTGACACCTTCCTCTTCCAGACGCTGCTCGACGTCCTGCACTACATTTTTGTTGAGCCATTTGTGGCTTCTGGTTTCCAGATGAATCAGTTTCGGCACTAGAAAATTCGACACCAAGTGCGTTGGATTCCAATGCGATAGATCCGCCCAGCCGGCGTATGCCCGCACAAGTCCGAAGATTGTTGCAACCAAAAGGAGACCAACCACGTTGACGAAGCTTGTGTTGACCTCCTCTTCCGTGACCGGCGCGTTCTTAAGGTGTTCTCGCTCCCTGATGATAGTTGTAACAAGACCGCTGCTAAACCTCATGTCTCGGTGTACTACCAGCAGCAAGTCCGCGACGAACGGCACCATAATGGCCAAAAACAACGCCCAGGACACGAAAAAGGTGGCGGAACGGCCGAGTACGCGGGTGGCAGCCTTGAGCTTGTGGTGACTCATTGCCACGCGTTTGAGGGAGTCAAACACGCACAGTACAGTAGCGAAATATGTTGTGCAGACAAAGTCCTCCAAGAAGCCGAGTCCCATGACCGCAGCCTTGACTTGAGTAGTGTACTCTGCGACGCTACTGTACTTTACCACAAGAGACTTGAGCGCGATGAAGCGACTCACGGAGAAATAGAAGAGTACGAATGAGTAGATAAACAGCCAGCCGAGCCACACTGGTATATCTCCGTGATCGAATATCTCTCTGGGTTGTCCCCGGCGCCGACTGATGCCATCCGTCTTCAAGTTGAAGACGGTCTCGAGGGGGTTCGAAGTCCGGAATCGTGTGGGTGGATACGGGGATTTCATGGCTGTTCCAAATGAATGGAAAGCGGCAAATGTTGGGAGTCTGCCAGACGACGCCTCGTAGTCCTGTAACGGGTGCGCGCTTGAACCTACTGCCACATGTACTTTTAACGTTACTGGCAACGGAAATTCGTGTCCGCCTCCCCCCCCCCCCGACAGACACACACATACGCAGGGTCTGCATGGATAAGGCTAAATGAATGACCTAAGCAGGCCCGAAAGTGCAATTTTCAGATTAATACTTTTTCTAGACAGCGATAGTTAAAAATTAAGGATCAATAGTTTCTGGACTGCTCAAGCTTTTGGACACAGCAATTGTAAAAAAAATGCTCAAATCCGATGGTCCAAAAATGTATTCCACTTACCACTGGAACTACCGCAAGTTCACCGTTCACTCTAATTAGTCGTGCTTCGAAAATAATCGTGCATTCGCGCTTTAGTGACGTCACAAATGTGGGATTTTTTAGAAGGCTCATCAATTCTAAACAAAAGCAACGGTTTTGGACAGATCTCTTTATTCTAGTATGCTTGGTTTGAAATATAACAAGCAGTTTTCTAATAGCGGGCAGTTAAAATTTCAAAATTCTGTGCTTCGACCTATTCACCATAATTAGTCATGGCATGACTAATTAGAGTGAATGGTGTACATGTAAAGGAGCATTCATCAATATTCTATCCGTCAATTTTTTCGGGTTTTATCCAGAAAATGGTCCAGCAATCTTTATTATAATTGTTCTTTTAAAAAGTACTTTCTTTAGAGAAAGTTATTTTACCTCTAATTTGCTTTAGTTGAGGGTCTTAATCAGGGTACTTGAAACTCGCAACGGTTCCCGCAATGGAGCTGTCGGATGCCGCCTCGAATTTGTCGCCGTCCTTGGCAGCACGTGTGGGGCCTAGCAATATCCGCTCGCTCATTCTAGAGAAGGAGAAGGAGCTGCACGACATCAACGAGTACCGTATCCGTACGCTGGAGGCACTTCTACGAGACAAAGTAAAATGATTGTTGCTGAACCACGCACGTAGTACTATTTTATTGATGTTTGTTTTCTCTTTCCGGGCAGGAGACCGCCGCTACAGCAGCCAAACAAAAGCTGAGCAAGCTTCAGGAAGATTTTAAGTATAATTTAAAGCTCCTGGAGGGCCGAGACGAGGAGTTGGCACTGTATGACGCCAATTTTGCCTCGCTTAAGAACGTCTTGCGGGATCGAGAGGCCGAGTTGAGTGAAAATAGAGCTAGAGAGGCCGAACTTCAGGCTGAATTGCAGCGAATGAAACAAAGAACTGGCGAGCAGGAGGCACATTACCAGCAGAAGCTCAAAGATGCCAAAGCTCAGCTGGAGGGCGCGAGGTGGAAATTTGACGACGAGTTGAGGCGGCAAGAGGACGCGACGGGGACTCTGAGACGCAATATCGAAAGGCAGTTACGAGAGAAAGACGAGGATATAGAGAACCAGCGACGAGAACTAACAGTGACGTTCGACGACGTCATGAGACAGAGAGAGACGGAGTTTAAGCGGGCAATTGACGAGTTGCAGGGTAACTTAAGGGAATTAGAGCTGAAAAATAAGGCAATGACGAGAGATACAGACGCCCAGCGAGCGAGAGCGGAGGAATTAAAGACAAAGAACGAGAATCTCCAGGTAATGCTGCAGGAGAACGACAAGGAGTTGAAGTCGTTGGAGTGGACGCTAGCGGATGTGAAAGCTGCGAAGGATGTCAAAATCGGGGAATTGGAGAGCGAAGTGGCCACGCTCAACGAAGTGAAGCAGAAGCTGCTAGATGAGTATGAATCAAAGATGGCGGAGCTGCTGCAGTCGCTGCATGCGGTGGAGAAGGCATTTGTACAGCAGAAGACGCAATATGATGAAGAACTGCAACAGTTCATGGACCGGAAGAAAAGTGAAGCTCAAGAAGCGAGCACTAGGAGCGAGGCAAAGCTGGAAGCTCTTACTGTGCGGCTACGTGAGAGCGAGGAGAGGGCAGAGGTGCTACAAACTGAGCTGAAACAGGCTAAATGGGATGCCGATGACAGGCTTGTGGAGAAAGAGCGCGAAGTGGAGCGTGTGAGGAGCGTAATACAGGACCTCGAAGACGAGCAACATCGTGTAGCAAGCGAGATGCAAAAGCAACTTCGACAAGGAGACCGTGAGACGCAGACACTTCAAGAAAGACTGCAGGATGCTCAACGACAGATAGCGTTACTCAAAGAGAAAGACAAAGCTCAGCGTCAGGAACTGCTGGAGAGTGTGGAGAGGGCGGAAGATTTACAACGCGAGCTGGTCACAGTTAATCTTCGGTGGGAAAACCGATGGCAAGAGCAGCAACAAGAACTGGATGAACGACACGAACTACGACTCCGGGAGGTGCAACAGGTTAAAGATCGCTTACTTAGTGAAAAGGAGGCTGTGGAGGAACGTCTAGTTTATGCTGAGAACGAAGTACAACGACTGCGCTCCGAGCTGTCGACTCTGAGGTCCAGTGCTCGCATCTCGGAGTCTTTTGGCTCTCAGTATGTGACATCAGCCAGACGAAGCGGAGACGTGCGGCATTCGTCCGAGTCGGCTCCTGTGGCTCCTTCACCGCTGTGGAGTGACGACCCAGGAGTTCTCTCTCCGATGCCTGCGGTGTCTTCATTGCTGACGAACAGCCCTCAGCAGCGGCCCAGAACTGAGACCAGCAACAGTACTAACGCGTTAGAGATGGAGAATGCAAAGCTGCGGGATCTGATTCGACAGATGAAGGAGTCGCTTGCCCATCAGGCTGAAGAGATGGAAGCGTCACCAGACCGAACCAGTGGGAGTCGAAGCGCGTCTAAACTTGCAGTACAGTTGCTGGAAGCTCAAGAGCGCTGCGTTGAGCTTGAGACGAAGCTGAGCGGAAATGAAGACGCTCTGCAGCTCGAAAGCGTAAAGCAGGAGCTCGCGGAAGCACAGCGAGTTATTGAAGGTAAAAACACGCGGATAGCAGAGCTAGAGGCCCAGATAAAAGAGTTGGAGGGTGCGACTGCAGCAGAGCCAAGCATACAGAGCGGGCGAGTTGTTCATGAGGCCCAACTGACGGAGCTGAGGCGCAAACTCGAAGCTGCAAACAGCGACATTGACCGCCTGGTGAAAGAACGTAGCCAACTTATGGAACTGAGCAACCAGCTTCGTGCTGATCTGCGTCGAAGCGGATCTGGAGACGCTGGATCGAGATCGTCGACGCCTCGAGTGGAATTCGCTGGGAAGAAAGATTACGAGGATATGATTGCAGACCTTACTCGGTCGTTGGAGGAGGCTCGAGTTCATAATAAAACACTCAAGAAGGAGCTACGTCGGATGGTCAAAGTGCACGTGCAGCTTCAGCAGGAGCGAGAAACTCAGCGTGTCGAAGGTGAAGCTGACGATAGAGACACAAGACATTCACCTTCAACTCGAGACGATGGGGATGGCACCGAGAGACGCAGATCCAGCACGTTGTCGATGATGAAGTCGCTGGATCCCGGTCCTGCTGGTGCCAAAATGCGATCAAAAGCCTCTGCATCTGGCTCTGACGGTGGAGGTGGAGAGAGTGCTACCAGCGCAAGAGATCTGGACGAGCAGTTGCTGGCTCTAGCACGAAATAAAAGACCGAGTGCTCAGAGTCAAGAAACTAAACCTCGAAAGCCAACGCGTGCAATGCCTCCGACAATCCCAGAACAAGCAGCGGGTAGTGACGCGGAGGCTGATGTTTCAGCTGATGGTGATGATCAAGAGGGAGAGAAGACAAAAGGCGGGGAAGACTTTCTATCTCGTTCGAACACAGCAGCACCCATTGGAAAATCTTCTCTTGCAAGTCTTTTCAACGCACCAGACCGAGCAGAGACCGAGGCTTCCAACACAACGATCGGAAGCTCCAGCGCTAAAGTCACGGATGCGCGACTGAAGCTGCAGCAAGCTAAGGAAATGCTCATGTTGTCGGGTAAGCAGCCACCTGTAGCGGGGTCGCGCGCTAGTCTCTCGACATTTGCCACTCAAGCTGCAACTGTGGCAACAGCTACGCGAGTGAGTGATCGCGAGACAAGCAGCCAGCGATCTGTAGTCAAGAAGCTCAAGCAGCTGCAGTCCAAACGAGCTGAAATGGTGAGCGAGCGCAAGAAGGTGCGCAACTATAACCTGGCGTCGTAATACGACCGAACTCATCCAAGACGTAGAGTAGTGGTATACTTTGTAGTAGTAGAACGATACACCAACAACATCGTAATGATAGCTAACTTTATTCCTACCTTGTATGTTTTCTGTTGTTCCCTTCGCGGGTGTATAGTGTGTTGAGTTCGATGAGACAGAGCTGCCGAGAAGATGCAAGACGTAACGCGTATGAATTCCAGTGGCCCCGAGTTAACCTCGTTGGTGCGTCTAGAGAAAGTAGTCGGGCGTCCGACGTGACACATGAGGCTCTCCACGACGCGGCGCAGGGTCGAACTGTAAGCTGAGCAAGTCAAAAAAAGATTATCAAGTCAGTGGCTGCCCTGCAATAAATGCCCCTCACACCCTTCTGTACGTACAATGTGTACTGCATCTGCTCGTCCACTTCCATAATAGCGGCCTCATTCCCACAGCGGTAACAGTAATTGGGCGCACTGAAGATGGTGACCACATTACACTTGTGCGACCAATTGTATCCTTCCATAACCAGTTGATGAGCTCTGGCAATGAGTGTGAGACCGTTCGCGTGATTGAATTGGTCCGAGATATCTTGTCCAAAAGTGTATCCCGCTCCTCGTGGCGAGATTCCCCACCCTGAACGATCATCTGGATCGGACCACAGCAGGTCGCACATTGCTCCCTCGTGAGGAACCTCCTGCAGTCGATCAAAGCCGCGAATGTAGTCGAGCGTGTCAATAGACGGCGAGAGTCCTCCATGCAGACAAAAGATCTGGTTCTCGACGACGGCTGTAAGCGGCAGGTAGTCGAAGACGTCCGTGAAGTAACGCCAGACATTGGGACTGCCGTACTTACGCAGACATTCGTCGTAGAAGCCGTAGACCTGCGTAATCTGGCGACTCTCGTGGTTACCGCGCAGGATGAAGATGCGGTCCTTGTAGCGCACCTTTAAACACACCAGGAGTGTCACCGTCTCCACGCTGTAGTAGCCTCTGTCTACATAATCCCCCATAAATAGATAGTTGGTGTCGGGTGCGTGGCCGCCGATGCGGAAGAGCTCCATGAGATCGTGAAATTGGCCGTGCACGTCGCCGCAAACGGTTACGGGGCAGCGCACAGGCTGCACGTTGGATTCCTGCACCAGCACTTCCTTGGCCTTGGAGCACAGTTGCATCACTTCATTTTCCGTCAGTGGATTGCAGCCCAGAAGCTTCTCGCACCACGCGTCCAGCGTGTCGATTGACAGCTCGAATGGCGTGGAGCTCATCTTAGTGCTGTGGTACAAATAGAGAAATCCTGGCTGCGCCGCCCCCTTGACGCCCACTCGTTAGGATATCTTCGTGACGTTTTGACCAGTGAACGTGCTAGAATGGCTTATTTTCCACCAATTAGATGCTGGTATTACAAGTAGCATGAAGTTTGATAGGTGAGACTTGGCTCTAGTGTCTCTGGGTCTACTGCTGAAATGGAAGCTGCATAGCAATGACAAGCAACCTGGCATCAGATGAAGCATCTGCCGGGTCTATTGCTGCAGGCGATGGGTTTGTTTCTCGAGTGCTAGCAGCGCGTTCTCTATTCTCCGCGTGATGGCCGAGTACAAAGCCTTCTCGCGTTCCTGCGTCTCCCACGGAGAACCACCGGACACACGGTCGTCTGAGTATTGCTCGAATAGGTCGTCAAAGGATAGCGGTTCGCCCACGATCACACCCAGATCAAGGTTCGTCTTGGGCACGAGGCTGATGAGACGGTTGTTCTTGTCCTGTGGCATGAGCTTCTCCATGTTGAAGTGATACACCGGCACCACGATAGGCCGGGTGGTCGCACGAGCAATAAGTTTGCCCACACCCCATTTTAGACGTCCGACCTCCTCACGACGCGGACTTGGTCGCCCACCGAGTGCTGGAAATTAATAAAGAATAAAGTTAATGCAAGTGCATAATTGTCCAGTACTCAAGTAGGAATTCACCTTCGTGTTGAACAATTTTTCCCTCGGGAAATACATGAACCCACGCGCCCTCTTCCACCTTGTCAAAGATAGCTTGAATCATCTACGTAGCCATCAGCATGCATGTAAGTACCTCTAGCAAGAAGGGAAATCCATCGCAATTTCGTGAAGGCAACCCACCTGATGGTCAATACCAGCTCCGCGTTTCACTGGAAGCGTCTTAGCACCAAAGAACACCGTTGACAACAGTTTCCCTTTCGTATAACAGTACTCCTGACTGCAGTATAAACGATCAACCACCACTAAACTTCAGTATCCGTCGCCAGCACCACCAGAATGTCGTAAATCCCGTCTTACCTGGCCAAGCTCCATCGTCCGTATCGCGGCCACATGTACTTCCACGGCATCATACTGCACAGAGCATTACTATCAGGACCTTCATCTTCTCTAAATATTACTAGTCATCTGCAATAATAGTGTCATACTTAGCGAATACTGCAGGATCGTCCACCGTTGCCGAGTGGTTGGATACCGTAATGAGGGCAGTGCCCTTGGGCCGCTGTTCCAGTTGCTGGATCAGGAGCTCCGCACCTTCCACCGTCGTCCGATTCAGCAGCTGCAAGTAGAACTTGGAGGCCAGCGTTGCAGCGCCGAAAAGAGGCACGCGCGCCAAGTCGTGCAGCCATTCCGGGAAGACCTCGGTGCGCCTCCCACCATCGTACTTGCCGTCCCCCAGGTCGGCAACGGGTGCGTCCACATACAGCGCTACTGCACCTACACCGAACGACACAGCGCCAATGGATAGCGCGCTCAAAGACAGTGAACGCGCCAGGTGCGAGCCCGCTGTGCGCTGTAGCATCGAGACGACGTGGACTTATTCAAGGCAGTGCCGGTAGTAGCGCAAGCAATAGTGCTATGATTTTTTTCACAAAACAAGTACTTTTCAAGGCTAAAAAGGTTTTGTAATTTGCAAAAACAAAATTTAAATATTACTATTTTACTGAAATGATTATTACCGTACTTCTGCGGAAAACGTCGTTGCAAATAAAAAGAATCAACGACCAAATGAAGTCGTGCTAAGTGGTACCAAATATTTGTAGAGGTACCAAGAATTTGGTATTTGGTACGTAAATAGCGGCACCAAGCACAGTGCAAAAAAAATACCAGAGCAAAATTTGCTCTGACTAACTCTTTGGACTTGACACTTTTGAAATTAAATTTCAAAAGTGTCAAGCCCTCTTCATCAATTATTACATGTATTAATAGCAGGGATCAACAAACTAGGCGCTTGCTACATAAAATATACACACTACCTAGCTGGACATTTTCTGAGAACCTGGTTTAATTGGGTGGTTTCAGGCCTGATATCTAACTGTCCGTCTATCTCTTCGCGATATTATCGCTTTAATTAACTATAGTGGGACTGCGAGCTGCCATTAAAACACTCTTCGATCTGTCTAACACTGCTGTAACCGCTCTCTAACTGTCCTTCTCTCTACTAATCACCACGGCCCGAGGTCACTCAAGTCGTCCCACTTGCTCCAACCCTGGCGTCCGAAATGCTAACGTGATTCTCACGGACAGCACCTCAAATAATAAGAAACGTGCCTAGCGACAGCAGTACCTACAACGCTATAAAATGAAGTTGGGACTTTAACTAAGGAGCCGAGATGAATATGGCATAGTTGTAGAAGCAATTTGCAGATTTGCACTCGTTTTTTTGTCGCGAAGAGTCTGCCCCAAGGGCCACCGCCGACCCTTATCAAATCGCCAGCGTTTTAGCTAAGCCAAAACGCAAAAAAAAAAAAACTAAGAACCCAAAGGTTTTCACTTCATTCCGACGGGGCAATATCACGGACCGCTTAACCTACAGCACCGGAGCAAGTGGACGGAGTTCCAATCACTTCCGCTTGAAAAGGCCACCCGAACAATCTTTTTTGCTCAGCTCACAACAATTGTGCATTTCTTACCTACAGGATCGGCTTTTAATTTCCGTGTCCCTGCAAGCGTAATGCCGACTCACTGGACTTTGTTCTTAAGCCCTGAGGATGGAGAGGGTGTTGAGGCTGCTACCATAATAGATGGTTTCGTTGAGCTGGGGACCGGTGAATACCTCATCACAATTCCAACCAGAGATCTGCTTGAAGCAATTGTGCGCTGTGTTGGATCGTGTGTCAGTAATAAAAGCACTACCAAGCTATTTCAGGTTTTTGGTCAGGCCCTTGGTAACATGAAGCTGAGGCACCCAAACGAGCAAATGGTGAGACGGTCGATACGCTACGTGGCTGCGATAAACTTGACTGTGTTAAAGGAGATACTATCGAGGGTTTGGTGCTTTTCAGAGATGGCGGACGGTGCAATACAGTCGTGCACCTCCAATTCGACACCGGTATCAGTCGATACCCTGCCAGATTTGATGATTACGCGAATCGGATGCGCAATTACCTTTGCCCATCACCACCCTAGCAATTAACCTCAGCGGTTTTCCCCTCCTCGCCGAGGGATGACACGCCGCATCGATCTGGTTTTAAATTTTGGATCGGACGTCTTCATACAAACACACACTTTGATTTTTACCGCCAAAGACAATGGGACATCGCTCTTCCTCCTACATGTCCCACAAAAGCAGTCTTTGTGCGAGAAGCACAAGTCAGATCCTGCATGCTCTCACTCCGAACTTGCTCGTTGGGCAACGGAGCGCTTTAGGCCCCCCGAGCAGTAAAGCGCACTACCGTCCAGAGTATTCTTAAGCGGTCCGCGGAAGTAGCCGCCTTGCCGGACGCCTATCGCGACCGGATGCGCTGTTGTTCGCCCGTGATTCGCGCGTCTGACGCCAAGATTTTGCAGAAGATTGACGTAAATTTTGTACTGAATTAACAAATAAAATATCAGTGCACTAGATTTGCGTTTGTTTTTTGCTTTACGTTGTGCACTTATGCCCTGGCACTGTTGATATGGTCCGCCCTGTCGAATTGGAGGTGCACGACTGTACACCAATCGGAGGGGTATTTGGACGTCCGGACAACTTTCGAAATAAATGGATCATCTCATAACTTTCATTTATTGGGTATTCCGACTCACGAACGCGCCCATACGGGTCCGAACTACTGCTCTGGCACTTGGCGTTCTAACGTCTGTTGCTGGGATACATGTCATGCTGACGCTAGTTGGAAGCGCGACCGATGGTGCAGTAGATATGTTGGAATGCAATTGCGGCTTCATCGCCAAAATCAAAGAGGCGTGTGTTGCGGTTGGGGCTGACACCGGAATCGCTTCCAATTGGTGCGGAAGTCACCAGCTAAATCTAGTGGTCGATACCATTCTAGGAGTTCTTGACAAGTTTACTGACTTTCGGTCGACTTCAGGGTACGAGATCGCTTTCACACACACGCATGAGACGGTCAAGAAGCGATTAGGTTCTTCACGACGTATGCTACGGCACGATAGGATTCAGTTCATGCATCTTGCCAATTTCTTGCCGATAATTACATGGACCTGATCACACTTCAAAAGGAAAAAAAGGCGAGCGAGCTCTTGCTTATTGTGGTGGCTGCATTTGTTTATGGCTGCAGATCTGACACGTACGATTAAGCGGTGCTTTGCGAAGTTGTAGTACATAACAGTCCTTATATCCGAGCAGTACCAAGTCCTGTACTCTCTAGCTCATACAATGCAACTAAAAATTGAATAGTCTGTCGGCGGTTCACCGAGGTTAAGTGAGCTCAAAGTCGAAGGAGAACTTTACAATACATCTCTGTTTTCACGTCAGCTTTATCAAGATTTGGCGATGGAATGCCAGCAGCTGGTACTTTCCGTAGGAAAAGCCATCACGAGGCTTGTAAACGGTGCATTGGAGATCACGCTGGCGGTCGACGAGCAGGCTAGCCGATGCGACATATCTACATCGAAGGCGGTTGCTCTGGCCACTGGCAACGATTTTGCAGGCGCTCTGGATCGTCATCGCAAGCGGTTGTCGGACCGGTTTGGCAGTGTAATAGCTCACAAAATCTGGACCCAGAGTAAAAATGTTCAAGGAGGATACAATAGCCTTACGTCTTTTAAACAAAAGGTGGAGTCTGCGTCCGCGCTTCCAATCAACGATGCTTGGAAAGATTTTGACTTAGCAAGTAGATTTGGGGAGCTCAGGCGATTCGCCGTTGGCCTTGCGAGCGTCCCTCCTGGGACGCACACGGTAAAAAAGCGACTCCAGTATTCTTAAGCGAGTGCGAAATCAGACCCGAACGCGTCTGACAAACGTTTCGGTGGAGGGCGAGATGCATGTGACTTTTCTTAGACCTGGTCTCGCTTGCAGAGTCTGCCGTCATATCCACAAGAGATTTAAACACATAGAGTCCAAGTCGGCATTAGAAGAACTTTTTGCGGAATCTCGTCAACGGTCTGCTTGTCAGTACCGTCATTTTTGTAAACATCTTCATGGTACCTTTTTAAAGATTTTCTTACTACCCAAATTAAGTTAGACAAAGCACTAGGCAGAAAGTCCAAGTTTGTTGATGCCTGATTATTAGACTTATCCAGACGCGTATCACTCACAGGGGTTAATGGTAACTCCAAAATCGGTGAAGTTAATATTGTGACAAATATTTCCGTATTTCTTATGTGATTGGCGACGCTCGGTCATTAGCGAAAAATCTAGCAGCCAATCAAATTGATTTAAATTTTGTGTCGTCGCGCTTTATGTGCTTGGCGACCAATATAATTTTGAACATGTAATATAGTTTTTCTAAGCAGGTATCTTTTATGCTGGCAGAAAGTGGACCACCTCAAGAATTTGACTGTCGCCAATCACAAAAGGAAAACGGTACCTGTAGATCAGCTAATATAAAAAATATCACCTAATATTTTCTTCTGAGACAATTTGATATTATTAAATATCAACTTAATATTAGTTAGTACTATATTTTATTTTTTTTAAGATTGCGTAATCAGGCTAAATTAACCAATCAGATGTCGTTAACGCTCGACTAGCTGAGGTATTAGTGAGGGAGGGACAATTGTGAGAGTGACGGCAAGGTTGGCGTCGTGTTGGCACTGCTGAGCCTGAGCGCATTAATCTAGCGCCACAGGCAGCAGGTTTATTAGACGCACGATGTGGACGAGGAGATCGGTAGAGAACAAGAACAAATGTCTTGATTTCGCTCTATCAACGTTAAACAGCTGCAAGCATTTGCAGTTTTCCATCTCGATCGCCTTTGTCTGTGTCACAGTGAAATACTAGAGCAAATACTCGTCAGTCTTAAAGCCTACTGCTTTTCTAGAACCTGATCGAAAAAGTTATATGGCTCCGCTCGGTTCAGATGGTAAGGTGGCAAAAAAAACGTACTTAAGTGGGAGAATATCATAAAATATCATGTAGTATCTAATATTTTTCGGTTCTCCGAGTTAATATTAAAATATTATGTTAACTTTTGCAAAAACTAGCTACTATTAATATTTAATGTCGAAAATAGTACTATTACTATCAAAAATATCATATGATATTTGGTTACCATTAGCCCCTGATCACTCATGATAGGGATGACCAAAGATGCAATCAACTTATACAATTTTAACGCCAGCGGTGTGGGGGTCTTGTACTGTAAGTGTTGAAGCCTCATTATTTGATTCCCTCATGGCTCCCGCTGGATGGAAATGAAAGCTGCTTAAAAATGACCTCTAAGTTTTTTTTGCTTCTGCGTCTTATGCCTAAGACTAACACCAGAATTTGACATATAAACCTTATTCGTCGCCGACGCTAGTTAGTTTTCGGGTAACACCATAGTAGGCGAAGCGCGCGTTGACTGTGTGACGCTCCACAGAGCCCCGAGATAGTGACGATAGATCTGACTGGCGAGTGACTTTGAGTCGGTCAACAGTTGGGGCAGTGGTGGCAGACGTGTGCAACGATCTTCGGCTGGAGGCACCGGCTAGAAGACGAAAAGGATACAGAGTGTGAGGAGTCGGAAGGGAGACGATCGCGCAGGAGAGGTGACGCAAGGACGGACTACGCAAAAGGCATGAGAACCAAGGAGAGGCGACAACGGACCGAAGGAGAAACAGTCAGTAGGGTGGGTAGACGTCGTCGGAGCACTGGACGGCCGGTCCTGGCCGCCCAACGCTCAGCTGCAATCTAACCAGGACAACGCAAGGTTAAGCAGCTAATCTTACGCGTGAGGTTCTGCGGTTCTTCCGGGGCGACCTCACCAAACACTGAGAGAAAACCTTAGAGAGAGGGTTGTAGAGCGAAAAGGTCGTTGGTGCGTACTGAGGCGGTAGGCGGAAGTGGCTATTGGGTTTGGAGAGCGGGGGGGGGCAGTGGCTTACGACTGGGGCTGAGGAGGACGCGTTCCTGAGGCACACCTCTTCGTGACGGGAACCGGAATGTCGTCCCCTTGCCGTGAAAGCGAAGGTCGTTTAGGGTTGCCAAGTGGCCGTCCCTAGATGTTCCTGTTTATTGTATGTCGTCGGCAAGTGGGTCATCTCACTTAAGTCGACGCGGTAGGGTGCGTCTACTACCTTTCCGCAATAGCCGAGCAGCACGAGAGCGGTGTAGGATAATGCGTCCTAAGACACGTCCTAAACTGTCCTATTTGTCCTAAATTTTACAGGGAGATTTTAGAGATGTGTCCTAAAAAGCGACTAATCCTTCGTTACAGAATATTATAATTTGTGTCCTCCAGATTGTCCTAAACCTCAAATATTAACTTTTTCCGGACTATCTACGTAAATTTACGTCTTAAAACTCACATTGGCTTTACTTATTGTCCTGGGGCACACCAACCATTTCTGAATCTCCACTACTGCAGCCAAGCATCATGGACCATTGCGGCTACTCCTTCTGCAGCTAGGGCGCTCGCCTATCTGGCCTCTGCTGCCACCTGCGGAAGCAGTGTCTTGTCCGCTCTGCTCACGAGCGCGAACATTCAACAGTGCGGAACGGACCACTGAGATCCCGGACCAGGCCACCATTGACAAGATGTGCGCCTCGACTGCCTGCAACACCCTGCTCGCTGACGTGAAGGCCATGAACCTGGAGGAGTGCCAACTGCCGGTCGGTGTCGGTTCCAACCTAAAGGCCGACCTGGTAGTCTACGTGCCGTCCAACTGCCCATCGACGTCGGCTCCCAGCCCGGACTCGCCTGCCACAAACGCACCTGTTGTCGACACCCCGACGACGCCAGACAACTCGACGAGCCAGGCCGAGCACACCGCCGCGCTAACCAAGACCCCCATCGCTTGCTAACCGCGTCTTCGGATCGACTTGCAGCCAAGTAGCCCTTGCGAGTACTTTGCTGCTTTTTGAGCCCCCCCCGTATGTCGTCACGTTCTGATTATTAACCGTCGTTTGCTATGTGTATGTTGAAGTCGCTCAACCGTTATTAGCGGCTATTATGACCTTCAATGACTGTCATCCTTTGAAACGCTTTAAAAATATTGTCACACACTTTGAAGTAGAAAAGTTTCGTTGAGGTGCTTTTCGCGCACAACAAAGAGTCGGCTGCTCTTGGAGAGAGGGGCGTTAAGATGATTATTGTTTCTAGCTAGGCCAGTTGAGGATGTTTTGAGGACAGTACATGTTGGGCTTGGTGTTGTCCTAATAGGACAGTGGTCTGAGTTGCAGTCTGTCCTAATAGGACAGCTGAGTGTCCAGTTGTCGAGTGTCCTATTAGGACACGCGGACCCTGGCTTGTTTCGTCCTAAAACTCATTGTGTTGTCCTAAATATCGGTTTTTTTATGAGCCGAATTGCTAGTTTTTTATCCCAGGTTTTAGGACAATAGGACACTTTAGGACTCCTAGTAGGACGCATTCTCTCCTACCTTGAGGACAGTACATGTTGGGCTTGGTGTTGTCCTAATAGGACAGTGGTCTGAGTTGCAGTCTGTCCTAATAGGACAGCTGAGTGTCCAGTTGTCGAGTGTCCTATTAGGACACGCGGACCCTGGCTTGTTTCGTCCTAAAACTCATTGTGTTGTCCTAAATATCGGTTTATTTATGAGCCGAATTGCTAGTTTTTTATCCCAGGTTATAGGAAAATGGGACACTATAAGACTCTAAGTAGGACGCATTCTCTCCTACCCAAGGGGGTACTCATCGTGACGAACAAGACGCCGCAGTAGGTGAAGCGACTAGTGCAGACTCGAATCGCGGGGTTGACCGCGCTGGTGATCCCAGTAGCACCGCACGAAACGATGGAGGAACACATCCGGGAAGGTGTCCGCAGGAGGAGGAGAGCGCCAGCCTGGACCATCAGGAGACGGTGAAGCGACGCAAGATGCTGCCGTCAGCGAGTCATCAGGGGGCGACGATGGTGGGGTCAATGGAGAGGCGGCGACCGCCGTTGCTGAAGTACAGGTGCTCAGAGGACGAGGAAGGTCACGACGCGAGGCACATCCCCAAGCGTTCCTGCATTCGCGAGTGCACGGCGAAGTTATCGAGTGTGGACGACGTCGGAAGCGCAATCGCGCCGGCCGATACGTGCTCGAGTACCAAGTCGCGTACGGGACAGTGGCGGACGGTCCCGTGGGGAAACGGTGGCTTGATGTCGACAAGTGTAAAGCGCCGTTGGACGCAGGCAAGCTCGAGGACGAGCTTGGAGGGGATGGCGAGTAGGCGAAGCGCGCGTCGACTGCGTGACACTGCGCAGAGCCCCGAGGTAGTGACAATAGATCTGACCGGCGAGTGACGTTGAAGTCGGTCGACAGTTGGACCAGTTGGTGGCAGACGTGTGCAACGCTCTTCGCCTGGAGGCACCGGCCAGAAGTCGAAAAGTATACAGAGTGTGAGAAGTCGAAAGGGAGAATATCGTGCAGGAGAGGTGACGCAAGGACAGACTACGCAAAAGGCATGAGAACCAAGGAGAGGCGACAACGGACCGAACGAGAAACAGTCAGTAGGGTGGGTAGACGTCGTAGGAGCACTGGACGGCCGGTCCTGGTCGCCCAACGCTCAGTTGCAATCGAGCCAGGACAACGCAAGGTTAAGCGGCTAATCTTACACGTGAGATTCTGCGGTTCTGCGGGGCTGACCTCACCCAGCACTGAGAGAAAGCCTCACAGAGAGGGTTGTAGAGCGAAAAGTTCATTGGTGCGTACTGAGGCGGTAGTCTGAAGTGGCTATTGGGTTTGGAGAGCGGGAGGCAGTGACTTACGACCACTGGGGCTGAGGAGGATGCGTTCCTGAGGCACACCTCTTCCCGGAATGTCGTCCCCTTGTCGTGAAAGCGAAGGTCGCTCAGGGCTGCCAAGTGGCCGTCCCTGGATGTCCCTGTTTATTGTATGCCGTCGGCAAGTAGACCCTCACCCGGGATTGTGAAGCCTTCCAGTTGAGCCATGTAGATCTCCACTTCCAAGAAACCGTTACGAAATTCACGGCCATCTGATGTATTTCTAGATCGAGTAAGGCTGCGATAGTGAGAAGCAGGCTAACCACTTCCATCCGAATAACGGGGGAGAAAATCTCGTTGTAGTCAATTCCAAATTTCTGGAGAAATCCCTTAATCGCTAGGGGCGCTTAAAGCGATCAATTTCGCCTGTGCTGGTATACTTTACTACAAAGGCCCAACGGCTTGTTAGAATCTTTCGTCCTTGAGGAATAGGCCAGGTTGTTGCGTCTGTGCGTCGTGTGGTATCCTGGAGGTGGACACCAGTTTGGCTAGCGAGGGGAATTTGTCCTCTTTGAAGACTACGTCTCTACTTTATACAATGGCATGCGTGTTGGGGTCATCAGACGATAGCCTTTCTTTTGGCCAGAGATGTCTAAGTACATGTATAACCGGGCTCTAGCATCGAGTTTGTATCAGTATTGCTCAGTAATGTGCACATAAGCGCAGCACCTAAACAATTTGATGTATTTCATAGGTGGGGTCCGGTTGTGCCAAAGCTCATACGGCGTGCGATCAGCCGTCTTCGAGCTAGGCATACTGTCACATGACAGACACACGCTGCCCATAGTTGCTTTGGGAGTTTTCCGTCCAATAGCAGCGCTCGAGCCCTTTCCTTAATTGTCCGCATGCGTCGTTCAGCCACTCCGTTCTGTTGCGGAGTATATGCATTTGTGAACTGTGTGAGAGCTCCGTACTTCTGGGAGAGTATGCGACCTAGTTTTCATATTATTTTGCATTATCCGCTTGAAGTCGCTGAATATCATGACCTTCAATAACTCGAGTGTGTTTAAGCACAGTGACATCCCGTCAGAAAATGTCCAGGTCTTTTCGCCGGAAGTCCTCGTAGCATTCGTACAGGTCGCCACGATTCCGAATTGGGTAAGTGAACATGTATAGAGAAAAGTTATCAATAAAGATCAGAAAATAGCGACAGCCAGTAAGACTAGGCACGGGAGTGGGCCACAGATATCGACATGCACTTTTTCCAAAGGGGATTTTACGCGTTCAATAATTATATTTGAGTAGAAGGGTGAGCGGCGCGATTTTGCAAACGTGCACGCTGTGCAGAAGAACTGAGCTTTCTGGTCTACAGTCGCAGAGACATCGAGTCCTCGAATGGCCCCTAGGTAGGTCATGCAAGGTGCGAGCGTTAGAATGTCCAAGTCTCATGTGTAAAAGCAAGAAGGATAGTTGCTTACCTGAGACCACGAGTGCCGTAGCGGTCGCCACTGGTTGGGCTTGAAACCGATACAGGTCAGTGTTAGTAGCCATCGGCGCCTTGAGTTTGAAGCGCTGGTCCGTTTGAGCGGCACACTGCTTGCAATCGAAGTTGAAGCAATAGTCTTGCTTCGGCCGCTGGGACTGAAAGCAGGCTGAGTTGTTTCTGCGGGGTATTGAGGACGCCATGCTGAATGAGCGTCTCTACAGTACCTTTGGAGTCGGTGGCGGCCAGCTCAACACGGCCGACGCCTTCGATTGAGATCTGCTTGCTACCTTCAACAGAAATAGAGCCATCACTGCTCGCAATGACGGCAAACTACTGGGATCGTGCGTCACGTGACGCGTAGTCAATGGTCCATGTAGGATCCAATTGGACATTGGGTTTGACCACAAGGCTCACGGGTGGATTGAGAGACGTAGCAACAAAAATCAGGCCAACATCGCGGCGGTCTTGGCGACGCGCTGTGCGGTCGCCATTGTCTTCGCTTTCGTCATCAGAGTCAAGTGGATTATTGTTTTCCTGTTTACGATTGCGATATTGCCGCTGTCGCCTCGCTTGGCCTTGCCACCACCTCCACCACTGTTGCTGTGGGTACTGCCTCCCCTGCCGTAATGTCGCACTTTGCTTCTGTGTTTAGCGCTTCGGTACGGGTGGTTGTGCGTCGTATTGCTCGTAACAGCAGAGGTGGCAGGCAGAACCGTACAAGCCTTCACTCGACCATGTCGGAGGTCTCGCTGTAGGCCACGGCATTGACGAATGTTGTGGCGTGATCGATCACAGTAAGCGCAGACTTCACCACTGGTGGGGTTAGAGTCCTGATGTGCAGGTGGTCCAGTGGCCACTAGAGCCCGCTAATTCTTGGTGGCACTAGTCTCGGGTGATCCCTTCGAGAGAGTGTAGCGCTCCTAAGCTTGTATGTCGAGGACCTTGCCTTCGATTCTCTGCTTTAGATCCTCATACGGGATACACATCCGTTGGCCCTTCCAAATATGGAGGTCATTCTTTCATGATATGGTCATTGCGTGGACAGGTATAGTGACTTCTGCCCCTCGGCCATCACCGACTCGATGGCTACTTCTGTAGCTTTCATCGCATTATCCAGTTTCAGCAAGAATTCGGTCAGGTCGGAGGTCTTCTTCGTTCTTGATCTCCATCAAGAAGTGCGGGATGAAGTAAGGGTCGTTGTGGAATGATACCCCTTCCTACTTCTCATAAATGCGCTTGAAGATCTCGTACGAGGTCATGAGGTTCTTGACGAGTCGGACGTGGGTGTTGTCCATAGTCTTAATGAGAAACGCCTTCGTCTTCGCTTCTTGTCGACGTCGCTCACGGGTGTTAAGAGGCTGAAGTGTCTCCTTCACTCTGCGCTGGCGGTCCTTCCACATCCGGCGGTGGTCGTCCGGACGAAATTTTTAAGGTAGGCGATCTACCGTTGGACTGAGGAGGTCACCAGCTTGCCGTCCGAGCTTTCTTCATAGTCAGATGGAGGCTTGAGTCTATCGTCGCTCTCCTCGTAGTTTACAGTGTCCGAGTCGACTTCAGTACTCTGCTCCAGCTTGTTCTGCGGGTTGTCGTCCACATCAGATATGTTGCTTCCGCTGTCGTCATCCTCTTTGTCAGAAATGCCGTCGTAGTCGGGTTTCATCACGAATCCAAGAAGGTGTTTGCCATCGAGTGATGCGCATACGCGGGCCTTCCACACGTTAAATTCTCTGCACCAACGAGGCGTGGAAAGTCGTCACTTGAGGCTTGTCTTTGGCTCATAACCTATGGCGAGGTTAGCGGGGAGCGTAGTGAAGGAGGTAGACTTGCGTTGAAAGTGCTAAAAGACGAAGTGAGGTTCATTAGACTTAAGAAGTACTTGAGAGCTACATACCACCCATTGAAGAGGATGAGGTCCATTATAATCATAGTGAGAGCCAGTCATATCGGCTAGAATATAATCTCTTAGAGAGTTTCTACTGTGGGTAACCATTATGTTTAGAGGCTACTTTAACGCAGGTTACTTGTACAGATCCCCCTCACCAATTTTATACTACCCGTGAAAACGGTTAGTATTAAGTACAGCAGCACGATTAAGTTTCAAAGTGGATGGCTATAAGCCAACAAAACTTCGCCCGCCATGCCTTTCAAAAGCACTTAATTGGCATTTCGCCGAGTCCCAACAAGATGGGAAAGTGCCCCGAGCAAGTCGACAACCTCATGTTTGGCCAAAAGAAACGCATCGACGAATGACGCGACGAAGATTTCACTATAACTCTGCGAAAGCTTATGCTGAAAAAGCTCAGCGTGGGCTCGGACTGCTTAAAGCACCAATATAAGGAACAATTTCAAACATTTTAAAGGCTCGTGATCAATATCTTACCATTAAAAAAGGCGATTTGGACTGTAAGCGTGTCCGTGTTGCTGCATTTCCCGTGGTGGATGAAGCGCTAGAGAATTGGGTATTCTAAACGGATCTCCCTCAATGGGGACATGGTCAAGAGTAAGGCAAATCGTCTGGACGAACTGACGGATATTCCTCCTGGCCTGATTTTGCGTTTTCGGACGGTTGGCTGCAATCATTTCAGAAGCGACATGGATTCAAACACTTCAAAATGCATGCGAGAGTGGCTCCGTCAACAATGAAGATATCCCCGCTCAGCGGCAATCCCTTCGAAAGCACCTCAACGGAGTCGCTCTGGTGGACATCTACAAAATGAATGAAACAGGTCTATTTTACTGCACGGCTCCAGATAAAACCATTGCCCGGTGCCGGGTAGAAGGCTCGAAAAAGATAAAAACTCGTATCACTGTAGTATTCGCCTGCAATGCTGACGGCTCTGACGAGCGTGGGCCATTTATCATTGGTCACGCAGCGAAACCTCGCTGCTTTAAGAAAAAACTGGCGAGTAAATTGGGTTTTATTATTACAACAACGAAAAAGCCCGGATGACAAGTGTGCTTTTTCAAGAGTGGGTGCGTGAACTTGATAACAGGCAGCAACGTCGATAATTGCTCTTCTTCGCATCAGCACATATTGTTTCGAATCTGGAGCTCAAGAGCGTCACTGCTCTCTTTTCTACCTCCGAATACAACTTCTCGACTGCAACCATTAGACGCGGGCATAATTGTCTCTTTCAAGCGACGATTTCGCCGCCGTCAGCTGGACCATACGCTGGATTTAGAAGAGCAAGGGACGGAAACGGATAGTTACAAAATTGACCAGCTAGTCGCAATGCGATGGATTAAGGCCTGTTGGAGGGAGGTTATCACTGAGTGTATCCTAAACTGTTTTCGTCATACCGGTCTTGTACCCGGTCGTACGACGTCACGCCGCGCATTGAAAGAAGAAGAAGAGCTAGTCAAGGTTCTGGCGCAGCGCGTAGCTGCCCTGAGAGTACGAGATCCAATGGATATTGAAGACTTCGTGTGCAATGCTACAGAGCGAGAAACTGAAATGGAAGTTGCGTCTTCTGATGACTTACTGAGTGATTCTGTCAGCCTCGCATTGCTGGCGTCGGTGCAGGAAGACCCCGAAGAAGTATGTGAGTATGACAGCGAAGAGGCCGAAGAGTACGGACACTCAGATACACTGCTGCCCAAAATGTCTCTTACAGATAAAGCTGACGTTGTTCGACCGGTGATATTCCTGCTAGCAGAACATCCTGACGTGGAAGCTAGCGTTCTGAGCAGCCTACGTGTACTTCAGAGCAGAGTCCGAGACGATCGGCAGGAAGAACGAGACTCTGCCCAAAAGCAAACGTCGATCAAGGCTTTCCTTAGAAAAATGACTGAATAACACTAAAAAAGGTTTATTAGATATTAAATTTAGCAGCTATTAAGTGTTACGCATACTAAACAAGGGAACGAACTTGGTGGGTACTTGGCTGTATTACGTTTGATAAGATATTAATTATCTCAGCGACTAATTTGGCAAGCGGGATCTGAAAGGAAAAAGACACAACAACATAGTTGAGACTGCGTCAAACAAAATGATACAAACGAACCATTTAAAGTTATCGAGATAAACGAGCTTAAAGTTGGCCAATTGGTTTTCGTAGCTAACCGGAACGGTGACATTTATTGTAAACTTCCATCGAAAAAACTGTAAAACTACCCTTATTCAATTGCTTTTAACAAGGGCTTTTAAAATAACACTTGAATTTTTAAAACCGCCCAGTACTCTTTCATGGTGCAGCCATCACCCGAAGACGCGGCTTTGCACCAGTGTCGGTTTACAGCGTTTCACCCGCTGGCATTCCAGCGTATCCGGCGTTTCTACGGCATCGACGACGACGCGTATCTCTGCTCTCTACGGTCCTGTACGACGCCCAAAGTGAGCGAAGGAGCGAGTGTCTCGTTCGTCTATTACTCGTCGGATCGCAGCTACGTCGTCAAGTCCTTGACTTGAAAAAATAATGATCTCACAAAGCCCTGCCTACGGGTGATAATTGGGGGGTCCTAGAGTCAATTATGCCGATCGCAGCGTATGACAATGGTAAAAAGATAACCAATCACGGGGCTCGAACATTAGAATCAGTTTGACCGCATGGTGCAGGTACAAGCAAGCAATCTTTGAACTGCCACATCTACTAGTACATGCATAATACGCTGAGACCACCCAAAACAACATGATACTTACGAACCTAAGTACGAATCGCGATTTAAGCACGAAAGCGGGGCGTCTCCTCTATCTCTTGAGCACTTATAAGCTACAGAATGCTTAGAGCTGAAGAAGTTGTGATCGCTCAAAAACATTATCTTCATTTATGGGCCCTCGAAATGACGATACATTTAGGAGTGTTGGTAAAATTCAATAACCGTAATAATAACTGGCAGTAACTTATTGCAATAACTGATTGGCCCCAATCTCCAATTTGATCCAATAAAACTTATACTACTAGTTTAAAAAAAACTATACAATTGGTGTTGGTATTTGTGGAAGCATGCGCAATTCGCTACAGGAGAGAACTTCTTTCCTGTCATTCCGCAATTTGCCGAAACCAGCACAAGACCATCATTCTACGCCGCTCACCATGTCTTCAATCGCCCCAAGATCCCTTGCCAGAGCCCTCTTTCCCCGATGGCGACGGATACCATCAGTGTCGGATCTGCTTCTCCCGTCGGATACAAGCTCGTGGCACTGGGTACACGAACCTGGTGGAACATCTCGTACGGCGCCATGCCAATACTTACGAGGACGAATTCCGGGCGATTCAGCGGCGAGAAGGTAGCCTCGACACTTTCGTGAAGGGTGATGAATTTTCCAGGACAACTTATCACTGGCTGGACTGGATCATCATGGAGAACCGCAAACTGAGCATGTGTGAAAGGGCGAAAACGCGGAAGTATACTCGTTTGAACCGAGCGAGCGTGAAGACGCTTAAGAAGAACATGTTCGGGCTGGAAAGTGTCGTTCAGGGGCGGATCAAGTTGCGACTGCGTGGCAAGAGAATTGGCTTTGTTATCGACGCATGGACCGAGGGCGGTACGCATTTCGTGGCGGTGATCGGTGTAACTGAGAACGACAAGTATCTATTGTGCTTTTCGACTCTGATGAACGAGTCGGACATGGGATCGGACGCGATTCTCGAGCTGCTTGACGACGTGTTAGACACATACGAGATTCATGCCTCTCAGCTGTGCTTCTATGTGTGCGATCACGCGTCTGTGAATGTAGCAATTGCAAACAAGACACTGGTTCCAATGATAGGGTGTGCTAGCCACCGATTAAAGTTGGCCGTCCAAGCCCTCATGGGCGAGGACGACGATATATTGGATAAAGTCCATGCGCTCATGGGCAAATTGAACACGATCAAGAACCAGCATCATCTCCGCGAGGCAGACTCTCTCATGCCCGTCTATCGTAATGCAGTACGCTGGAGCAGCACATTCTCCATGATCGACAGCTATTTTCGCATCGATTCGAAGTTGGACCGCATCGACGACCAATTGGCGGACTTCATTCCCACCCCGCGAGAGAATGCTCGATTGAAGGCTCTGTATGAAGATCTCAAGAACTTGGAGAGTGTGAACAAGAAGCTACAAACAACGACAGTGTCCCTGGTTGATGTGCGAGCTCTGTTTGATCATGTCATCGAGCATTACCCTGGAACGGAGTTGTACCTGTCTTCTACAGCCTCTTTAGTCAAATTTCCCGACTTCGAGAATGGGGTCGTTAAGCTTGTGGCTGGCAGAGAGAATATCCTGGCAAGAGGAGAACGAGCAGCTGTGGTAAAGCTTCTCCAGACCTCCAATACCGTGGCGACGGGACCGCAGGAGGAAGGTGAAGGCGCCCATCAGTCCTTTGCCGAGGCTGCGTTAAGTCAGGAGGAAGTGACTTCTTCTAGAGAGGACCTGAAGTGGATCCCGCCTACATCTAATGACGTGGAGAGGCTGTTCTCACGTGCAGGAATTGTGTTCTCACGTTTGCGCCGAAGCCTTAACCCAATGACGTTGGAGACGATAGTTCAATAGGAGCTTGTGGGATACAAGTGCGGTTGCCCAGGCAATTGAGCTGGGAAAGAAGCGGACACGAGCTCGGGAAGAAGAAAACGCGAACTGATCAGATTGGTAAATTTCTTTGTGATTTTCGTACTGGTATCATAATAAATTTTCTACTACAGTATTAGTAGTTTTAGTCAGTATGTTAATAATCACAAAAATGTATCCATCAGTACGATTGGTATGTTTGAGTTGGTGTTCGTTCGGGAGGCGGGGCGCGTCGGGAGGGTTCTCCAGGTAGATCCCCCTTCCGATTCCAATGCGCGTATCCGTTTTGACTAGATCCCAGGTTTTCGTTTTTTGAAAGTGCGAGGCGGCAGTGTCACGGGCGTGTATTGAAAAAAACTGACAAATAACACCATTATTAATGTCTGCCTGGCAATCAATATCATATAAGATTTTACCAAGCCCTGCCCGTAGGTTAATAGGGGGATGTCAAACTTTACGGCAGTGCTCTTAGTTGCAAAGATTAATCATTCAACTCGCTGAAATTAGCGCTAGAGTTCGCCATGGGTCATGAAAGAATCTACCGCGCCACAGTCATCTAGCGTGCCAAAGTCTCCCAGTGCATTGCCACTGGTGTGGAACAGAGAGCAAACGCATGTCCCTGTGTCTTCGTCTGCAATACATGTAATTGAGTTGGTACTTGTAAGGCAGGTGTGCAGAAAAGTGATGACGTGAAAACAACCTACCACATCGCCCCCGATTGTTACAAATAACGTCTTCTTTGGTGCCCTGCGTAGTCTGGACAGCATTTGCGGCCACGCTGGCTGTCGAGTGTGTCAATGCAGCTGCAGAGATGCTGAGCAGCGGAAGGTCTCCCGACGGGGAGTAAAAAGTCACGGTCATCACTAAGAAACACACACAGCAAAAGAATATCAGCTCATCAGATAGTTATATCTCTCGTATTTGAATCGGAAAATTTAATACCATTGCCAGCACTCGAACAAGCACTTGCGCCGGTCGCGAAGGACACACTAACGCTTGTAATTCTGTAAACCACCCAACCACGAGAGTTAGTTTTCTTACGCTCAATAAAACGTTTTGGTAGGTGATCAACTCACGTAAGAAGACGCTCCAACGCAGACTTCACTGTCGCAGTCGATGCTGAGAATGGGATTGGCAGCGTAGTCTCTCCTCGGAATGACAGCGTAAAGCTCCCTCCGTCAGCTGAACAGCTCACGCTCTGAACTTCATCCACCTGGTTGGTCGTCCAGGGATCATCACCACTCGGACACGGGGCTGCGGATAGGGGTTAAGTGTCCAACGAGTTGATTGATCGGTTTAGATTGCCTTCAGCACGTACTTTTCGAGCAGCTGTAGCCAGAATAGCGCACATTCTTTCCTCGGTCCAGCGGAACTTTGTCGCAGTAGCAGCCCTGACTCATATCTGCATCCCATGTTGACAAAGCGTTGGGGTCGGATCCGTACACGAAACCTGCAGCGGTGAACGTAGAGGTTGGCGTGAGTGCTGCTAACTCTCGAAGTGTCCGACACGTCCCTCGATTGCTGCAAACAGCTCCGTTGCTGGTAGGGCACGACACTTTCGCACAAGTTAGACGACGTCCACGATCCATAAAAAATTGACCAACTGGAAGTTTTGCCTACTTCGATTGCATGCGGCTCCTCCAAAGCCCGGAAGACACCTACAAATGCCAGCACTATTGCAGAGACCCTGGTAGATTGTACACGACATCAAAAGTGCGTCAGTTGGTCTTCAGATTGTTGAGGGCTTACTACGATGATAAGTTTGTACCGCATTCGAGCACTGAACAACCGAATTGTGAGCCACATTGTTTGCTACTGCTTCTTCCACCCACGCCCGTCCAGTGGGGCATTGTGGCTGCGAGCAATCGTAGCCTCTATGCCCCTCATCGCACAAGCACCGGTAGAACGGTGCGCCCTGGCATCGTCCATGATTGTAGCAACGCGTCACCGACCCCGTGATTCCTGGTCAGTATGACTCATCTGATTAGTGATACGACGTAGTAGGAACGAGTAGTACTTGGATAGCTGTAATACCTGCGCAAGTTGTCAAGCCACTACCGCTGTAGTGTCCGCAGTCCAAGATGTTCCCCGATGCGCCCAGTCCTACTCAACAAAAGATCAATTTTAGTGCCTTAAACGTTGTGAAGTCGAGGCATCAAAACAATGCAGCAGAAATGTACCATTGCTGGGCCCAAAGCCTGCCGCACATGCACATAAACCGATAAGAGTGTTGCAATTTCCTCTACCAGAGCACTCGAGCCACTATCCGACACACCGAGTCAGCTACACCACCCATAATTGTCGTCACAGCCATTCAAACCTCTTTGGTTCCTCGTTCTGTCAGCGGCGGAGTGGGTCCATACGCAGCTTGGGTTCCATCTGTGAAGTAACAAACAGTTTATCAAGTCTAAGACTTCGATCATCGTTACTTTCGTACGTATCGACACTGACCTGTTTCCACCGTAAGGAAGCTGGTACCTCCTGAAAGAGATGAAGCAATAACGAGCGCTGGCACATCTCCATGTTCGTACGTGAATGTAATTATTGCAGATACGCCGTCCGAGTCACACAAAGTCGCTCCGCCATTCAAAGTGACGGAGACTCCACGGATCGTTATCAAGTCTTCCAGTGCAGCCTTGAGCGTTGCTGCTGTGTCGACACTTCCAACTAATGGACGCGTTGTCTCTCCACGAAAGCTCAATGTAAACGTCCCTGTGCAGCCATTACAAAGACAGGAAACGGACTGCACCTCGTCGACCTGTCCAGTTGAAATGGGGTCGTCCCCGTACGGACATTGTCGTAGAGAGCAATCCGCACCGGTGTAGCCGTGATCGCACACGCAGCCAAAGATCCGGTCAGCGTCCCAAGGTGTGTCGTACGTGGCTGAGTAGAAGAGGTTGTAGTCGTTCTTGGTGGCTGCCATCGCTCGCATCGACATGCACTTGCCATGGCCATTGCAGTTTGTGCGGCACAGTTGCAACCGTTCACATGCAGGGCCGGCGAATCCTGTATCACATTCACATTTGCCATTGCTGCGATTGCAGAGACCTCGGTTGGAGCATTCCTGAGCAACAGCGCGGACTGAGTCTTGACCCGTGGCAAAGTCGACCCAGGGAGCTCCTTTCGGGCAAGCTCGGGAGTTGCAGTCGTAGCCTGTGTAGCCAGGGAAGCACGTGCATCTGATCAAGCAGGCGTTAGCAGTGGGAACGAATATACAAGTCGGTGTCGCTGGTTAGTTAACTCACATGTTGTCACTTCCGCAGGTTCCGTGGCGGTTGCATTTGGACGGACAGGCGCCTTGGACTTCTTCGATTAGGAAGCCGCAACAAATTGCCAGGGTCACAAGTAGGACGCGATGGCGACGTCCGCGCATTGCTCACGCTACAACACAGCTGTAACTGAAATCGCTTCTTTAACCGGCGAGTAACCAAAGCGACGATTCGTTGTGCAAGAGGGTATTATAATATCTTGTTGCTCGAGAGATATTACGATACAGTACCATCACTTCTAGTGCATGGCAACGCATACAACCTCTCAAACAATAGAAAATACCTACATGGACAGGTAGAGATTCCTACCTGTTTATTAATTCACCCTCCGGTCCGAAAAACATGTGCATTTCAATTTAGTGCTAGCACATGAATTTTATTAATGATTTTGATCCGATTTTACACTTGAGTTAGCCAATCGGAACACGTAATACTACGTAGTACATTTATGTTTATAACACCACATTCTAGAGCACATTCTTCGGACCGACCTATAATTATTATTGGTACAGTAATTGAGGGCAGTATTACTGGGACCGCTCACGTCGCTTCTTATAGAGTCACACCGGAAAGCAGTCGGTCTTGCTGTGGATGCTTCCAGACAGTACAGGTAATGCGAACTTGCTCCTCGAAGCTTTGAACCCAGAGTGCTGTCCTGGAGGAATCACTCCTCACAATCGGGAGGCGGTGCTATTAATAGTCTCTTTGTGAGGTCAAGCTTGTCCGAGGGCTCTACACTTCGGCTTCAACTTGTCCTAGAAACGCGTCCTTTTATCTAAATCTAACTGTAAGCGGGTCAACATGGAGGTTGATACGATTGGCGATGAATGCCGACGTGTGGACACCAACAAGCTGTCTGCGAAGCCCCGAGAGCCATCAACAACACCGCGCTGCTGGCACGTTGCTTGCTCACATTTCGCCGGTAAAACGCCTCCATCAATACAACGGGCCAGTCACATCACTGTATTTTATTAATTTCCACCAATAGCATCACGCGAGTCAACCTTGGCTCGTTTTTTTCAGATACCGACGGTCTCACTTTGGATTCTTCCGTCTTGAGCGCACGTCAACGTCAGCACTCGACCATCACTCTCGTCTAGCACTATGGCGTCCTTTGCCTTCCGTCGCGCGTCCAAGCGTGTGGCGCTCATGGGCGCTGGTGTCGTCGGCGTCTCGGGCCTGTCGGGCGCCTCCATCGTGTCGGCCAAGGAGCCGCAGCGGCTCGTGGCGCCCATCAAATGCGAGGACGGATCGACCATCATTCCATACGAGACGCCGTCGCGCGCCGCACAGCTAGAGCGCCTCAAGAAGGAGCAATTCGACGTGCTGGTCATCGGCGGCGGTGCCACGGGCTCTGGTTGTGCGCTGGATGCGGCCACACGCGGTCTCAACACGGCCGTCGTTGAAGCCAGCGACTTCGCGGCGGGTACGTCTGGCCGCTCTACGAAGCTCATCCACGGCGGTATCCGCTACCTGGAGACTGCTTTCATGAAACTCGACTACTCGGCCTTTAAGCTGGTGAACGAGGCGCTGGAGGAGCGCTCTTTCTTTCTCTCAGCCGCGCCCTATATGAACCGTCCTCTTCCTATCATGATTCCAATCTACAAGTGGTGGGAAGTGCCCTACATGTGGGTGGGCGCTAAGGCGTACGACGTGGTGGCTGGTAGCAAGCGCTTCGTGCCCGGTAGCTACTACATCAACGCCGAAGAAGCCATGTTCCAGTTCCCCATGCTGCGTAAGGAAGGTCTCAAGGGCGCTATCGTGTACTACGACGGACAGATGAACGACACGCGTATGAACGTGTCTATCGCTCTCACAGCCACACAGAATGGCGCCACTGTCGCAAACTACGTGAAGGTGGTGCATCTTATCAAGGACGATGAGGGCAAAGTACGTGGCGCTCACGTGAAGGACACGTTGACCGGCGAGGAGTGGGACGTCAAGGCTCATGCCGTCGTCAACGCCACAGGCCCCTTCACAGACGCTGTCCGTCAGATGGACGACCCTAAGAAGGAGAAGATTTGCGTCCCTGCTGCTGGCGTCCACACAGTCCTACCGGACCACTTCAGTCCCAACCGTATGGGTCTCATCGTGCCCAAGACGAGTGACGGTCGCGTGTTGTTCTTCCTGCCGTGGGAGAATGGAACGCTGGCGGGCACGACCGACTCGCAGTCGGAGATCACGATGCTGCCGTCCCCTACGAAGCAAGAAGTGGACTTTATCATCGATGAGGCCAATCGCTACCTCGCCAAGGACGTCACGCGCAACGACATCAAGTCGGCTTGGTCGGGTATCCGTCCGTTGGTTAAGGACCCTCGTCACGCTGGCGGATCGACGAGTAAGATCTCGCGTGAACACGTCGTGGAAGTGTCCGAGTCCAACATGGTGACGATCGCTGGCGGCAAGTGGACCACGTACCGTCGTATGGCTCAGGACGCGATTGACAAGCTGGTGGAGACTGTGCCAGAGATCAAGGCCAAGGCTTCGCCTTGCAAGACCAAGGACGTGGGCATCATTGGAGCTGATCGCATTGGAGAGGTGTGCAACAAGAAGTTCGACAAGATCACAGTTACTCTGCGTGAGAACTACAACCTGGACAAGGACGTTGCTGAGCACTTGATGCGCAACTACGGCACGCGTGCTCTGCAGGTGGCCGAGATCGAGCAGAGCGGATTCTTGGACCGCAAGCGCACCGACCACCCGCGTCGGCTGCACCCCAAGTACCCGTACCTGGAGGCTGAGGTCGTGTTTGCTGTCCGACAGGAGTACGCCATGAAGGCGACGGATATCCTGGGTCGTCGTATGCGTCTAGCCTTCATCGACAGCGGTGTGGGCATGCAGCTGGCCCCGCGTGTAGTGCACATGATGGGCGAACTACTTGGTTGGTCCAAGACCCGTCGGGAGCAGGAGCTGACCGAGTGCAAGGAGTACCTGGAGACCATGCACAACTAAGTATTCTTTGTCCCAGGACACTACTGCTTAACACGACGAGTAACGTTAGATCATCTTCACTTAAACCTGGCTTCGTAGTCTGTCGCAGCTTTATATCCAGGAGTTTCAGGCGTTTACCGTGGCTAGAGGCTCTACCGGTAGTCAGAGCTGATGATGTTGCCGTGGATAGTCCACCGAATCTTTTGCTGCTTGGTGTCGCGTGTAGCCAGGACGCTGTGCTGGTCATCATCGTCTGTGCACGGGAGACGCCGATGGTGACGATGAACGCAACTGCTGCATTCTCCTCGCCTTCGAGTCTGTGGGTATTGGGGCTGTTGTGGCGTGTTCTCGAGTATTGTATGGCGCCACCAAGTGCAGAAGTTCTCGTGCAAGTGCGGCGTTCTCTAGCTCCTTGTCAGGAGGTTTGACGAAGGACTGCAGGTCAAGTTTGGTCGGCGGCGCTGGTGTACGCGTTGACGGGTTTATTGGAGGTAGAAGCCCTTGGTCTTGTTCGAGTCTGTCGCTGTCTTCATCCGCCAGGCCGATGAGCATGTCGAGTCCGAATTGCACGAGCTCTTGGCTGTTCCGAGGGTGCTTCATGACCACAGCCACGAGCGCTGCTAGCAGGGCCTCCACCACTTCTTCACTCTGTCGCTCTCTATCAAACACACTGACAAGTTGCTGGACGCCGTTCAAAGCCCCGACGAGGTCTTGGTTGCGAACGTTGTTGGCCACCGTATTCCGTAGCGCCCACAAGCACGAACATCTCACTCGACGCTCGATTTCAGGCGAACTGTCCGACGTCGCAGCAGGGAACAATGGCGAAGGTTTTGCGCAGATCTCGAGCAGTTTTTCGAGTCCGTGCTCATTACGGAGCTTGATCTGAGCGCTTGGTCTCTTCCAGACTTCGTCGGCGATGGCATCGCTGATCACACCCACAAGAGACGGCGTCGAGGCGTCAAATAGCAACGCGACGAGCTTCTTCATGTCGACGGACTCGAATGATTGAGTTGGATACATTCCATGGTCTCGCTTGAGTTGACGCATGTCGGCCAGCAGCTCCAGCGCCTCCAGAGCGGGATCACACAGATCTTTGTTCGTGCTTCCACTGAGGTTCACTAATGTGTCAATGCCGTGAGGGATTTCCAGCATTCTGGTCTTGTTGACGTCGTGGAGACACATGTTGATGACTCCGAAGAGACCGTGTTGTTGCACTGGTATTTGCCCGGTTCGACCACATAGTCGGATGAGAATATGAAGCCCATTCATCTTCCCAGTTCCAGCTTTACTCGCGATATCGACGAGGTTCGTAGCGCCCATTTGGAGGGCAATGGAGTCGCTGTACGATAACGAACACAATGCTCGAGCCGAGTTCTCCAATGTGGCTCCGTCAGCATCGAGAGCATTGCGAGCAAGTAGCTGCATCCAGTCTGCGCTCGACGCTACTAGCTGGCGGTTGGCGTCGTTGTAGAACAAAGCGTTCGCTAGGATACACAGAGCGTGCTCTCGAATCTGTCGCGTGAGCTGTTCGTCTTGCTGTCTGCGCTCCCTCCTCACAACGGGATCGTCCTCCTCTTGTTGATTTAGTGACGTTTGATTCGTGTCAGAGCTCAGAGTGCAGATCTGGTAGAGGTGATCGATATACCGAGCGACGCGATACTGATTGTCCCGATTCCACGTCAGATTTGCGAGAGCCCAAGTGGCTTGTGCAACCATCGGCAAGTCATCCGTCCGGACTGCAAGTAAGAAGAGCGCATCCATCCCGCTAGCTGCTCCGATCGCCTCTCGAATATTATCATGCTGAGCTATACTGCCAAGCACAACGGCGCCATGAAATGCGACGTTGCGGTTGCACGAAGCGCACATCAGCACAAATGTAGTAACGCTAGCGTTCGTTGACGACGGCTGCGCGACTTGCTCCTCCTCGTGCTGCTCCTGATTGTCGATTTTTCCTCCAGTTCCACTGCAATATCCTGGCATCCGTGGCTGCTCTTCGAGAAAAAGATCAGCAACGTTGTACGAGCGGTGGTCACTTTCACTATCTTCCTTGTCCAAGAGCGTGATAACGTTGGCGAGTACTTGGGACGCGTACGTTTGGATCAGCTCATAGACTTCCAAGTCGATAGCGTCGTGGATTCTTGGCGAGCCACAGAGCTTCGTTAGGATCGAGATCCCGCGAGATTCCACAATCACCTGGCATGATCGTACATGGTCGTGTGAGAGGTGAGAAAGCGCTTGTGTGGCTGCCAAGGTTAAGTCAACGTCCGCATCGAGGGCGTCGCTGGAACTCACGGCTCTTTCACAGAGTCGAAGGAGCAAAGGAATGCCATTTTCTGCATAGATGGCTTGCTGGTTGAAGGCATTCCGATACGCCAAGTTCGCGAGCGCCTGCACTGCGTGTCGAGTAACTTGAGGATCGTCGTGGCTTGACTTGGGCTCTAACAGACCAACGAGTAGCGAGATACTCCCATCCAATCTTCTTATGATCGAAGTGTTTCTTGAACTTCGTACGATCAGAGCTAGCGAATGCAAGGCGTTGCACTTGACAAGTGTATCTGTCTCGGGCGATCGACACAGATCCAAAATGGTCTGAAGCACGTTGGATGACAGCCCCATGTACTGCTGATTGGTCACGTTCGTGTCGGGGAAAACCTTGTCGTCAAACTGCTGCCACGTCGAGGTGAAGAGGAGCTTCTTGGCCTTTTGTTTCCCTCCTTCCGAGCTCAAATCATGATCACTCTCGCCAGAAATGTCATCGATCGGAGTGCTGGGATCCGCCAACCAATTCATCTCGGTCGCTTCTTCTTCTGCAACAGCATCAAACGGCGTCTTCGCCCTCGACAATTTATCCAAAACGCTAGTCGACTGGGTCTTCATCCACTGGAACCACTTCTGCTTCGCCTTCCAGCCCAACGACCGAGCAGTGGCGTTGGCATTCCACGATAATTGACCGAGTGCACGAGCACAAATCGCACGTACAGACTGCTGACTTGAGTGACGCGCCAGTGCAGCCAGCACTTCGATGCCTGCGTTGTCTCGCAGTGCATCGTTGATCCCTGACGTGGCCCCAGCGAGGATGTCAATCCCGTCAGCAAAGAAAGAAAACAGCAAGTTGACGTCTGTGAGAAGACTCTGCGCTGTCACGCGATGACGCCAATTCACAAGTCGCAAGCCGCGTTGCAGTTGTTTGTGTTGCTGCTGCTGCCTTGCCACGTCCCTTTGCATGTTGATAAAGTCCCTGTGCGCTTCCTTCGCCGAGATCTTCATCGAGAGGTTCCACATCTCAATGTTGTTGATCTTCTTGATCTGCGCCGAGATGCGGAAGCGCATGTCGTTCACCTCGGCGGCTCGACGTTTCTCCAGAGACTGATAAGCTTTCAGTAACTCCTCGTTGGCTACACGTTGAGCATGTAGCTCTCGCTTTGCTGCCGTCAGCCAATGGGTCTGCCTGTCCATCACATCTTCCAGCTCCTGCTGTCGCTTCTCCAGCTCTTCTCGAATAGCAGCGTGTTCACGGACAAGCTTCTCACGATCAAGTCGATAGTTAGCCTTCTCTTTCTCGAGTACAGACTTGTGCTCTTCGACCGCAGCACGAAGCACTTCGATGACTTCGTGAGTCTGCAGTCGGACGCTGTCGCTTGCTGCTTGGTAGTCGCTCTGTAAACGGAAGATTTTACCGTTTAGTTCTTCGATTTGAGCTTGCAACGTGGCCTTCACTTTGGCCAACAACTTGATCTGACGTTGCAATTCTCGCTGTTGTTCTTCGTGTTGTATTTGCAGCAGTGCAAGTGAATCCTCGTGACGGGACAGCTGCATGTGCGTCATCCATTCGTCCGATGCTGTGTCCTTGATGAGCGAAGAAGCAGCTAGAGCACGCCAACGATCCTCGCGGTCGTAACACAAGAGTAAGAATCGACGAACTTGCTGCAGATACTGAAGCTTGGTCTCGAACACACGAGCATTCTCCTCGTACAGCTCTCCAGGCGAAGGTTCTTCGTCTTCATCGTCGTCACGGTGAGTGCAAGTCACTTCTCCTTCAAGCTCCTCTTCGCTGTGTTTCTCCTGCTGCATCAGTAGATAGAGCCGCTCAATAGTTCGGCGACAGCTCTGCACTTCGTCCATGAGAGTGAAGCTGAGATCCCAGAGACTCTGCTTCTCTGCCGTCAGCTTGGTCTCTTCTTGCAGTTTCGCATCTGCATAGTCACATGAGCGCAACTCCAGCGACACCAGCAGCGCTTTCGCTTCCTCCTCTTTGGCGTACCTGGCTCGCAGTTCAGATTCTTGTTTCTTCAACAACGCAACCAGTTGATCCGATCTTGCCTCGAGTTCTACGCGCTCAAGAGGATGAACTGCCTGTTTCGGCAACGCGAAGGCGTCCTCCAGTTGCTGCTGGAGTTCTTGAAGTCGATCACGCATCTGAAACACAGATTCCTCTCGAGCAGCTCGCTCTACTATGAAGCGAGCTCGCACCACTTGAGACTGGGCCTGCAGATCCCACATTCGCGTGTTCGCTGCCTTCTCTAGATCCCTCAAACGCTCAAAGAACGGCGCGTCTGCGTCTTCATAGAGCGCCAATTCCACTGCTAAATGCTTCTGAGACGTCTTTAACAACGTGATTCGATCTGATAATTTGTTCAGCTTTGTGTTCCTCGTCTTCTCTGATCTCTCCCACTTCCGCCATGCTACTTCAGTGTCAGTGAACGTCTCTAACTCCCGCAACTCAGCTTCATCCGCGTTCACGCGTTCATCGTCGACTGGAACCTCATCAGTTCTAGCAGCAGCTGGAGTTAGATCTGTAACCTTTTCAGATCTAGTTTTTGAAAGAGCCACATTGTTCCCGGCCTCGCTGCTCTCAGCGGTGACAGTGGCATCGACCTCGTTGTCGTCCTTTTCTTCATCATCCGGAAGTTTTTCAACGGTCAAATACCGTCCAGCAGCTCGTTCCAGCTCTTCTTCAGTTGGTCGAGACTGCTCTGGAGGAGACATCGCCGCTGTCTCTAGCTGCGCTATTGAGGCCTCCACAGTGACAATTTCTTCCTCGACGCTCGCTTGCTGCTTCCGAATCTGTTCACAGAGTTCTCGCAGTTCTGCCGCTTTTGCAGCAGCTTCTTCGTGACGTAACGAGCTCTTCTCGAGCAGATCAAACTCGATCTTCTCCGTCGCCAGCACACGCGACTCGAGGTGCTTCATGTGCACAAATTCTGGTTCGAGTCGATGGCGATCGTGAGCTCGCGGGTCTCGGGTCAACGGTATGGACAGATACAAGCGATCAACGCGTTGCTTAGCTGCAAAGTCGCGGAGTTCTTGCTCGAACGCTTGGTCGTCTGCAGCGAGAGTCATCCCTTTCTTCGCGACAGAGTCCCGAGCAAATACCGGCACGCTCGCTTTGCCCGTGCTGGCTTGCTGAGCCTTGCGCTGCTGCGCTTCAGCTTTGGCTTTCTTTGCCACCTGCTCCTCCTTCTCAGCTATCCGTCGCTTACGTTCGACAGCGATCACAGCGGCGTCTTCCTCCTTCAAGAGCTCTTCCTCTCGCTCAAACAGCTCGCGTGTAGCAGTCAGCACCTCCATAGCTAAAGAGCGTTGGGTAGCGGCACTTTGGTCGAGATCGGCTTTTAACTGCTCGTATCGCTTCTGCTCTTCCTCAAACCGCTCGCGTGTCGGCATGGGGTCCATCGGAACATCGTCCCCTTCTTCTTCTTCCTCTTCCTCTTCTTGAGTAGATCCTTCTCCTTCTTCTTCGTTTGAATCACGTTTTTCAGCACCTGACAAACAGTTTGGTCGTTCATTTTGCTGTTGAGCTTCGGGGTAGAAATTCTCAAGTCTGTAGTCTTCTTCCCAGTCCATGGTGACCATATTCCATCCCTGTGGAGCTTCGAACGCTATAGCCACAGGGGCGTCCCATACACTCTCGCCTGTGACTGTGTTCGTGTAATAGGCTAGTTGGCTGTCGCTATCTTCTAAGGCTTCTAGCATCACCAGCTTCCAATGTGAGGCCTCTTCAAACTGCTGACGAACACGCTCGCGCTCAACTCGCTTGGTTACCAACGCTTCTAAGCGTTTGCGCTGTTGGGCATCAGTCAGATCTTTGACGAACTCGACAGCAGCATTCTTGATCGGTATCAGGAGTGTGGGGAGAGGCACTTTGTCAGGCCACAGTCCTGCAATCCACTTTCTTTCATCAGCTCGCTCGTCTCGCTCTCGTCGCAGTTTTTCTTCCAACTTGTCACGTTCTTGCTGACTCTGCGTCAGTATCCGTTCGTGTCGTTGGAGACGTTCTTGACCTTGTCTAGCTGCAAGATGGATTCGATATGCGCACCCTATCAGACGATCATTCTGTATCTGTAGACGATCGGTGAGTTTCTGCTGCACTTGCGTGCATCCTTCGTCGAGAACTCGAGCGATTTCTGCTTCCAAAGGTGAAAATTCGTGTACCAACGCTTCTTCAATTGCTTCCTTAGTCTCCTCGTTCTTCTGGTCTTGAGCGTCTGCAGCGTCCGAGTCTTCGTCCTGAATATCTCCATTGGGCAAATCAATCTCGTAGGATCCGTCGTCGTTTGTTCCGTCATCACCAGCGTCTTGATCACCGTCTGGATCGACCTGCTCTTCAGCCGCTTCGTCTTCACTGACGTCGTTCTCGTTCGAGGCAACTTCCTCCTCTTCGGAGCCTTGAGCGTCCATCTCAGTCAATGGAGTTGATGATTCAATCGACGTGGCTCTTCATTCCAGATGAAAATAAAGACGGCAGTATTGGGCTGTTTATTATCGTTTTTTAAGCACGAATCAATAGTGATGAACCAAACCACCGGCACTGAATGGGAAGGTGACAAGCGAATGAGAATAGACGCGCCTCTCCACCGAGAATAGCCACGTCGAGGATGAGCTCGAGCTTCGTCCTCCACCACATACAAAGCGATAAAGCCTCTCACACTTAGATTTCTTCCACATCCCCAAGCATCCAGTCAGCATGAAGCTCAACCTATCACTTGCCTGCATCAGTCTGTTGGTAGCATCCGCTTCGGCCTCAGCTAACATGACGGCAGTCAAAATCTTCGACGTCGACTCGTGTAAAGGCGCTCCGCTTCAAGTCGTGTTCACACCCACAGAAGTCTGCAACAGTATCAGCCGAGACGCCGAATGCTCACTCGAAGCCAAGGACCTGGGGATTTTTGCCTCGGGTAGTTGCACGGACGACCCTCGAGCGTTTGCAGCGGGGACATTCGGTGACTTTTCGTATGTGATGGTGGAGCTCTACAGCCCCGACATGAACTGCTCGAACCTCGAGGGTGTTGCCGCCTACCGCGTCGACAACAAGTGTCACCCGACCATCGACACCACTACCAGCTTCCGAGCTGCTTGGAACGGCGCCACACCGTCATTCAAGCTGTTCGCTGACTCCTTGTGCACTTCTTCACCATTGTTCCAGTTCGATTTGGACATCGACAGCAGTGAGTGCGTCGGTGGAAGCATGAAGCTGTTCGCGGTGGCGTCGACAAACTAGCAAAAATAAATATCTTAATTATAGAGTTGGTGCCACAAAAACTTTGATAGTGGCGGTGCCTCCTACACATTGAAGTGGGCGCTCTTTTCTGACTCGCGTGTCCATACAATCTTGACAAGGTTTTATGACCTGTAAATGCGGAGGACACATCTCCCTTACCACTCTGTAATTGGCCAAAAGTCGTCTAACCTCAGGCTAGAGCTGCAATATTTCAAAACGTTCCTGCGCCATCCATTCACAGCCAAAAAGCTTCCCCCCCCGGTCGCGATCATTATCCATTCTGCGGAGAAGAAGGTAACGCTAGCCTCAGTGAGACCTAAAATTAGACAGCAAACTTACTCACCCCCGCTTTCAATTTAATCCGTCAGGTAATTCAACCATGGGCAAGGAAAAGGTTCACATCTCGCTGGTCGTCATTGGCCACGTCGACGCCGGTAAGTCGACCACCACCGGTCACTTGATCTACAAGTGCGGCGGTATCGACAAGCGTACCATCGAGAAGTTCGAGAAGGAGGCTGCCGAGCTCGGCAAGACCTCGTTCAAGTACGCCTGGGTGCTTGACAACCTGAAGGCCGAGCGTGAGCGTGGTATCACGATCGACATTGCCCTGTGGAAGTTCGAGTCCCCCAAGTACTTCTTCACGGTCATTGACGCCCCTGGTCACCGTGACTTCATCAAGAACATGATTACGGGTACCTCGCAGGCCGATTGCGCCATTCTGGTGGTCGCTTCGGGTGTGGGTGAGTTCGAGGCTGGTATCTCCAAGGAGGGCCAGACTCGTGAGCACGCTCTGCTTGCCTTCACTCTGGGTGTGAAGCAGATGATCGTCGCCATCAACAAGATGGACGACTCGTCTGTCATGTACGGCCAGGCCCGTTACGAGGAGATCAAGTCTGAGGTCACCACGTACCTGAAGAAGGTTGGCTACAAGCCCGCCAAGATCCCGTTCGTGCCTATCTCCGGCTGGGAGGGTGACAACATGATCGACCGCTCCACCAACATGCCGTGGTACAAGGGACCTTTCCTCCTTGAGGCTCTTGACAACCTGAACGCCCCCAAGCGCCCGTCGGACAAGCCGCTGCGTCTGCCCCTTCAGGACGTGTACAAGATCGGCGGTATTGGCACGGTACCTGTCGGCCGTGTGGAGACCGGTGTCATCAAGCCTGGCATGGTCGCCACTTTCGGCCCCGTTGGTCTGTCGACTGAAGTCAAGTCTGTCGAGATGCACCACGAGTCTCTGCCTGAAGCTGTCCCTGGTGACAACGTCGGCTTCAACGTCAAGAACGTGTCGGTCAAGGAGCTGCGTCGTGGTTTCGTCGCTTCGGACTCCAAGAACGACCCTGCTAAGGCAACCCAGGACTTCACCGCCCAGGTGATTGTGCTGAACCACCCTGGTCAGATCGGCAACGGTTACTCGCCTGTGCTTGACTGCCACACGGCCCACGTTGCCTGCAAGTTTAAAGAGATTACGGAGAAGATGGACCGTCGTTCGGGCAAGGTGCTCGAGACTGCCCCCAAGTTCGTCAAGTCGGGTGATGCCTGCATGGTCATCCTCGAGCCGTCGAAGCCCATGACCGTCGAGTCGTTCCAGGAGTACCCTCCTCTGGGCCGTTTCGCCGTGCGTGACATGCGTCAGACCGTTGCCGTCGGTGTCATCAAGTCGGTGAACAAGAAGGAAGCTTCGGGCAAGGGTGGTGCCAAGAAGAAATAAGCTCGTGATGACTCGCCTCGGTGATTAGTCGACGACTTGGGTTTTGGGTCGGCGCGGATTTCTTCATTCATTCTTCTCTCCGTGAATTTGCCAGCGTTTGATGCACTTTGTGTGTGGAGATCGATAGCAGTTTCTGCAGTTTGAATAACCAACAGAAAAATAGAAAGGCTTCCTTGCTCTCTCTTTTTGCTCAAAACTTGTAATTTTTTAGTCCTTTTAGCCCATATATTTGTTTCATGTTCCGAATTGGTGGTCGGACGCTACATGTGTAGTACAGTCGTGCACCTCCAATTCGGCAGGGCGGACCATATCAACAGTGCCAGGGCATAAGTGCACAACGTAGAGCAAAAAACAAACGCAAATCCAGTGCACTGATATTTTATTTGTTAATTCAGTACAAAATTTACGCCAATCTTTTGCATAATCTTGCGCGCGAATCGCGGGCGCGCAACAGCGCTTCCGGTCGCGATAGGCGTCCGGCAAGGCGGCAACTTCCGCCGACCGCTTAAGAATACTCTGGACGGTAGTGCGCTTTACTGCTTGGGGGGTCTTAAAGCGCTCCGTTGCCCAACGAGCAAGTTCGGAGTGAGAGCATGCAGGATCTGACTTGTGCTTCTCGCACAAAGACCGCTTTTGTGCTTAAGTTAGGGACATGTAGGAGGAAGGGCGATGTCCCATTGTCCTTGGCGGTAAAAATCAAAGTGAGTGTTTGTACGAAGACGTCCGATCCAAAATTTAAAATCAGATCGATGCGGCGTGTCATCCCTCGGCGAGGAGGCGAAAACCGTTGAGGTTGATTATTCGGGTGGTGATGGGTAAAGGTAATTGCGCATCCGATTCGCGTAATCATAAAATCTGGCATGGTATCGACTGATACCGGTGCCGAATTGGAGGTGCACGACTGTAATACGGTAGTACTTCTATACTGTAGTACAAAGGTCCCTCTCGTTATGTGCGCTTGTTAGGATTCATCTCCTGCAGGTGCATTTATTTCAAAGGTTTAATACACACAAATCTTTTTTTGTGTCGCATAAATATTCAAATCCTATTCGATGAAACAGGTGCGTATAACTAGATCCTACATGTAGTATTATAGTACACGCAGTTAGCGCCACGAAACAAATATCTCAGGTTGCTGTAACCTAAAAGTGATCCTGCGCACATTCATTCTGGTCATTTCACTGGTTTCATCACGGTCTCGATGGTCTTAAGTGTGTGGTCCCAGACGGTATTCTTGAGCTTGTCCGTGTGGTATTTCGTCTTGGAAAGAGGCTCTCCACGTTCTCCCAACAGCTTCCACCCCGTCGCGAACTCGGGTTTCGTAAGAGTGGCGACTAAGTACTCAGCACATCGTTCCGGCGAGTGCGCCGCGACTACTGCGAAGACTTTGGATGGCACTCGAACATACCACGGAAAGCGGTTGAACAGCCCCGTGTTGACAAAACCAGGGTAGATGTGCATGAAGGACGCGTTGGGTGCGTGCTCCGACAATGCCTGCGCCATCAGATCCCTGATACCAAATAACCAAAGCAGCATTAATCACGAGCTAGCCCATATTGGTACGGATCCGTTAGCAACGTACGAGTAGAGCGTCGTTGCATCGGCGCAGTGTTTGATCGAGTAATTCGCCTTCAGATCCAAGTCGTTTAGATGAGGCGCTCCGCCACGACCCGCTCCCAGCACGTTAAGCACACGTACTCCTGGACGGTCCAGCCCTGCCAGCAAGTCGTGCACCAACATGAAACTGTCATCCACCCATGTCAGTCTCAGCATCAAACTATCCTACCCATTTATTGTTCTGCACCAAGACTCACCGTCCGTAATAGTGAGTGCTCATCTTGACATCGAGTCCCTCCTTTGTCTCGGTGCGTCCATTGAGTGACAGGATACCGGCCGTGAGGACGATCCAGTCGAACTTGGTGTCCTTGTGTCGCGCAGTGAACCGACGTACCTCGTGCAAAAGAGACACGTCCAAGCGTTCGTAAACCACATCAAGACCCGGGTACTTGGCACGGATGGACGCTACTAGGTCCGGCGGGCATCTCCGCGAGCACAACGTCAGCTTATCGACCATAGGCGCCATTTTCAGCGCCACGGCGAGCCCGATGCCCGACGAGGCACCGACAACTAGCGCGTGCTTGGCCATCACCGAAGGAAAGAAAATTAGTTTGTGACAGTCCTCGTTCTACCGAGCAAATCTCTGCGAAATGTGGTGCCAAGAGTCATTGTGAACCTCTTGTGTTGAAGATGAAGGGGGTGAATGGGACGATACAGTTACCAAAAAGTGTCAATTTAATACATCAACCATCACACTCGTCTACTGCAAGTACTACTGATACGTCGTGCAGTGTTGCAGTGTTGCTAGCATTCCCGACTGGACTCCGTAATAGTGGAGACGACGACGCAATAAACTACCAGTAAATAGCTCGGGTAATGGTGTGGAGCCCAGATCGACGAGACATTCCGAGTAAATGTTTTCCTCATCTCCGAACTTGCCGAGTACAGCTCTTGGCTGTCGTGGCGTCATGTGTGTGGGGAGAGCGTTGAACATATTGTTCCATCGCGTCTTGGGCGCTTCTTTGATTCCTTCTGGGTACGGATCTAGTAGAGCTTTACCGTTTACATATAGCATTTCAGGGTCTTGATCGTTTATGGGCATGTAGTGGAGAATACTACCGCATAGTGTGTCGGGATGCAGCTCCATATCGCGGTTAGGAGTGGACGATACGCCACTGACCCCCCACGGTGAGAAAGCGTAAGGCACATGGGCCATCTCAAAGGCGAGCCAGAAAGTCTCCTTGTCCCCGAAGGAATAGCGGAAGCGGAAGCGTTCCTCAGTGATGAACCAGAGCATGATGTCCATGACGCGCTGTCCTGCGCGGTCTTTGTCTACGAGCACCAAGGACGAGTCCATCTCGTGGCATGTCTTGTTAGTATAGGCAAAAGACTCCAGCGCATGCTGCGACGGAGAGTTTCCTCCCAGGACGTTAAATCGGCCGTAGTCGAACGTAGCGAAGAGTTTCTGTAGATAATGCTCGTTGCCGTCTATGCCGTTGATATGTTCGTAGCAATTCGAGTGCACTCGGTCGTAGAAAAACGTCGTGCCTGTTGTCTTGTATGGTTTGAGATCCCGTAAGGCAGCAGGATTCTTAATACTAATATCATCCACATCCATGAGCATAACATGGCGGAGGTCTGTATGATACATGGCCAGGGGTTTGATCCACCAATTACGGAACTTGTCGGCCATTGTCTGGTTGAGAACACCCTGCCCCACTAGGTCCCCACACACATCAACGAGCTCCAGCCTATCGTCTATAGTGAAGAGTAACATCTTGGATTGCTCCGACAGCTCTGAGCCGCAGTGATACACTTGCACCAGCTCTTTATTCCCAAGACACCGCAGCTCTCGAATGAGCGACGCACCCATTGCCACCACCTTATTGTGCATGCACATAACAACTCCTCGATCTCTCTTGACCCCTTGATCAAAGTTATCTCCTCGATGGTAGAATACGGACTTAGGGTGCAGCGTGCCGTCAACTAAGTTTTGATGGCGTCGCCGGATGCTCGTCGGGCCTTCAAAGACTTCGTACTCTCCGTCCGTCGTAGTCGTCATCATGAGCAGCCCATATACCACAAGAATCGGGACTAGAAGCAGCAGCCAGCGCCGTCTAGCCAGCGCCTTAGCCCCTATCAATAAGAGCGCCGAGTTCGCTCTGGTCTTCCTTGCCATCACGACGTTGAATAGCCCAACATGCTATTTCGTGGGCTCTTTAATTTCGGGGAGCCTCTTCCCGAATTTAGAGAGCCAGAAATTAGATAATCGGGACTCTCATAAAAAATCGAAAAAAGGTCCCTGGGCTCACATTGTGACTGTGAGTCACAAGAAGCCCACTATTTTCGAGAGCCCGACTCCCCTAAAATGCCGGCTCCCGAGAGCCTCAAAAATTTTTTAGGCTTCCTCATCTGCCTTTTAATCTTGGGCTCACAAAATTACCGTAAAAAAGAGCCCACAAAAAATATCGAAGCTGGCCGTTAGCGGAAATTTCTTGCAGAATTGACAACACTATTTCTTGACAAGATACATAATGTATCCGCAAGGGCTCCTATAATCGCTAGCGGCTTTAATTGTCCTTTCACAACGAGTAGCGCAGCCTTGAGCCTCGGACGCTTGGAGACGAACACGTTGGCGTGAGCAAGGGCGGGATTCTCCTTCAGCATGCTCTTGAGTTTGTCGACATGCGGATTTCTCTTGACGAGTGTCTTCAGACTGGAGATGCCCATAAACGCTCGCTCTTCGTTTGTCATCGTGTTGCTTCCCTTCAGAAAGCGCCTTACGTTGCCGCTGCTCGGAAGCACGCGGGTGGAGTCCGTCGCTGCGTTCTTAACCATGGCGATTTCTTCAGCGACAGCAAGACTGTAGCAGCAAGTTGCAGAGTGAAAATTATTATAGCGGCAGTAAGGGATGGGGCTAGCTAATCCAAAATAAATTATTATCTTTGGATAATCGGCGATAACTTCACCAAAATAGCCTTAAATTAAGTGCAAAGGGCGCGGATAGAAAGCTGAGGTTTCGTAGTTCCTTCTTCCATAAATTAAGACTCTTCATCTCTTTCATTTCAGGAAGTGCAATGCAACGCAGACACCAGCTCAGTCCGGACGAGAAAACCCTAGTTTGCAATGTATATGATTATTTCGTCGCCGAGGCCAAAGCAGGCAGAAGTGGAGGGCGGGACTCGCGCGATCGAACTAAAGAGGCGACGCGCCTTGGGAAAAGCACAGTTTTTCGGGTGCTCTGGGCATGGAACCTCGACCCAGACACCAATTTCGCCGAGGTGCGCTTGTCATTTTGGCCTATGTAGGGTTAAAACCGCTCTGTCGTGATATCATATGAAAATCTTATAATTTAATGCTTTCGCTAGTAGAAGGTACCATTCAGCACGAGGTCGCAAGAAGCTCATGAGGAAGATGGTGAGTAATTACTCTTTAAATTTATACAAATCCTTCTTTTTAAATTTGAACGTTTTATTTTTAACGCCTGTTTGTACAACTGTTTTGCCCTTTCCACACTCTTGACCAATAGAATATCAGCATTATAGCAACTGTTTCCCCGTTTAAAGGTCCTCGGAGACACCTTTTTGGGGAGCCTGTAGCGACAAAACTACTGCGAATTAGCCGGTTTTAACACCAAAATCATACTCAAAATGGGCGGTTTTATCACATATCTAAATGTCATATCTGGTTTTATCAAAATTGAGCACCCCATGGGGATTTGATTACTAGCCCCTTCATTTTCTGCCGCTATAATACCACGAGCAAGAAGCAGCGGAGGTGCATCATATTCGATTCGTCTTGTGAATTGAGAGCTGAGAGCTGACCGTGAGCCCCAGGCATGTTGCTGAGAACGGACCTTGCAGGGAGCTCGTTCAGCGACCGAGCACTACACGAGGATTTGCAAGTTGAATCTCTGAGATTCCCCATGAAGTCGACGTTTCCACTACGTTCTTTCTCACACCAAATAAACTTGGACAAAGCTCCAAGAAGTCTTAGCTTAAGCTACTGAATTGCATCACTATATGTACTTGCAATGTATCAGGACACTAACCAATTTCGACTGCACCATCACTCTTACAAACACTCTTCAATTCACTTCAACTTGTCCAGTCGACGCGACCACTCACCTACTTGCAGGCGATGACATCGGTCCCCGGTCCGCCACCATCGACGCGAGAGCCTGGACACACGGGTGTGGCGTCTGTGCGCTTACGACGCACTTCCGCTCTAAAACCGGCGGAAGCGCCTAAGACAGTCGCTACTTCGAACCAGGAAGGAGGCAATGGAAGGCGTGGTCGCAAGGCAGGGGCTCGAGCCAATCGCCAGGGCCCGCAACTGTTCACTTTTCAACGACCTCGACGAGAGCAACTCGAGTCGAATATCACGATTGCAGCCCTGCAGGAGAACGTATCGGCTCTGACACTTTTCAATCAGAGGGAGAAGGAACTGTCAGCTTCGTTGAGGCAAGAAGTGGCTCAACTTACGGAGGCCATCGCCAGACTTAATGGTAGGGATAAAATACAGTGTTATGATAATTTCACTGACTGGTAGATACAAAGCAGAGACCCAAGGGGTGCAGAGCGTGCAACAAGAGAGACCTGCAACGCCTCAGAAGCAGAAACTTGTGCGCAGTAGTGACGAACGATTGCTGCCTCCTATTCACAATGGCTCGACGCTGTCAGCGTCCACGGTAGCTCTGCAACAGCATACGCAAATGGAGGTGTCGTACCAGAGGAAGGTGTGGGGCTAGCGCAGGCCAAGGACCACAGCGCTTCAGCTGACAACGTTGCTTTGTTGCGTGTTGCAGGTGTTGTCGCTCGAGAATCGGTGCCTGCACATGACGGACAACAACAAGAAACTCTTGACCATGATCGAGCAACTTGAAGACGCTCAGACTGAAGCAAATCTTCAACTGGAAGCTTCACGACAGCAAAACGCACAGCTTTTGACCGAGGCAGAGAGCTCTAACAGCACCATCAACTCCCAGTCGACCCTGATCGTTGGACTGCGTTCGACAGTGCACAGGCTGAATGTACGCGCCTTGCCTGGATGGTTTCTTCTCTTTACTAACGCTTCTAAGTGCCCCATGTGACGTCTTTTATCGACCAGAGAGACGACAAGTTAGTCGAAAACCTGCGCAACACATTGGAGCGATGTCAACGCGAGCTCGACGCGGTGAAAAAGCGCGATAAACTGCTTCAAGAAGAGCATGCAAAGTTAAAGACCTCGACAAGTCAGGAGAAGGAAGCGCTGGTGTGTAAACTTCTGGAGTTTCAGCAGCGTCTTCAGCAAAACGATACTGCGAGAGGCAACGTTATCGTCCTGGAGAAGGAGACCAAGAAACTCCAGCAAGAGAACAAGACGTTAAGAGCCGACCTCCAAGCATCAAATACCCGCTGCAACGACGTGCAAGCTCATGCCTCTCGGCTGGATAAAATGTCCGAGGAGTTCGTAGAGGTATCTACTGTAGACATCCACCACGACTACGAACCATGATTAATGCTAATGAATTTGCTGCATAACAGGTGAAGAGAACGATGGATAACGAGATCACTGAGATTGGGTCCATGCTCAGCGCTACTCGACAAGAGCTTGAACTCTGCATTCAGAGACAACAAGAGGCAGAAGAACGAGCCCAAAAGGCAGAGGCGCATGTTGCAAGCTTACAGGGCGTTGCCGACCGGTTCCAAGCAAAAGATGAAGAGATCGGGACTCTAATGCAGAAAGTGATGCACCTGGAGGACGATGTCAATGAGCGAGATCAACGATACGCAGCATTGCAAGAAGAATTGCGCAGAGCGAACACGGAGCTGCACGGCATCAAACAACTGTCCCAAGACGACACCGTCCAGGCTTTGCAGATGGCACGTCAAAAGGCCGCAACTTACGAAGCGCTGACACTGTTGAATGAGGAGAAGAAGGCGCTGGAAGAACAACTCCGATTGGTCGAAGGACGACTTGAAGCTGGTCGAGTAGCTTTGGATGAAGCGAAGGATGTCAATCAGCGTCTAGTGGCTGAGTTAAACGCTCACGTAATAACTATTGAAGAGCTGCGGAGGGAGAACAATACGCTGCAAGAGCAGCAGAAGGAGAACAATACGCTACAAGAGCAGCAGAAGGAGAACGACACGTTGCAAGAGCAGAGAAACGGCTCGCAAGTTCTTGAGAAATCGGTCACGGATACCGGTAGTCAGACAACCGAAGAACTAATCAATTACGAGACTTACGCTCAAGCAGCAGATCATTTAAGGACTGTCACCGGTGAGCTGGAGAGCCTTCGAGCTGAGTTTGAAGAGCTCCAACAAAGCCGCAATGAGCTTCAAGATAGTGTTCAGAACTTGCAACAAACTCAAGATGAGCTGGAGGTCGGCTACAAGAAGACAGTGTCTCGAGAAAGATACAAGTCCGAGTCATTCCAAAACCAGCTCGTGCTCTTGCAAAACGAAAACGGGGAGCTAAGCGACAAGATGGAGGCTCTGTACAACGATCTGAGAAAAGAGCAGCAGCTCAATGACGCTCACATCCTGGAGATGGCCGAGCTCAAGCAACGTGTGCTGTCTCGTGAGGCCATCCAGCTGCTCCGTCAGACACAAGACTCGCTGGAGAAGACTGTGAATTCCCTCCTGGAGGCTGAAAATGCATCGGAAAGCACCTTCACATGTCTTCAGTGTATGCAGCTTTTCACTGAGCCCATGACACTCGCGCCCTGTGGTCACACGTACTGTGCTGCGTGTTTAGCCAAGTGTGGCAGCTTGGAAGCACCGTCTTCCATCGCGTGTAATATGTGCGAGCCAAGTGTCAAGAAGGAGACCGAGTGCATCTTCCCCAATTGCGCTTTGGCGGATCTCACGGCTCGGTTTATATTCCGACAACAAAGTTTAGCGTCACTCACGACCATGTGTCTATCACTCCGCAACAGCTTTACACAGCGTGGCCCAAGCTCCAGCTCAACAGAAAATCTCATCGCAGAAGATTAAACTTTCTATGACTTATCCAGTCATTACAACGAGAGAGCCACGATGCCTTTTAGGACGTGTGGCCGGCTTCTTAATCTTGATCTTGTAGTCCTCCATGCTCCGTTTCTCGAGTAGGCGTTTGACTTGCAGCCAATGAGCAACGGAGCGCTGGATACGTCGGACGGCAAGATACTCGTGCGCCTGGTAGTCGAGCCGGTGGTGACTGGGAGTGTCGTATGAGGGCAGCTTAATGTTTCCAATTCCTTCGAGGTCATCATCGACATCCTGCGCAAAGACACAGCAATTAGTACCGAGATATCAATATTAGTGAAGGTATAAACGCACCTCTTTCACCATCTCGCGGGTCATAGCGAGCAGAACTTCAGTGAAATACACGGTATCTCCCTCGTACATGGGTAAGTGTAGCTTACCTGTAAACATAAAACAAGTTAGGAAACCACATCCAACCCAAAATTTGAGAACCCCAACATCTTACTCATAAACTGTAAAAACGCGTTCTTGTCGCTCATAACTTCGGGTTTCACGAGTGGCGGCTCGAGAGTTGCGACGACAGCATACAACCTGACAAGCGGGACGAATCCTTTGGCCTTCGGATCCACTTTGGCCCATTTGTTCTGGAATTCACGCAGCAATTCGGGATCAAAAAGCGGTTCCTCGTCCTCGTTCGAGACAGAGAAACTCTCGAGAATCACCGCCACTGTCACATTGAGCATAACGTACGTTCCTAGTGACGTGAAGGAGCAGAAAAACAAGTACGCAATGGGATTTCCACACCCGTTGAGCGGAATACAGTCGACAGAGTCGCTGAAACCACACATGTTCGGATCATACGGAGGATCGTCAACACAGCCTTCTGGACTGGAGGCGAAGTCGTGCATTCAGTCATCCCAACTCTCCCCGGTTGCGGCACGTATCATGAAGAGAAATCCTCTGCCAAAGCTTTACAAATTCGCGTGCTCGTCGATGTTGTCGTTTAAGCCGACTTTAGCGAACATCTGCACCCCCATAGTAGTGTAGATGAAGAGTAAGAGGAGAAGGATCGACGACACGTTTCTGAGACCCGGGAGAGCCAAGTAAAGCGTAGTCAGGATATGTTGGACCCCCTTTGAAGCTTTTACCAGTCGAACTATACGAGTTACACGAAACACACGAGCCAGCACAGCCAGAACTCGAAGGTGTGCGGTCGTTATCGACTCAAGCACGACGCTTAAGAGTGTCCCGAGCACGACGAAGAAGTCGAAGCGGTTCCAGTTATCGTCAAAGTACACAGCCCCATACGCGATGATCTTTAATGTCGCCTCGCCGGTGAATACTACGGCGAAGATCTCGTTGAGAATATTCACGATGGTTGTGTGTGTGGTTGACTGTCCGTAATACTGCGTAGCCATCAGCAGCATATTGACGATAATACAGATCATGATGAACCACTCAAACCGTTTGTGCCTTACGAAGAAGAAGGCTGCTCGTCGGACTGGATGCTTGAATGGTACGAACACCCGTTGAGGACCAACCCTGGCTGCTGATTTTTGCCCCCTCATCCACTTTTTCTGCTCGGATGTCAGCATGAAGGAGTCGTCGAGAGCATCCGTCATTCTGTTAAAGTTATCGATAATAACACCGACGAGCAAGTTGACGACGAAGTAGCTGCCGAACATCATGAAGACGACAAAAAACCCAGCCCACCACACGTTGTAGTCGCGTATCGGCTGCATGTCAATGTCAGTGGCATCGATGCAAGCGACCATAAGTAAACTCCAGTTCTCCGTTGTGGACATTTCAAAAAACGTGATCATAGCGTTTTCCACGTTGTTGAAGTCTTGCGGGACGACAGGACTCCAGTCAGCACCCCAGCACCCACAGATATACTTTGATGTCAATGAATCAGTGGGGAACCCCATGCAGCTTGTGTAAGTGAACCAGTGCTGCTGGTCGAGTGAGAGGGGAGACCACGGCTTAGGACTCCCGAGAAAAGCCACTTGAGCTTCGGAAAGTGCGTCGAAAACGTCGCCACTACAGGAATCTAGTCTGCCTTTGAGGTAGGTGACCGCGAAGATGCTGAACATGAGGTAGAAGAGTGCACAGATGATCAGAACGTTGGATACCGCAGGAATGGCTTCGATCAAGGCGTTCACTACGAGTTTGAGTCCTGGTCTGCGGCTGATCACTCGCAGAGGTCGAAAGGTGCGAAAAGTACGCAGAGATCGCAGAGATTTCAACGACTGCCGACTGCTTGAAGACTCCGCTAGCATTGCGAGTGAGCTGACGACGATCACACAGTCGAGCGTGTTCCAGCCATTGCGCAGATATGATCCTCTGTGTAGTACAAGTCCCATTGCCACGATCTTAAGGACCATCTCACAGGCGAAGATTACCGCAAAAAGTGTGTCCAAGCGCTTAAGCCCAGTCGCTAGCGTGGGTTCAGGATTCTGCAGAGGATTGTCAACAGCCAATGTTATGCTGGACACAGTGACGAGAAACAGAGCCACCGAGTCGAAATACGGATGAGCGATCAACTTGAGCGTCCACTTCCGCACTCGACTGCCTTTGGGAAAGATAAAAAGCGAACTGCTGCTCAGACAATGTCCAAATTCTTCTCCAGCCTTGGTTTGGTCAGAGTCGCTCTTAGATTTTGGGGCGACTTCATCTGGTTAAGGCTTTGCCCCGAGAAACTGGCTAATCTGCCTGATAACTCGTGTTGACGGACTGTTCATGTCGAGGTGCTTTAACTCCATCACTTTCTGCTTAGAAGTAGCTTTCACAACGGCTGAGACTGAAGGTCCTGGTAGAGTGATTGGTAGATTCGTCTGGTTCCACAACGTGAGAATTTGCATCGCTGACAGGTAGATGGTCTTTACTACCCATTTCATCATGGTCATCATGGCCAGGACGTCTCTCCCCTGGAATAGGTAATGGGGTTGACGCAATTTTTGTGGACGTAAAATTCCGCACGAGCTTCTGCACGTTCGTCTGCGCTTGCTCTTCATCGGTATCGTCAGAGCTGAAGTTGTCCAGCAGCAGAGCTAAGAAGAGGTTCATCATTATGAAGTTTCCAAAGACGATCTACAAACGTCACAGTTAGTGAATGGCAATCACGCAGGGTATTGAGTGCCCACCAGTGAAATTGTATAGAGCGCTGCAAACATGCCGCTGCTGCGAATGACGTTGTACATGTCTTCGTTCCAGTTGTCGGTGGTAATAATCTTGAAAACTGTGATCGCAGACCACAGAAAGGTGTCGAAATGAAGTCGTGGAACCTACAGCAATCCATGCGAAACGGTAGTAGTTAAGTACACGCGGAGCTTGATCCAACAAGAGCTGTCGTGCAGAGAGCTCACCGTGCCCGACCAGTAGTCGTATATGTTGTACGGAGTAGGATACCCGTTGCTGTCGAAGCGCATGGTATTCCCAAAGAACTTGTACATGTAGAAATGTGAGCAAATTCCATAATGTTTTGAGTTCCGGAATGACATTCACGTACCTGCATCCCCACCAGCGCATAGATGTAGATGAAAATGAACAATAGAACTCCGAAATTGGCGATACTGGCAAGAGCACGCCCCACCATTTCCAGCAGTTCCCGAAGTGACTTCCAGTTGCGAGCGAGTTTAAACACGCGAAGCAGTCGAAACGATCGCAACGACGCGACTGAGCCTTTCTTTGGCTGGTTCTCCGACATGAACGAAGGTGGCGACAGTGCCATTTCCAGCAACCCCATCAAGACGACGAACGCATCGAAGAGATTGAACTTATCCCGAGTGTAGAGGTGAATCCCGAGACCGGCCACTTTCATTATCATCTCCGCGACAAACACGCAGGTGAGTGCAAAGTTGATGATCTCCAGGTCAGCGTCCATCGTGTCCGACATGGGATAGTGGTCCATCGAGAGGACAGCGGTGTTGGCGAAGATGGCGCACATGACAAAGAAAGAGAACAACGGGTGCGACGCGATGTAGTAGAGCAACGGGATACGCGGTTTGAGACGCGATTGCTTCTCTGGCGTTTTTTTCAATGCAGCTGTGGGACTGCGCGGAGGTTCTTCGATGTTGAACTCTTCCGAGATTACTGCAAGTGTCAAGTTCATGACGAAGATGGAGTCAAACACCACGAAAGCGAGGTAAAAGATGACTGCGATGGCCGGTTGCGTTGAATCCATGCACATGTACATGATGTTAGTCCATCCTTCCGACGTTATGACTTGGAAAAACGTGACGGCTGAGTGGCCTAAGTTATCGGACGTTGTAAGCCCATAATCCAGGGTATCTTGGGTAAAGCGCGTCTTCCATTACGATCTCGATGAGAAAGCGCGGATTGCCAAATACATCGAAGTTCCCTCCACAAGTTTGTCCAGCAGCGCACTGGTAATTTTCCTGCGTAGGATGGTCTAGTACAAAGCTGCGTGTCGTCAGGATTGACTGGCCAAAAGCAAGGCTGCGCATGGTACCAAGGCGACGTTTCTTTGATAAAATCGCCTGATTCGACTTCGAGAAGTGGTTCGTCTAGGCAGCGATAAGCCTCAGGGTTGGCGCGTACTGCTGACAGATAATCGCTTGAAACAGGCCAAGTGCCGTGCGGATTGAGATCGTCCACTGGTAATCGCACTGGGAACTCAGTCAGCCGACATCGTCGGGTCATATCACCGCCAAATAGCTGGTTTTCAAGGATGGAAAACATGAAAAAGAGGAATACTTGGAGAACGACTACGTTGCCAAGTGCAGGGAGGGCTTTCAGTAGTGCTGAGATGATCAGTCGTATACCGGGGATCATGGACAGCGACCGCATTGGGCGCAGCACTCGGACCGTTCGAATCGCAGAAACATTCGGGATTGTTGGCAAAATTGCAACCAGGCTAAGCAAAAAAATAAAGAAATTTTTAGATGTTTGAGCACGGAGAAAAAAAAATGCAGACGGAGACTGGAAAAAACTACCTTGCTATGACGACTGCGAAGTCGAGGGCGTTCCAGGAATCCCGCATGTAAGCGCCTTTGTTTCTAGCGAAGCCCATGGCGACTCAGCAAACATTCGGCTATGAAAATAGAGGTAAACGGGATCTCGGAGAGATTTACGATTTCGTTTAGAAATGAAGTGGCTGGGACGACAGAGCCGTCGCGATACGTGAATCCTGGGCTTGCCGGATTCAAATTCTTGTCGACGACTGAGAAGTCCGAGAGCGCTAGGATAATCGAGTTGAGCACGATGGCGAGAACGATGAAACGATCAAAGAACCGATGGGATACAAGCAGAATCACTCGCCGTCGAAGCCAATGGTCTCTAGAGAACAGATTGAAGAAGGCAAAGTCTGCACCAAGTCTCTATCATTCAGAACTGGGGAAGTCAGTATCGAAGAAAGAATCTACACTTAGAAGGACAGCTCAAAAGCTCACCCTCTTCTCAAATACAGCATTTCGACGACGGCGGTTCCGTACTGGAGCTTTGGACTCTGCAATTTGGTCCTTCGTATTTAGGTCATTCTTGGTGTTCAGTTGGGCTTTCGAGTGTTGCTTCGCTACTGGAAGACCCGTCGTCATCTCCATGGGCACAATCTCGCTGGGTGACGGCATTGCTGAAGCCAAATGGGTGAGGCAGTTCGCTCCAGCGGAATTGCATGTACGAATAGTCTTTTCACGTTACTATACCCGGTAATTGAACCTGTCGATCACCGAGATGTAGCCATCTGGTTCTTTTATTTTACTTATTACAGTTAACGATGCGACCTGGTGGAGCTCGTCGGAATGTCTGCAGGGCTCTAATACAGCGAGAAGTGGCTGGACGACCGACCTGTAAGCTATGTCTACCCCGCCATTCCCTCAGCTTACGGCAGGTGCTTCGCCATGAAGAAGGGGGCGTCCTCTTAGGGTTTTCCGGCGACGGGAACTTCCTCGGTATGATAGTGATTCACCCCATGAGATGTTTACAGCACTAAGTCGAAGTGATTTACCAGTATACTGCATCAGCTTAGACGAGTACTATGAAGTGCAGTGGAGACGCGTTAAGCTCCGAGACTTTTACGCTTGGAGTGAGAACAGAGAAGCTCCTCAAATTGTGTTCAGCCTTCGAGTAGAAGCTGGGGCTTCAGCTTATCCCTATGGCGTGAGCACCCTCTTGGAGGTGTGGCAGAGCGTGGACGATAGTTTGATACTCGCTGTCACGGCCGAAGGCTTGACGGAAGATCGAGAGACTTCTCGACTTTGTCGCGTCGTAGTGGCTCCGTCTCCGATGTTTGATGGTGGAGGGATCGCTGCTGCGGTGACGAGCTTAAGCTTCGAGTTTGGTCAGCACGTCAACTCGCAGAAAATGGAGAAGTGGCAGCTGTTGCAGCTTGTGAATAAGAGAATGCGTGTGTATCACTTGCTCATTAATGCCGGGACAGCGGTGCATGTTCTCGTTTTTCACGCCCGGAAACGGAGAGAAGCAGAGCTGTCAACGCCTCCGAGAGGTCTAGGGATCTCACATTTCCCTCAAAGTACGCCCTGCACGACCACAAGCGACGCCATGTGACTAAACTCTACCTTGTAGATGCTTGGTATTACCCGCCAGTTTTCCCACTTAAGTTCCGGAAATCGAAGGAGTCCCGGCCGCACTCTTCAGCTTCGGACGGACCATTCACGACAGAAATTTCGGTAGAGTGGGTGCTCTTGAAACTCCCATAACTCAAGTCTTTGTCGAACTATAAACCGCTTCAGTGTATTTGCCAGCATCTTTTCGACGTTGAGCGCTTTCTAGGAGGATTTTTGGAGACATTCAAGCCACTTCGACAGTACAACCTCATCGACTATGACTTGCGACTCGTTCGGGTAAGCTCAGCAGCGTCAGTCGTTCATGAATACGTGTAGTTCTGAGAGTTGCTGTATCCTTCTTGACAGGCCAGCACAATGGAGAAAACAGTATTTATGATCTACGTTATGGCACTTAGTCCACTTCTTCCGTCCAGCACTGATCCCCCAAGGCCACGAGCTCAGTGCCTCCGAGTGGCACTTTATCTCAGCTTGGAGCTCTTCACTGGGATCCACCACGTCATTCGAGTATTGAAAGTGCCACGGGATGGAGATCTGCGTGAGCTAGCTCAAATTGTTGCTCGAAGGTTTCAAGCAGACTTACGTGCTCGAGTACCGCCAGAGCCAGTAGCGACGTCATTGGATAATGAGGCCTTCCTACGCGAGGAATCTCTTCAAGAGCTTGACAACCCGGTGCTCCCGCTCTCAATATCGAGTAGTTAGAGCTGATATCAATGTTACACGTAACCATACTGCAAGAGATAAGCTCGCCATACTTTCTTTTGTATTCCATTAAGGCTAAAGTCATCATGTTCGTAAAATGGCGCCACAAAAGTGTACAATGTCACCTATTGACGCGACACGAACAAGGGACCGAACACCAGCACCGTCGTGGACAACAGCTTGATGACCACGTGCAGCGCTGGCCCAGCCGTGTCCTTGAACGGATCGCCCACCGTGTCGCCAGTGACAGCAGCCTTGTGCGCCTCGCTACCTTTGCCCCCGAAGTTGCCCAACTCGACGTATTTCTTGGCGTTATCCCACGCACCGCCCACGTTGTCTAGGAACAGAGCCATCATGATGCCCGTCACGGTGCCGAACATGAGGTAGCCAGCTAACACCTCAGCCCCCAACAGCGGCTTGCCTTGGTACTCACCAATCTAAAAAATTGAAGACGTAGTCGTCAGCAATTAAACACTGTGACTACCAACAGACATTCATGACAGCAAAACGTACCACACGGAAGACAACACCGACAGAGACTGGCATCAACACAGCCAACAGACCTGGGAAGCGCATCTGCTTCAACGCAGCCTTTGTGACTAGCGCAACACACGTGCGGTAGTCGGGTTTCTCCTTGTACTCCATAATACCCGGGTAGATCTTGAACTGGTGGCGCACTTCGTTGACAACCTCACCGGCCGTCTCGCCCACTGCAGCAACGGCAAGCCCCGTGAAGAAGAAGACCATCATTGTACCCAGCAGACCACCGACCAGAACCTCCACCGTTGCAATATCCACCGTCTTGAACTCGCGACCAGCGAACTCGGAGAACTCGTCCATGAAAGCGCCGAACAGCACGAAGCAAGCCAGAGCAGCCGAGCCGATCGAGTAGCCTTTAGTAATAGCCTTGGTCACGTTGCCTGCAGCATCCAGCTTGTCCGTAGCATCACGCACGTAGTCTGGTTGACGACTCATCTCGGCGATACCTCCAGCATTGTCTGCGATTGGGCCGTAGTTGTTCATCGCCAGCACAAACACTGCAGAGGATAGCATCCCCATAGTCGCCACGGCCGTTCCAAAGAGTCCAGCGTGGCGGTTCCCCACTCCCCCAATGCCAGATCTGGCACCCAAGTGGTAGGCCGAGATCACGGCGAAACTCACCATCAGCGTCGGTACAACGGTAGATTTCATGCCCACAGCCACGCCGGTAATGATATTGGTTCCGTGACCCGTAGTGCTGGCCTTCGCAATACTGCGCACAGGTGGATGAGCGTAGTCTGTGTAGTACTGCGTCGACTTAACAAACACGTAGGCTGTGAGCATCCCCACTACACCGCAGAGGAAAAAGTTCATCCATGCTGAGGGATGTTCGGGCGTGTACAGCAGCCAACGAGTGGTGAAGGCAAAACCAACCAGCGCCAACGAGAGCGACACGTTGTAGCCCATCTGTAGCGTGGCCATGGGGTTGTGATCGGGACGAGAAGCTTCGACGTCGGAAGGAGCTCGCACCATGAAGATCCCAGCACTGCTCACCGCAATATCAAAGGCGTGTACGACCACCGGGAAGAACACAAAGGCCACCGGATACGGCAGTTGAGCCTCGCGCGCCAAAGTTCCACCCAAAATCATCGCTCCAATGATCTCTGCAGCCACTGACTCGAACACATCAGCACTGCTGCCAACACAGTCACCAACCATATCCCCCACCAAGTCTGCTATGACCGCAGGGTTACGTGGATCGTCCTCTGGGATCCCCACTTCCACTTTGCCCACCAGATCAGCTCCCACATCTGCTGCTTTAGTGTAGATACCGCCACCCAGCTGCATGAACAGAGCCACAAAGGACGCTCCGAATCCATAGCCGACCATCAGCAACGGGATCTCCGTGGGGCGCAGCACAGATCCGAATAGAATGTACAGCATCACATACAGCGTGCTGACTCCGCCCACACAGAGCGTGATATCCAGCACAGCCGAGAAAGCTCCACCCCTGAAGCAGACCAGCAGCGCTTCTCCATAAGATCCTCGAGCGGCACTAGCCACACGGACGTTGGACCTGGCCGAAACCCACATGCTCACGTATCCTGCCGCGGCGGAGCATACGGCGCCAATGAGGAAAGCCACAGAAGATACCAGACCGAGAGTGAAGTTGCCGAGCTTCTCCACGCCCGAGCTGCCCAACGTGCTGCTGGGTCTGAGTGCGTAACTGAAGAAGATCAAGCCTGCGATGGCTACAGCGATGCGGGCGATGGCCGTGTACTGAATCTTGAGGAAACCCTCGGCTCCCTGACGGATGGGAGTTGCCACCTCCTTCATCTCGATCGTTCCAGAGTCCTTGGACAGCACCCAGTGTGACAAGTAGAGCGCGAACACGGCGCCGTAGCCGCAGAGAGTGAAGACTAGGAAGATGGGGCGGAAAGTCCCACCGAATAGCATCAGCAGCGCTCCTATCGCCGATATCCCGATAAGCGGAGGCTGTAGGTCCAGGGTGCGGGCGTATGCCAAAGCAGCGGAAGCCCCCGACCCCATTTCTTCGAGGTCTGGTTCACTGTGCAGCGGCGCAGTGTCCGACATGCCGAACTCAATGTCAACCTGCGTCTTCTCGTGCATGGCGCAGGCTGTGGGTGGAGTTTAAAGAAGCGGAGAGCGTGGATAGAGTGACGGATGCGCCGGAAAGGAGGAGAGAGCGGAGTACAGCACCAGAAAGCTACGTAGAAGACGTAGCTGGCGGCGACGCGAACGGTCCGACCTCTAGATTGCTGCTCTTGGACTGACACGCGTGCAGGATCAGAATCTGATCTGCTGCTTCACCCTTGGAATAGTGACCAACTTGGAATTAATCAGATGTCACTATAAAGAGGTAACTTCAATCAGCTGATCCTGATTGGTGCATCCTATCAAAATCGTTAGACGACTTTGTTCGTCAACTTCAAGTTACCTCTGAAAAACGACCGTCACTCTTGAATCTGCCACGTCCAGCTCAAGCCAATTGCCATGCTGTCCGCTACTCGCCGCCTTACGCGATCTCTGCGTCGCCCTTCTGCACTGGGATGCCGCCTCGAGTCCTCATTCGCTCCCCTCACTCAGCTATCCGAGGAGGAAACCATGTTCAAGGACACAGTCGCCCGGTTCGCGGCTGACGTGGTAGCTCCGAATGTCCGCGCCATGGACACAGCGGGGGAGATGGACCATGCTATCACACGAGGACTATTCGAGAATGGACTGCTGTCGGTAGAGATCCCAGCAGACTACGGAGGTAGCGAGGCCTCGTTCATGAACCTCTGCTTGACTATTGAGGAGCTGTCCAAAGTGGATCCCGTCGTGGGACTGCTCGTGGATCTACAGAACACAGTTGTGAACAACGTCTTCCTGGTGAGTGAAGAGTACGATTGGTATTCTAAATTCTGTAGCTGACCATTGTGTTGCAGGTGCACGGCACGGACGAGCAGAAAGAAAAGTACCTGCCGAGACTCAGCGCGGACATGGTGCGTGCATCAATATTTGGAAATATTGTGATAATACTAATATTGTACGGTGTTGTAGATCGGCAGTTTCTGTTTGTCAGAGGCTGGATCAGGTAGTGACGCGTTCGCGCTGAAGACACGGGCGGAGGCCTCGCCGGACGGGAGCTACTACTCCATCACTGGTCAGAAGATGTGGATCTCCAACGCCGAGTACTCTGGCGTGTACTTGGTGTTCGCCAATGTGGACCCGTCCAAGGGCTACAAGGGTATCACGTGCTTTATCGTGGACCGAGACATGGAAGGACTGGAGATCGGTAAGCCCGAAGAGAAGCTCGGCATCCGCGCATCGTCGACATGTCCCGTCACACTGACGGATGTGAAGGTCCCGAAGGAGAACATTCTGGGAGAGCTGGGCAAGGGATACAAGATCGCAATCAGCACGTTGAATGAAGGACGCATTGGCATTGCGTCGCAGATGCTGGGACTGGCTCAGGGAGTCTACGACCAGACGTTGCCGTACTTGTTCGAGCGCCAACAGTTCGGCTCTCCCATCGGAGAGTTCCAGGCGATGCAGCACCAATATGCGGAGGCAGCGCTCGATATCGAGACGGCGCGTTTGTTGGTGTATAACGCAGCGCGTCTCAAGGATGCTGGCCAACCGTTCGTCAAACAGGCTGCTATGGCGAAGCTTCATGCCTCGCGTGTGGCAGAGAAGACGGCATCCAAGTGCATCGAGCTGCTTGGAGGCATTGGCTTTACCAAGTACTTGCTTGCGGAGAAATTCTATCGTGACGCAAAGATCGGAGCTATCTACGAAGGAACCAGTAACATGCAGCTGACGACGATTGCGAAGCTTGTGTCGGAGGAATACAAGAGGTAATTGAATGTCGTGATCCTGTACTCAGACTTGATCCTTGTAGCAAACCAAACAAGTAACATTTCCGGAGAACGAGCGTTAGAACCAGAGCAGCGTCTAAAAATTACCCAACTGCTTGACTCAAGTGGTGGTGACTCACCGCTGGTGTGTGTGATCACTGTCGTTTCAAAGCAGCCTCTTCTTCGAGGGTTTCACGGATCAAATCGCTGCTCGTGGTGCTCCAATGATGTCGCTGCTGTTTGTCTTTGCTGCCACCTTCATCCTGTGCTGCACTGATGAGACTATCGCAGGAAAATACCCGGTTGGACCCAACAGATTGCTGGGTACCTGCCTCGATGCAGAGTGGGTGACGAAGATGGAAAGTGAACGAGGTGTCTCCAGTCAAGAACGTGATTCCAGCGGACGACTTGTTCGCCCGTTCATGCAGGCAGCGCTCAAGTATCCGCGATACACAGTGAGCCAATAGTTATCCCTTGACTGCCCGCGGAAAGCTGACGAATAACCACTTTACTCAATTCCAGGTTAATGACATACGGACCGCTGCAGGAACGGCATACACGGACGAATGTTTGGGCAGTGAAGTCTTTTATGGAGCCAACCAGCTATCAGACGGATCAAGTCGTGGTGAGGTGAATGGCACTCTGGTCATTGACATGGGAGACTGGGACTCCCATGTCCTGGCCTCAATGGTGGCGGCTGTTGTTGCAGAAGAAGTTGTAAGTAGATAAACATTTGCAGGGACCAATGCGCTAAGGTCCTACGTCTTTTATATTACTGTAGATTGGCTACAAGGTCTCTCTGAATTACGGCGGGCCAACTGCAGAAATTACAATGCGCATGTCGTCTGTGAGGACAGGAATTTGCACTCCGACCCACTTCAACATTGAAACGTGGCCCTCCAGCACCATGTCCAAGCTGCGAGCTTACTTCAACGAGAGCTATTTGATCGGTGGTGTCGGATACTTTGGCGGCACGGGGCTGTACACCACTCACAAATTTGTGCTAGATGCGGCCGCAGCAACGCCCCCATACTACCCAGGGTTCTGGATGGACTACAAATTGACTGACGCTCTTATCAATCAGCTCAATGTAGACACGTTCAAGGCCTCAAAGTACTACCCTCCAGCCTCAACTTACTGCCCGGATGGCGTCATGGGCTGTAAGGAATCCTTACTAAGGATCACTGTGAGAAATCTGAGGCCTGTACAGAGCGTGAAAGTGCAGGTAAAGTCTGTCTGGTCGTTGCTATGATGTATCCTCGAAACGATCGCGGCTACTTCCAGGCTGTGGTCTCAAATCTCGGAATTGCTGCCTACTTTTGCTTCATTGGATACGACGGAGTGAACCAATACGCACACGACGCGGCGCAGAGCGGAACCCCAGTGATCTTTATCCACTGGGAGCCTGAAATATTCCACGTGACTCACAAGGGACTTTTCGATCGAATATTTCTGCCACGTACAGACCCTGAACGTATTAAGTCGTCAACAGGAGACTACGGTGAGAATGGCTACGGTAAAAAGACAAATAACCCCATCGATGTGGATTATCCAAACCTTCAGCCCATCAAACTAGACGCTGCCGTCGTCAAGAATCAACCTGCCGGCTCGCTGTTCTCTAAGCTGACAATCGCGGACTCGGATATCAACAGTGTGATGTCTGAGTATGTTGCTGTATCCAGTAACTCAGCTGAACCATCTCCGTATTTCCGTGCGGCATGCAACTGGGTGAAGGCAAACTACGACACGTGGAGTGAGTGGGTGGACCGCTTGCCATTGTGTACATTCGAAGAACACGTCGTGAGCCAAGTGACCGGCTGTGGCAACGATAGCTCTGTGCGAGAAATCAAGTTTTCGTGGAAGTCTTCAAACCCAGGAAACGCGTCGTTGCCGTACAACTGCGACGGAGGCGTGTCTACTCTTCCGAATACGCTCGCCACAAGCCGCTCTTGTGATTGGATCTTTGAGAATCGACGCACGTGGACTGGTTGGATTGATCAAAAGCCTGAGTGCGACTCGAGCTTTTACCATTACTCAGTGTCAGAGTGTGCTTCCGATTCTCTCCGTACGGTTCAGTACGTTTGGAAGCTCCCAAACGCCTCACATCCTCAGTATTCTGCAGAATGCTCGGGTGGAGACAAGCTACCGGACACTCTCACCATTGATTGCGAGTATATGCCGACATCCTCACCTTCGTTTGCAGCCATGACAGTGTTCGCTGCCATCGTGGCATGTTTATTGGCTGTAGCCATTCTGCTAGTGGTCAAGAACCGCAACGCTCCGATCATCCGACGCTCGCAATACGAAATGCTACTGCTCATGATCTTTGGCGGATTCTTCACGACGGGGGCGGCTGTGGCTTATGCTGGGAAACCCACCAGAACACTCTGTGGAATCCGTCCGCTACTGGTTTGCATGGGATTCACAACGATATTTGGCGCTCTCGTCATCAAATCTCTACGTGTCTACCGCGTTTTCATGAAAGCTGCCATGAAGCGAGTCAAGGTGACACTGTTTAAGATCCTAAAGATCCTCTCCATCTTCTACATCGGAGACAGCGTCATATTTGTAGCCTGGTACACTGCCGATTTCCCGGAACCGACCATCACAACGAAAGATGCTACGGAGTTTCGCGGTACCGTCGACCGAATCTCCTGCAGCTCGTCAAGCTTCATCTTTACGGCGCTACTTATCTTCTGGAAAGCTATCCTGCTCATGGTGGGACTCTACCTGTCGTTCCTCATCCGCAACGTGTCGGTGGATTTCCAGGAGTCTCCGTGGATTTTCGGTTCGGTGGTGGTTGTCCTCGTAGGCTGCCTCGTCATCATGCCGATGTCGTATATGGTTGACATGCGAGCGTCGACATACTACGTGTTTCTCGCGTGCTGTTTGCTCGTTTGCACGATTCTAATCATGTGTCTGATGCTGTTGCCAAAGCTTTTCCGTCTGAAAGAAGCCGCATCTTCTGCTTCCAGTGGTGCTAGTGGGGCTCGTAATTCGAAGAGTAGGGGCAGCCTGGTCGGAGCGAAAGCTCTTGCTACGGATAACTCGGAAACGGATAATGAAGTTCCTGCTGTTGTGCCACACAAGCTATCACAATACAAAGTGAGACCGCTAGACAACATCAGCAATAACAACAATAAGGCCACTTCAAGATAAAGCAAAACTTCTGATGTACACCATGGAACCAACAACACCGTGAGATAGTGTATTCACAGAGTCCAAAAGAACCAAGTGAAAGGGAGACATACTGTCTAATCTTTCTGATCTGCATGATGATGTTTCACAGACTGAATCGAGGCAAAACGATCACCACCTCTACATGTAATTGATCCCAAAAGCGGAGACTGAACCGCGCACAATCACCCAGGCGAAACAATTGATCCAAGCGCTCAGTGACTAGAACTGAAATCCAAGACTTGTTGTAAAAGCTCATTCTTAGTACACATAGATAGAGCCAACGTCATTGTTAGCACCATCGCCTATTGATTGCATATCTGCTACTGTAGCTCTTAAGTACTTAAAAATACTAGATTTGAGAGCAAGGGCATCTCGCTTCTTTACTGCGAGGTGCGTTGCTAATAAGAGCAGTGTTCATCCATCCATACACAGCGTCAAGTCGAGTAATTCATGCAATAACACTTCAACAGCAAAAATCAACAACAAAGCAAAACAATAAAGATGAAACCACTATCGTCAAACTTAAGAGCTAGGTGCCAATAGCTAATTAGATTTATACGAGCTAAGTCGTGTGACGCTGCATTCTCAATTTGTCGTGTTGGTTCCGTTTTCTCCTAAAGAGGAGTTTTTCTTGTCGATCTTAGCGCTGCTGTTCTTGACCAGGGATCTCACCTGATACTGTGAAAACTTGCGAGGCACGTCACCGCGGATGCCATTATCCGATTCCGAGTTATCCGTAGCAAGAGCTTTCGCTCCGACCAGGCTGCCCCTACTCTTCGAATTACGAGCCCCACTAGCACCACTGGAAGCAGAAGATGCGGCTTCTTTCAGACGGAAAAGCTTTGGCAACAGCATCAGACACATGATTAGAATCGTGCAAACGAGCAAACAGCACGCGAGAAACACGTAGTATGTCGACGCTCGCATGTCAACCATATACGACATCGGCATGATGACGAGGCAGCCTACGAGGACAACCACCACCGAACCGAAAATCCACGGAGACTCCTGGAAATCCACCGACACGTTGCGGATGAGGAACGACAGGTAGAGTCCCAACATGAGCAGGATAGCTTTCCAGAAGATAAGTAGCGCCGTAAAGATGAAGCTTGACGAGCTGCAGGAGATTCGGTCGACGGTACCGCGAAACTCCGTAGCATCTTTCGTTGTGATGGTCGGTTCCGGGAAATCGGCAGTGTACCAGGCTACAAATATGACGCTGTCTCCGATGTAGAAGATGGAGAGGATCTTTAGGATCTTAAACAGTGTCACCTTGACTCGCTTCATGGCAGCTTTCATGAAAACGCGGTAGACACGTAGAGATTTGATGACGAGAGCGCCAAATATCGTTGTGAACCCCATGCAAACCAGTAGCGGACGGATTCCACAGAGTGTTCTGGTGGGTTTCCCAGCATAAGCCACAGCCGCCCCCGTCGTGAAGAATCCGCCAAAGATCATGAGCAGTAGCATTTCGTATTGCGAGCGTCGGATGATCGGAGCGTTGCGGTTCTTGACCACTAGCAGAATGGCTACAGCCAATAAACATGCCACGATGGCAGCGAACACTGTCATGGCTGCAAACGAAGGTGAGGATGTCGGCATATACTCGCAATCAATGGTGAGAGTGTCCGGTAGCTTGTCTCCACCCGAGCATTCTGCAGAATACTGAGGATGTGAGGCGTTTGGGAGCTTCCAAACGTACTGAACCGTACGGAGAGAATCGGAAGCACACTCTGACACTGAGTAATGGTAAAAGCTCGAGTCGCACTCAGGCTTTTGATCAATCCAACCAGTCCACGTGCGTCGATTCTCAAAGATCCAATCACAAGAGCGGCTTGTGGCGAGCGTATTCGGAAGAGTAGACACGCCTCCGTCGCAGTTGTACGGCAACGACGCGTTTCCTGGGTTTGAAGACTTCCACGAAAACTTGATTTCTCGCACAGAGGTATCATTGCCACAGCCGATCACTTGGCTCACGACGTGTTCTTCGAATGTACACAATGGCAAGCGGTCCACCCACTCACTCCACGTGTCGTAGTTTGCCTTCACCCAGTTGCATGCCGCACGGAAATACGGAGATGGTTCAGCTGAGTTACTGGATACAGCAACATACTCAGCCATGAGACTATTGATGTCCACGTCTGCGAGTGTGAGCTTGGAGAACAGTGAGCCTGCGGGGAGATTTTTGACGATGGAAGCTGGTGAGCTGAAGGCTCGGATAGTCCACATCCACGGGGTTATCTGTCTTTTTACCGTAGCCATTCTCACCGTAGCCTCCTGTCGACAACTTAACGCGTTCGGGGTCGGTTCGTGGCAGAAACACCCGGTCGAATTTTCCCTTGTGTCTTATATGGAACATATCAGGCTCGTAATGGTAGAAAAGCACTGGTTTCCCATTTGCAACTGCATCTGCTGCATATTTGTTGACTCCTCCATAACCGATAAAGCAGAAGTACGCAGGAATCTCTAAGTTGGAGAGCACCGCTTGAAAATAACCTTGATCAAAGTAAGGAGTCATCATGGCCACAACCAAGCACTTTTCACCATTGCCAGCACTTTCCCGTTTTGTGCACGCTTCCGACTTTGAGCAATTGTTCTCGCACCCCAGAATTCCGTCGGGGCAGTATTCTTTCGCGGGGGGATAAAAGTTTGCATCGTTCTTAAATGAAACCACATCCAGCTGATCAATTAGAGTATCGCTCATTTTGTAGTGCATCCAAAAACCTGGGAAGTATGATGGTGTTGCAGCGACCCCGTTTTGTACAAGTTTGTGATTGGTGTACAAGCCAGAGAGGCCGAAATACCCAATACCACCGACTAGGTAGCTTTCGTTAAAGTAGACCCGCAGACCTGAAATCGTACCGGAGGACCAAACCTCGGCATTCAAGTGAGTGGGAGTGCACACACCTGTTTTGACGGATGACATGCGTTGCGTGACGTCTGCACTTGCACCACCGACACTAATGGAGACCTTGTAGCCGACCTACGCAAATACACAGCCTAGATATTAAACCAACCATTGCAACAGCCTGTTGCATACACGCACCACTTCTTCGGCGAGAATTGCCACAACAAGTGACGACAGCCAATGAGTGTCCCAGTCACCAACGTCCAACACGAGAGTACCGTTCACATGGCCCCGATTGTTACCGTCCGCATCCTGGTCAGCTCCAAAGAAAGCGTTATCTTTGGGCATGCAGCTGTCGCTAAACGCTGTTGCTGAAGAAGTTCGTTGATCATCGACCTGTATGCGAGCACCACGATGGCTTAGAAGTTTTAAAATTGAGACCAGGAACTCTTGCAAATGACAAACCGTGTATCGGGGATACTCGAGGGCTGATTGCAGGAACGGATTTAGAAGACGACCATTGGAGTCGCGGGCTTTACTGGAGACCGCCATCTCTGCTTCCATCTGCGCAACCCAAGCCGAATCCAGGCAAGTTCCCAGGTAGTGATTGGGCCCGACAGGATAATTTCCTGCAATGACGAGCTCACCAGAAAGGACGGCGAGGAGCAACAGCCACACCATCACCAAAGATGAATTGACACTGTCAAGTTCACAGCAGTGACGTGAGCACACGGGTAGGTTCTTGAAGAATGTCCTGTTGGAGTTCTTTGCATCCGTTGCGAAAAACACACCAGAAATAGCACTACGCTTTCAACCAGCGAGTTCCGACTCATCCACCGACAAGATTGATCCACATTGCGGAACTCCAAACGTTTTAGTATTAGGAGGTTATCATGTAGCCATCTCGAAAAGATCGCGACATTTGAAGCTAGCCGTAAGCTAAAAAATAACCGTGTCTGATTGGTCACAAAACAATTCAGTAAAATCTAGTTTTCCGATTGGCTGCTTCGCTCATTCTTCAATTCCCCGGACATGCCGCCCATGTCAACTTCGTCGGCGCTGGTGACGTCGTCTTCGCCCGCTGCGCCACCTCCCGAGGAGGACGCTGAGTTACCCGTGGACCTGTCGCAGCTTCCGTCTATCCCTGCGGCCAAGTCTTTGCTGCTGATCAACAATTTTGTGGCGAATACCACGCGATTCCTCAACCACTTTGCGCACGAGTGCGAGGAGCGAATCACACGCGTATCGGACAACGTCACAAGAGTGGAGATCCTATTGGCTATTTTAGAGGCCAAGTTGAACAGCATTCCAGATCTGAATGTTTCAGATGCCGCAGTGAATGGCGATGATGGGAATTTGAACCTGAATACGAACCAGATGGATCTAGGCATTTCAGACCAAGACCTGCCCTCGATGGAGACGAATGGGACGCCACTACCACCTCCTCCACCCCCTCCAGAGGTAGAAGGGGCTTTAATTGAGGGGGTCTTACCTCCTCCCCATCCGCCGTCGATGGACGGAATGGAGGGTGCTTTAGTACTGCCCCCCCCTCCTCCTCCATCGTCCCCTTCAGGATCGATGCCGCCTCCTCCGCCTTCGTCGATGGAAGATTTTGATGACGACGATGAGGAAGCTCAAGTTGAAGTGAAGGAGAGTGATGGTCTTCCAGTGTTGAAGTTGAAGGATGACCCAGTGTACGCCAAGTACTTTACGATGCGCAGACTGGGCATCCCGGAGCAGGTGATCGAGCACAAACTGCTGATGGACGGAATGGACACCAACATTCTCAATATGGACCCAGAAGGACCGTCGCCTAGCGGAGGGTTGGCGCCAACGATGGACTCAGAGCCATCGGGACCCATTCTGCCGATTATGGCGCCGCCTCCACCGGCATCAGACTCTGAGAGTGATTACTCGGACGATGAGCGTATGGAGCTTCCACCCCCACCACCGTCACTGTCGGAGCCTAGAAGTGCTGAACGTCGACCGTCCGGGAATATCGGAATGCCGTTCCCCTTGCCACCGCCGCCGATTTCACCCACGGTGCGTTGATTCGGAGTTTTTCTTGATGTTATTAAAGGGTAGTGACGTTTATAATTCGATTGTTTGCAGTCGTCAGTTGGTGGACCAGCCTCACTGTTCGGTGATGGCCCGCCTGGCCCTCCTCCACCGCCACCTCCGTCTTCGAGTGGCCGTCCAGCTCCGCCTGCCAGCGAGATGGAGAGCTCCAGTGACGACGACATTGAAGAATTTGACGTCGATGATACACCACCTGCCTCTGCCGCCTCGGGCGTGATAAAACTCAAAGATGACCCGGCGTTTGACAAGTACGTCGCAATGTGTTGCAGTTAATTCCTAACGCCTTCTAACGGACGATCTCTTCATGCAGATACTTTAAAATGCGAAAGTTGGGAATGCCGGACGGCGTCATTCAGCACAAACTCATGATGGACGGGGTTACGCTCGACATTCTAAAGTTCGTGATCACGACAGCTGTAATTGTGAAGTTTGAGGTCTAACAATTGGTTGCGTTGATTTCAGCATGGATCCGGAAGGTCCATCTTTTAATGCCACTGGTGCAGCTCCAGTAGCCCCGCCGGCAGGATCGGACCAGCCCCCTCTTCCTCCCGGATTACCACCACCGCCACCTGCGCGGCCTGCGGGAGGGCTACCGCCGCCTCCCATAAAGAGATACGACGACTCCGACTCCGATTTTGACTCTGACTGATCTTGTTTTCTTGACGTAATGGCACGTAACCACTTGCCCGAGCAATTGAGTCATTTCATGGCATGCTGTAAATCATACAGGGACCGAGAGAGTCAAGAGCAGAGATAGGAGAGTTCAGTTTCCCATGGGAAGAATGCGCTTGATATTGTTCACTGAACTGCATGTGTCCGTTACAGCCACATCGCCACGGATTTATTTCGGAATTCGGCCACTTGTGACTAACTTTGTTCTCGTAGAGAATTGATGCAAAAAATCAAACGCATTTAGCTTCCAAGATAATGCGCAGGGGTGCAGGCAGCTCTTCCTATTGATTGTGTTCACTGAGTACGTCTGCCCACTCGTTGACTGCACTGGTGTTGGACTAGAATCATCGAGAGGAACCGTCATGAACGAAATACAGAGGGAACATGATGCTGCATCCAGCGATCATTCTACCGAAGCCACACCGCGGATGCTCACAGATGTACCATCGTCAATTCCACCGATTGCTACCCCACCTACGATAACTATACCGGTTATAGCAGAAGACTTTAGTGCTCAGGATGCCCAAGTATCATCAAAGCCAGTGGAGAAGCCGATACGGAGTTTTCAACCACAGATGCATCCGCTGAGGAAGGGACCTCTCGTTAAACGAATATTAGAGGTGGAACCAGTGGGGGACGACGTGCTGCGTCAAGTGGAGCAGCTGGACACTCTTATTAATGCCAACGCCACTCTCAAATCATTCAAGGCGACGTCACCACGTCGACCGTCCCGGAGTCAGAAGCAGATCATGGGTTATTTGGAGAAACAAGCTCGCACCGCCTTGGCATCGGATACGTCCAATGGATCCAACGGGGCCAGTCAAGATATCGTCACTTCATTAAATGCTAGTGCAGGGTCTGCTACACCCGGCAACTCGAGAAAAGTGCATCCTCAGATCGAGAGCAAGTTGCAGCCAATCGGCAGTGGGGATCTCTCTGATGCGAATAATGTCAAGGGCGCAGATGCCAGCTTTCGTCGGAAATCAACGCGAAAGTCGCTCGTTGAACGTCTAAGCTCCGTGATGTTTGACGCCCCAGACGGTACTCGTCCCGAGATTAAGCGTCCAAGCATCAAAACGCATCGGAATAGTCGTCTCGATAGCAGACGACGCAGTAGTGTCACCGCTTCGATCAAGGGGGACGTGTCCAAGTTCAAGCAGACTGTGTCGCGAATGTTTGACAAGGCGTCACAGATCAAACTGGATGACGAACGCTCGGCCAGAGTTGCTGAACTTGTGGACAGCGAAGTGATGGTGCTAAATACAAGTCAACTGGCTCAAAACCAAAAGCGGAAGGCGCACCAGTACACGATCTCGATCCACTCAACGTTCCGCCAATGGTGGGACTTTGTACTCACTGCGTCCATCGCGTACGTGATCGTCATGACACCGATCAAAGTGGGCTTCGACGTGCAATCTTCGGGCTTGAATTACGCTCTCGATGTGGTGGTGGATGTGATTTATCTCATTGAAATGGTCCTCAACTTCTTCACGAGCTACGAAGACGACGCAACGGGTGAGGAAATCAAGGACCTGGATAAAATCCGTCGGAGTTATCTGCAGAGCTGGTTTCTCGTCGATGCTGTAAGTAGCTTCCCATCTTCATTGGTAGGAACGACGAATGGACTTCTGACGCTCTCGAAGATTCTCAAAGTCGCTCGTGTAGCCAAAATATCCGACTCGGGTCTCGTTCGCACGGTATCTGGGCATATCGACCGCTCAATGAACCCATCGATGCTTCGGATGCTGAAGCTCACGGTTATCTTCCTCGTCTCACAGCATCTGATCGCGTGTACGTACTACTACATCAGCTTGAACCAGTCCGTCGACACAACCTGGGCCCCCACTCACGACATACGCAATAGCGACTCGCTTGGACAGCAGTACGTGGACGCCTTCTACTTTGCCATGATGGTGACGACAGCAAACGATGTAAACCCCATCACTCCCATCGAAAAGCTCTTCACGTCAGTGATGCTCTTTGTGGGGATCGTAATCAACGCCAGTATCATCGGCAGTGCAGCCAATCTGCTAGCCAACCTAGACAAGGAAGAGATCGCTCGAAAGAACCACATGGACTCCATCAACGACTACTTGCGCTTCAAGAAAGTGCCTCTCGTCTTGCAGAACAAGATCCGACGATATTACGACTACGCGCTGACCACGCGTCTACAGGATCCGACGGAGAATTTGTTTGCAGACTTACCGGATCGACTCAAACTTCTGCTCAAGCTGAACTTGCACTCGGAGTTTGTGCGTAAAGTGCCGCTTTTCCGAGCGCTGTCCCATGCAGGTGTGGTGTCTATTATTCAGTGCTTAGTTCCAATTGTTGCGATGCCTGGGGAGGTTATCATCGTGTACGGCGAAGTCGCAAAGGAGTTTTATTTTATCAAGACCGGACAAGTGTCGCTCTGTGTTCCCGGCCTGGAGGAGAGCGTTCCGTTAGGGAATCTCGGTGAAGGCTCGTTCTTCGGAGAGACGTCTCTTCTTACGGGAGAACCGACGACAGCCGAAGTCAAGGCTGAACGTGTGTGTGAGCTCATGTATCTGAGTAAAGACGACTTCGAGACGATCGTCGACAGGTTCCCCACTTTCTTCCTTGCTGTGCGTCGCATCAGTGAGTCGCGCTTGCAGACGGCGCAGAATATCCAGAAAATGTCCAAGATGAATCGCCGACCGACCCAAATACTCAAGATAAAGAAGTTAAGTTTACGTTGTGTTGCCCAGGCGGCAGTACTCAAGGCATGCTTCGGTGACCACTTGGAAACGCTAGGGAACAAAGGACCCACCGGCAGGTCCGAGCGAGTTGGCTCAGTTGTGGGCAACGGGAAAAGGTTGCTGTCGACAGGAAGGCGGAAGTCCATCCCTTCTTTCAGCGCCAACTTTATCGAGCGACTGTCATTGGCACAAGCGAGAGATCTCACGCGCTTACGCTCCATGAGCGACATGCAACAAAGCAACGAGGAAGACGCTTTCTGGGATTGAAACTGGAGGCTGCCATTGTAGAGCTCTTTAGACGCAAGCGATAACTCGAGATTGTCAATTAAAGAATTGTTTCCAAGCTGGAAGGGCACAACGCAGTCTCTGAGCAGCTAGGAGAAGTGCCGATGCCTCCACGTTTTGTCGTCTGCTGACTCGATCTTCGTCGACTACAAACTGGCACCAGGCCTTGATTTCAGAAGACTTCGGTCCAGTGCAAACTCATTGCGAAGGAATCGCTGGAAGGTAATAGCGTCTCTTTTTTCCAAAATACTAGTGGCCTAATGGTCTCGTGGTGACGCAAGTGGGAGCACAGCTATCGATAAATGTCCCTGACGAACAGCTTTGCGGACTGCAGAGCGCTCTCTCACTTTCCGTTTTGTCGTGCCAGTGACGAAAACTGTGGTTTCGATGGAGATGTCCACAGGAAGAACGTGTATTGTGCTGAGATGTCTGGCAGTAGTGACGATGCTTTCTATTGTCGTCAACGGTCTTGAACGACGCACACAAGCAGACGAAAGCGTGATTGAGTGGCCGACTAAAGGGTTGGATGCACAACTACAGCGGTTAAGACCTGCACCTTCTCGTGGATTGACAAGCTTGAATGACAAAGTGAAAGCTCCATCGCCCTCAAGCAGCGCAATAGCTGGTATCATTAAAGTAGCGGAAGCAAAAACCAAGAAGCTCAACGGGGAAAGTTCTGTCAGTGGCGACGAGGAACAGCAAACAAGTTCTGAAACAGAAGCCGCAGCATCTACAGTTTGACTGATGCCACTTCACCTACTGCAGCACCCATGTCAACCAAGAAGACGCGTGGTGAAGACTCACAAAAGGAAGAATTATCCACTGTATTCGCTCTATCTGAAATATCAACTGACATTACACCAAATGAGTCGAGCTCCAACCTAGAGGAGAGCAAGACGAAGATACCCGCAACTACGCCCGCTTTTTCAACAGAGACTTCAAGCGCACAAAACCACTCGCAAGTTAGTTCGAGAGACGACATTAATTCTTTTACAAGCTTCTCAAAGAACGATTCCAGTACTAATCGTTCCCCAGATAGTGGGAAGAGCCTAGAGGCTACGGATCAGAGAACACACGAAGTTATTGGTGGTGGCAACAATGTTAGCAGCAATATTAACACAAGTAAGAATGGCCGTGCACACGACTCGTGGGATGGCACAGCTGTGACTGATAGCAGTCCGGGCAAGTCGAACAACGGCAACGGCAATGGCAAAGGCAATGGTGCTGGCAAGGATACACCGAGCGGCAACGGCAATGGCAAAGGCAATGGTGCTGGCAAGGATACACCGAGCGGCAACGGCAATGGCAAAGGCAATGGTGCTGGCAAGGATACACCGAGCGGCAACGGCAATGGCAAAGCAATGGTGCTGGCAAGGATACACCGAGCGGCAACGGCAATGGCAAAGGCAATGGTGCTGGCAAGGATACACCGAGCGGCAACGGCAATGGCAAAGGCAATGGTGCTGGCAAGGATACACCGAGCGGCAACGGCAATGGCAAAGCAATGGTGCTGGCAAGGATACACCGAGCGGCAACGGCAATGGCAAAGGCAATGGTGCTGGCAAGGATACACCGAGCGGCAACGGCAAAGGCAACGAGAACGGCAACGCGGATGGCAACATCGCAACGTTGGCATCGTTCGCTTCCAGCGAGAGCAGTCCTGGCAAGTCGAACAACGGCAACGGCAATGGCAAAGGCAATGTCAATGGTGCTGGGAAGGATAAATCGAACGACAACGGCAAGGGCAACGAGAACGGCAACGCGGATGGCAACATCGCAACGTTGGCATCGTCCTCTTCCGGCGAGACCGAGAGCAGACCTGGCAAGTCGAACAACGGCAACGGCAATGGAAACGGTGCTGGCAAGGATAAATCGAGCGGCAACGGCAAAGGCAACAAGAACGGCAACGCGGATGGCAACATCGTAACGTTGGCATCGTCCGCTTCCGGCGAGAGCAGTCCTGGCAAGTCGAACAACGGCAACGGCAATGGCAAAGACAATGGCAAAGGCAATGGTGCTGGGAAGGATAAATCGAACGACAACGGCAAAGGCAACGAGAACGGCAACGCGGATGGCAACATCGTAACGTTGGCATCGTCCGCTTCCGGCGAGAGCAGTCCTGGCAAGTCGAACAACGGCAACGGCAATGGCAAAGGCAATGGCAAAGGCAAGGAAAACTCGAGCGGCAACGGCGAAAGTGCTAGCAAGGAGAGGCCGATTGGTATTGTCGAAGCAGGTTCGACGACTTCACAAAATTCGCGACGTGTACCAGGAGGTAAAGGGACTTTGGCGTTAGTGGGTACCGCATCTGTGAAGCAGAACGCTGGGAACCCCAGCAATTGGCGCACAAGACACGATAACTAACGAGGAACACGACAAACGCGCCTCCAAAATCAAAGCCTTATCGATACAGAGTTTGGATGCAGCCGCAGAGGAAGGGAAGCAATACGTACGTGGAGATCCGATGCTCGCCGGTATTGACGGCGGAGGTGGCAGCAGCATTTTTGCGGAGGGTGGGGATGGAAGTTCACCGCTCGTCATTGGAGGCAAGAAGCGTGGATGGCAGGCAGAAGCTCAGTCTGGACTGTTCGCAGCTAGCTCTGGTTTCCATAACACCCTGCGCTTTTCAGTCTGTTCGGCGACCATAGTTTCGGTAGGTTTGCTGTTGGCTTTCCACTTTGAAGTGCTCAACAAGGGACTTGCTCGTCATTTTCCTTCTGGATCCGTGTGGACTCCCAACACGTGGGAATTCGCCATGTACGTTCAATATATCCAACAGATCGCTGCGATCTCAGCACTGACACTTCTGAAAACGCCGTTTTTCTTGTGGGAGTTCACGGATCTCTTCTCGTGGGCCAATCTCCTCGTTTATCGCTCTGAAGACAATTCGTCTGCGTCTGGACGTCGCCTTACAACTATTATCCTCGGAAGTCTTGTGGGATACGGAGACCGCATCGGAACAAGTGAGATGGATTTAATGTTCGAGACGATCTCTGGCTTCGCGCTTATCGTTGGCTTCTTTGTTGGAGTTTTACTTGGAGCAACGCTGTACAACAAGTGGCGTGAACATATCGGGGAAAAGGCACGCAGAGGTGTGATCTGGCGCTGCCTTGGTCTGCTACCGTTGGTCTGGTTCTTCTCTCTTCTCCCTCTGACCATGACGGTGTCCTTTGAAGTGTCCATGGAATTCAAGTCGAGTATGTTGGAGCTGTGGTCTCTTGTGGTCGCATTCTTGGTAATTATCCTGGTCATTTGTGGAGTCGCTGGCGTGGTAGCGCGGACAGTACGGAGCGCGACTTACGGAGACTTCGCTCACGTGCTCTCTGGGGCGCATTCTACGCCGACTACAGATACGGTGGCCGTCTCTTCTTCTTGCTGGTAATCTTTCAACAGCTTTGCGTGGGCCTTTGCTTGGGTATCCTGGACGACAGTATGGTGCTACTTGTGTTGCTAGTTACACTCCACGTGATGTTTCTTGTGGCAGTCTGTTTGATCAAGCCGTTCCCGAATGGAACTTTACTCGTTAAGCGTGCTACCTACGCAATCACTTTCATCAAGCTTGCCAATTTAGCGTTGGCGTTTGCTTTTCTCCCGATGTCAACGTTATCGGTGCTTGGTTTGTATCGTGTTGCAAACGCGTTCATTGGTCTCAACTCGATCGTGATCGTTGTCTGGTGCACCCGACACATTTTCATTTTTGGGAAACTGGTAATTGCATCAGCAAAAGTGGAACAAGAAAACGCTCGAGACGTCGAGGCGGCGTTTGTCATCTCGCCCTCGAGTTACCAACTGGCCGTGAAGACACAGTACGCGTATTAAGCAAACGCAACACTCGCGCTGGTCTGTTCTCGACGAAGGGCCGGAAGAAGTTGGAAGTACACATAAACCAATAAATGCGTCTACAGTAGATCTCTTTCTGTTCGACTTACACGTTTGGGATGATAACTTGTCGATAAGCTTCTCTCATTTCGTGCATCTGCTCGTCTACGACCCCATCGGTAGCGGTATTCCTGCTTTCCTTAGTCTGTGGGTCACTTGTGCAGTCCTGAGCGACTTTCTCCCACATAATCACGAAATCATTCATGCAACCGCTGGCGTCCTCTGAGGTGCCTCGCTTCAGCTGCAGATAAACTGAGCTCCAGTCATCTCAAACGGGCATTCCATCCGACGTTCACCAAAGGCTCCAAGGTACACGTCAGCCATTCGAGCCTTCATGTAATACACCGGTTGAAGTTCCGGCTTGAAATGCAAGACTCAGTCGCTGTTCAGGTAAAACAACGGCACATCGTTCTCGTTCGCTTGTTTGATGGGGAAAACCTGAGCCACATCGCCGCAAAGTGTCGAGTTCTTCTCGCCGTTTTTCGATAATCCGTACCGACAGCTGATCCGAGAAAGAATACTGAGCCTCCACCAACTCTGCGGCAGCTCCTTGTCACCGTAAGATGGAGGTGGTCCGATATCACTGAGCGACTTGAACGACCCTAGAATTGGCGTAGCGCGTTGCTTCTTCTTCTTGTTCCAAAACATGATTGGGGAATCCTGATGCCCTGTACGGAGATTCCATGAGTGGTTGTTGAGTAAATGATCACTAGGCTCAAATTTCAGCTTGGCAGGAGAAGGGTTCGGTAGTGTAGTCTTATCACGCTCAAGCGTAGAAATGGAGCGGAACGGCGCAGGATAAAAGCTCGACATGTATCGGTGCTGACAGAAAATGTTTCCAGACCCAACAGCGCGTTCGGCCATAAAGTAGATTTCGTGTGCGATGCGGTCGTTCATGAGCAACGTGCCTGTGGCTTTGTACTTCTCCGACTCCCACAAAATCGCCGGACTCACAAAGAATCCTGTGTCGGCGTCGGCCATCATGATTTCTTCGAGCTTGGAGAACACGACCGAGATGGCCTTGATATCGAACGATCGGAACTTGGAATGACACGCTTCCATGTTCTCGCAAAATACTTTCCGTTGATGCGTCTTCTTCGATAGTCGCAGCAGCATCCAACTCACAGACGTCGTAATATCTGATAGAGCCTCGTATCGACTTCTCTATAAACATCTTCTGTGATTCAATAGATACATCCCCACAGTGCGGCATTTCCACAATGATGCTTCAAGCTTGGCAATCGGTTCGTATACTGGGATGACAGCTCGAGGCTGTGACGTGTTCTGCACGTTATGATTAAGTGTTTGTGCCAGTTGCATCTTAATGGAGACCACAATGAGGCCCGGTTTTCGTGAAGCCAGGCCACGCACTGACGATCGTCATGCTACAGAACGTATCCGTGTTAGAGAAACCGGTACATGTAGGTATTTGAAATTGTAGCACCATAGATGACAAAATCCGCGCCATACAAATGAAAAAGGGGATAAAATTTCTGTCATCTACGGTCCTTTTTTTGTATTTGGTGTTGAGCACATGAAAACAATTGTGTGACTCACAACGAAATTGTAAATACTTCGTTCTCCATGTTTCTTAAGCGGGAGAGCGACGAGAGCTTGCAGCCGAAGGGCAACGAGGACTCGATCCAACTCCAGCAGATGCTCACGTCCTGCATGATCAATCGACAGATCCTGGTATTTCACCTATATTTGCAGCTTACTGTCCTGGCCTAGAAGCTAACCTGTTTAGTGCTGTCTGCGTAAATAGTGCTGCATTGCCGGTGTGTTGGTCGGTATCCCCTTCAGCATCCAGCGGAAATCCTACAAACCCTTTGCCATACTGGGCGTTCTAGGTTCGTTTCAAGTGTGAAGGAGATCTCCTATTGGCGAAGATTTAACCTGTGACTTTGCTTTTATTGTGTTGTGACAGGGTCATTCGTCGACTACTCGATCCCATACACGACTGACTGCCGCATGATCCACAATGCCCTGCAGTTGGCACTGCAGCAGGAGAGACAGCGAGACGCGGAAGCTAAGACGTCGGATAAAGAGACCTAATACTACTTGCTTATTGTGGACAGTGTGGAATTGAAGGTATTTTGCTAGCAAATACTGTCCCCCTTGTTACCACTACTGTAGACTCCTTGTCAATAGGTAGTTGGACGACCAAAGGCCAACGATGAGTGCTCTTAAAAGATGCCTATCTCTCTTCCAGCAACAATTAAGCTAGCCCCAGCACGCTCTTTTCTAATTCGGCCTTCTTCTCACGCATGATCGCTCCTACGCCTAGTACCGGTAGTGTTACAATTGTACAGTAGTGCGAAAATACCACTGCGTGCACTGGTAACGAACGACCCGAGCACAATCTTACTTTAACAAAGCATGTATAAATTAGAAAAATCCATCCACTTCCTTTCTACCAGAGCCCCGACACGAGCGCTCCCTCAATTACACCGTCGGCACAGATGTGGACACGCTCAGCCCCATCGGCGGTAGCGAGAACGTGACCGCTTTCTCCCTCAACTTCTTGCTCACTTTATTGCCAACCTTCTTCACCGCCTGTGCTCTCCCAAACAGCACCTTGGGCACTGTTGCAGCCGCTGCCGCCGCAGCCGTGGCTCTCTGTTTCTTTGGCCGCCCTCGCTCCTGCTTGATAGACTCAGGCACCGCAGTCTGCAGCACCATCTGCAAGGCTTTAAACTGCGTCTCAAAGAGCACCTCCAGCTCGTCGGGCGCCAGACCCAGCGCCTTGTGCTGAGGTTCGCCCCAATAGTTGCGTTGCCAGGCGTGGATGGCGTTACCCCAGGCCTTGCGCTCTCCCCATGTTGGAGCGCTCATCACCAGCAGCACGGGAGTACCATACACCAGAACCCTGCCGTCTCGGATCCTTGACCGCTGTAGCCTGACGGAGAAACTGTAGGGGCAACCGCGGCCGTCCACGTCCGGGATCCCTCGTACCTTGAGTCTCGAGCGTGAGAGGACGACCTCTCGGACCATCACGCCGCGGTCACGTTTGTTGTAGAACTGCAGCTTGCCTTCGCCCAGCACGCAGTAGTAGATGTGGCTGCGGCGGCCCTCGTCGTGAAGCAACAGGAAACCCTCCTTTGACATGGACCTGGGTCTGTTGAGCGCACACTCTTGAGTGAATTGAGTTGATGTAACTTTCGGGATGGGGGTGCATATTGACCTCAGGTGTAAATCGCCTGACTTGGATTAAGTAAGCAGCATCTTCGTTCTCATTCCCGCCCAATCAGCGACGACTTAGACATGCACTGACGAATGTTACGGGAGTCTGCTAATCAACGGAGCGCTACGGACGCAGCGCGAAGTTTCTTCGGAAGAAGGCTTCGTAATTACGATGATGCAAGCTTCATTATTAAATTAAGCTTCTTAACAACGAGGCTCACTGCTGGTTGTGAGATGGTAGTTCCAGTTATTCTCGTATAGCTGTAGCTAAGGAGCGGCGTTATGGGAACGAGATCGTTCATGTTAATTCTGCATGTCATGTACTTTATTTCTGGCTTGGAGAAACAGCGGCGATGGTTTCCACCTGCAAGTGCGCAATATTTTTACCTGTATCTATTCAGTGTAACAACAAGCAAGAGCACACATTCATGAACACGCATCGCCATGAGGCACCAAAAATAAACAACGCACTAATAACCAACTTTACCGCTGGTGGGATCAACAGAGGTTTTGCAATGTATATAGCTACAAAGATCTTTGTGAAGAGTCTTCTCCTCCAAGGGACGCAACCGCTTTAGGACCGTTGCGTTCAAGGGTGCCCCAATTGAGCAACACGATTGTGAAACCAAACCAAGAAGAAAAAATGGTCGACTTCTCTGTTTCTTGTCTAGCACTTAAAGAAAAAGTTTAAATTGGTGCTGGAGTTTAAGTTGTCAAATGGCAGGAAGGCGTCATGAGATCTTGTAGAAGCGTCGCTTCATGGAGTCAAGCAATAATGCGCTTCATTCTCGAACTTGCTGAGTTCTGACCACACTCGAGAAATCTTCGAACAACGAAACCTTGCTCACTTTTGACAAATCAAGCTGCTAGCCGTCATGAAGCCCTTCAGGCTTCGCAGCCTTAGCGTGGCTGCTTTTTTATTAGCAGCTGCAGATACGACTCAAGCTACTGTCAACCTGGAGGCAACTGTGGTGTACACTTCAGGCAGTGATTGCACCAGTTCGGCAGCTGGAAAACAAGTACTGGTTACGGCAGTGCCGAGTAATAATTGCGCAGCAAGCACTACGTGCACGGAGACACTGTCTAGTAGCTCCCTGTTTCCAGCTATTACTTGCCCCACTACGGATGGTACTACCTCGGGCTCTTTCATTCAAACCGATCTCCCAGCGCTCTTCGGGTCCAATCCATACGTGGTTGTTGAGTCGTACTCTTCATCAACTTGTGCTGCAGACACTGATATTACAAGCATCACAGCTTATTTGGCGGATGGCAAGTGCCACAAGACAGACACATCGAAGAGCTATCGCGCGACTCGCAAAGCCGACAAGTCGGCAATTATCAAGACATACACGGACGCGGTGTGTGGCGCGGGAGAGGTGACCACCACTGTGAGTGACACTCAGGGAACGTCCAACGCCTGTACTGCCAGCACAAAGGTGTACGGTGCCGGCACGACTCCACTGTACCTGACGTCGACGATGAACTATGATACGACAGCGAATACTTGCTCGTCTGGGGCTCCGTCGTTTGTCTCAACTGCGGTTGCTAATGTTGACACTACGTGTGCGACTACTTCTAGTTGCACAGGAGTTGCGGCTCCGTACACGGGTACCAAGTGTAGCTCTGCTTCGTCATATCTTACCGACATGGCCGCTGCATTCGGTTTGAACCCGTATGTAATCATACAGAAGTACAACACTGGAAAGACTTGCGCCGACGCTGAGCTGTCAGGTATCACGGCGTATCTGGCCGACGGCAAGTGCCATAAGACGGACGTTGCAAAGAGCTACCGCGCGGCTCGAAAGGCAGATGGTTCAGCCACCGTCCAGTCTTACACGGACGCCACATGTGGCACGCTGGGAACAACGGTCGCAGTTAACGCCGCTGACGGCGCTGCTCACACATGCGTCTCCGACTCTAAGTTTTATGGTGACAACGCGACTCCTCTGTACCTGACGTCTACGATGAATTATGATACGACAGCGAACACTTGCTCGTCTGGTGTTCCGTCGCTTGTCTCGACTGCGGTTGCTAATGTCGACACTACGTGTGCGACTACTTCTAGTTGCACGGGAGTTGCGGCTCCGTATACGGGTACCAAGTGTAGCTCTGCTTCGTCATATCTTACCGACATGACTACTGCATTCGGTTTGAACCCGTATGTAATCATACAGAAGTACAACACCGGAAAGTCTTGCGCCGACGCTGAGCTGTCAGGTATCACGGCGTATCTGGCCGACGGTAAGTGCCATAAGACGGATGCTGCAAAGAGCTACCGCGCGGCGCGAAAGGCAGATGGCTCAGCCACCGTCCTGTCTTACACGGACGCCGTATGTGGCACGCTGGGAACAACGGTCGCAATTAACGCCGCTGACGGCGCTGCTCACACATGCGTCTCCGACTCTAAGTTTTATGGTGACAACGCGACTCCTCTGTACCTGACGACTACGATGAATTATGATACGACAGCGAACACCTGCTCGTCTGGTGTTCCATCATTTGTCTCGACTGCGGTTGCCAATGTTGACACTACGTGTTCGACAACTTCTGGTTGCACGGGAGTTGCGGCTCCGTTTACAGGTACCAAGTGTAGCTCTGCTGTGTCTTATCAAAACGACATGGCAGCTGCGTTTGGTGTGAACCCGTACATTATTTTGCAAAAGTATAACACCGGAAAGGCTTGCGCAGTAGACAAGCTGTCCGGTATTACAACGTACTTGGCGGACGGCAAGTGCCACAAAACGGGTGCGACAGCGAGCTACCGTGCGACCCGGAGTGCGGACAATTCAGCGTCAATTAAAACGTACACAGACGCAGTGTGTGGTACGGGTGAGACTGTTACCGCGGTGACCGTTTCTCAGGGAACCAACAACGGATGCTACGCTGACACAAAGGTGTTTGGCGCCGGTACGACGCCGCTGTATTTGAGCTCCACGGTGAATTACGACACGACTACAAACACGTGTAAATCCGGCTTACCCTCGTTGGTGACGTCAACCGTCGTCCCTGTGGATGCGTGCTCGGCTACTACGACTTGCACTGGTCAAGCCGCACCCTACACCGGAACGTCGTGTAGCTCTACCCTAACGTACAAGGACGACATGATTGCTGCGTTCGGCGTGAATCCGTACGTGATTGTGGAGAAGTACACGGCAGGTCAGTCTTGCGCAGCAGACAAGCTGTCCGGTATCACAACGTACTTAGCGGACGGCAAGTGCCACAAATCGAGTTCGACAGCGAGCTACCGCGTGACGCGTAGCGCTGATAATTCAATTTCTATCAAAACGTACACGGACGCAGTGTGTGGTACGGGTGAGACTGTTACCGCGGTGACCGCTTCCCAGGGAACCAACAACGGATGCACCAGTGACACGAAGGTATTTGGTGCCGGTACGACGCCGCTGTATTTGAGCTCCACGATGAACTACGACACGACTACAAACACTTGTAAATCCGGCTCACCCTCGTTGGTGACGTCAACCGTCGTCCCTGTGGATGCGTGCTCGGCTACTACGACTTGCACTGGTCAAGCGGCGCCCTACACCGGAACGTCGTGTAGCTCTACCCTAACGTACAAGGATGACATGATTGCTGCGTTCGGCGTGAATCCGTACGTGATCGTGGAGAAGTACACGGCAGGACAGTCTTGCGCAGCAGACAAGCTGTCCGGTATCACAACGTACTTGGCGGACGGCAAGTGCCATAAATTGAGCTCGACTACAAGTTACCGCGCGGTCCGGAGTGCGGACAATTCGGCAGCAATTCAACCATACACGGACGCAACGTGTGGCACAGCAGGCTCACTGCTGACGGTGAGCTCAACAGACGGCACATCCAATGCCTGTGCGTCCGACACGAAGATTTATGGCGCAGGTGTGACGCCGCTGTATTTAATTTCTACGGTGAATTATGATACGAATGCGAACTCGTGCAAGCTAGGACTACCTACCTATGCGACGACAGCAGTTGGGACTTTTGCGGTATGCGTACCGTCCAGCATTTGTACAGGGCAAAGTGCTCCTTACACGGGGACATCATGTAGTTCAACGCTGACGTACAAGGATGATATGGCTGCTGCGTTCGGACCGAATCCGTACTTGATCGTGGAGAAATACACAGCCGGACAGTCCTGCGCCGCTGATAAGTTGTCGGGTATCACGGCGTACTTAGCGAACGGCAAATGCCACAAAACCAGTGCAACGACAAGCTACCGCGCGACGCGGAAGGGGGACGGTTCGGCAACAGTCAAGATTTACACAGACGCAATTTGTGGCACGGGAGAGACTGTGACGTCTGTGACAGCCCCCCAGGGAACCAACAACGCCTGCACCGCCGACTCAAAGGTGTATGGCGCCGGTAAAACCCCGTTGTATTTGACTTCCATTTCGAACTACGATGCGAATACCAGCGCATGCAAGTCGGGACTACCATCGTATGTGGCGACGACAGTTGCGGATTTCGCTGTATGCGTTGCGTCAAGCGATTGTACTAGTCAAAGTGCACCGTATACGGGGAAATCGTGCAGTTCAACACTGACATTCAAGGATGATATGGCTGGCGCGTTCGGATCGAATCCGTACGTGATCGTGGAGAAATACAACTCCGGTCAGTCGTGTGCTGCGGGCGAGCTTTCCGCTGTAACGACCTACCTGGCGGACGGCAAGTGCCACAAAACGGACTTGTCGACAAGCTACCGCGCTACACGAAAGGTGGACGGCTCGGCAATTGTTCAACTCTACTCGGACGCGATGTGTGGAGCGGCCGGATCACAGCTAACTGTGACCGCCGCCCAAGGCACCGACCATTCGTGCTTCTCTGATACGAAGGTGTATGGTGCCGGCTCAACACCATTTTTCTTAACTTCTACGGTGAGCTATGATTCGGATGCGAACACTTGCACGTCGGGGGCCCCGGCATTCGTGTCAACTGCGATCGGAAATACCGACAGCTGTATCGCTTCGGTTGCTTGCACCGGGTCAGCCGCTCCATTTACAGGAACCAGTTGTGGAACTGTGTCCTCGTACAAGGCTGACATGGCTGCTGCGTTTATCTCGAAACCATACGTGATTGTCAAGAAATACAACACCGGGAAGAAGTGCGCCGCAATGGATCTGTCTGGGATCACAACGTACTTGGCAGACGGAAGCTGCCACAAGTCTGGAGCGTCGACAAGTTACGCGGCGACGCGATCCGCGGATGGATCTGCTATCATTCAGTCATACACTGACGCCGTGTGCGGTGCAGTTGGAACGCGATTGACTGTGACCGCCGCGCAGACCGCAAACTCGTGCGCGGCCGATGGCAGTGGAATCGCTGACACGAAAGTGTATGGCAGCGGTAAAACGGAGAAGGTTTATTCGTCGACTTTTTACTTCGACACCAACACGAACAGCTGCCAGTCGGGCTTGCCGACGCAAGTTGTCACGGTGAAGGCGGATGTGGGTGGGTGCCCTGCCACGACAACCTGCACAGGACAAGCGGCGCCGTACACAGGAACCAAGTGTGGCTCAACACTGGCGTACAAGGATGATATGGCTGCTGCATTTGGTTCGAATCCGTATTTGATCGTGGAGAAGTACACAGCTGGGCAGTCTTGCGCTGTCGAGAAGCAATCTGGCATCACGACGTACCTGGCGGATGGCAAGTGCCACAAGACTGGATCGGCGACAAGTTATCGTGCCACCCGTAATACCGACAATTCAGCCACTATTACGACGTTCACGGATGCTGTGTGCACCGCAGGAGTGTCCCTACAAACAGTGAGCGCTTCGGACGGTACATCCAACGCCTGCTCGTCGGACACGAGAGTTTATGGTGGTGGCACGACACCGCTGTATCTGAGCTCAACGGTGAATTACGACACGAACCTGAATTCATGCAAATCCGGTGTACCGTCGTTCATAGCAACAAATGTGGTCGCTATTGATGTGTGTTCGGCGACAATGGAATGTACAAACCAAGCTGCGCCTTACACGGGAACGTCGTGCAGCTCAACGCTATCGTACAAGAATGATGTGGCTGCTGCATTCGGATCGAGTCCGTACGTGATTGTGGAAAAGTACAATTCCGGACAGTCTTGCGCTGTATCAGAGTTGGCTGGTATAACTACGTACTTGGCGGACGGTAAATGTCACAAAACGGACACATTGAAGAGCTACCGAGCGACACGAAAGGAGGACTTTTCGGCGTCTGTTAAAACATACACAGATGCGATATGTGGTTCAGGTGAAACAGTGACGTCTATTAGTGCTACTCAGGGAGGTACGAACGCCTGCACTGCCGACACCAAAGTGTACGGCGCCGGTGCGACACCGTTGTACTTGACCTCTACGGTGAACTACGATTCCGACTCGACCTCGTGCTCGTCTGGGGTTCCTTCGTCAGTCTCTACGGCTGTTGCTAACGTGGATACGACATGCACTACAACCAAGGTATGTACGGGCAATGCGGCGCCGTACACGTCTACAAAGTGTAGCTCCGTGTCTTCATATCAAAACGACATGGCTACAGCATTTAGTTCAAGCCCATATGTGATCGTAGAGAAGTACAACACCGGGAAGAAGTGCGCCGCAATGGATCTGTCTGGCATCACAACGTACTTGGCAGACGGAAGCTGCCACAAGTCTGGAGCGTCGACAAGTTACGCGGCGACGCGATCCGCGGATGGATCTGCTATCATTCAGTCATACACTGACGCCGTGTGCGGTGCAGCTGGAACGCGATTGACTGTGACCGCCGCGCAGACCGCAAACTCGTGCGCGGCCGATGGCGGTGGAATTGCTGACACAAAAGTGTATGGCAGCGGTAAAACAGCGAAGGTTTATTCGTCGACTTTTTACTTCGACACGAACACGAACAGCTGCCAGTCGGGCTTGCCGACGCAAGTTGTCACGGTGAAGGCGGATGTGGGTGGGTGCCTTGCCACGACAACCTGCACAGGACAAGCAGCGCCTTACACAGGAACCAAGTGTGGCTCAACACTGGCGTACAAGGATGATATGGCTGCTGCGTTTGGTTCAAATCCGTATTTGATCGTGGAGAAGTATACAGCTGGGCAGTCTTGCGCTGTCGAGAAGCTATCTGGCATCACGACGTACCTGGCGGATGGCATGTGCCACAAGACTGGTTCGGCGACTAGTTATCGCGCGACGAGGAAGGCGGATGGTTCCGCAACGATCCAGCCGTACACGGATGGGACGTGTGGCACGGCGGGAACCCTGGTGACTGTGACGGCCGCGCAGACGTCGAACTCGTGCGCTGCGGATGCGAATGGATTAGTTGACACGAAGGTATATGGAGGAGGCGCCACGCCGCTCTATTTGACGTCAACGATGAACTTCGAGACGAATGGAAACTCATGCAAGTCTGGTCTTCCGTCGCTGGTCACTTCTAGTGTCACTGTTGTGGATGCGTGTACATCGACATCGACTTGTGCCACTCAAGCTGTGCCTTTCACCGGAACGTCGTGCAGCTCTACATTGACGTACAAGGACGACATGGCTGCTGCGTTTGGCTCGAATCCGTATTTGATCGTGGAGAAGTACACAGCTGGGCAGTCCTGTGCCACCGACAAACTTTCCGGGGTCACGACATACCTGGCGGATGGAAAATGCCACAAGACGGACTCAACGACTAGTTACCGCGCGACTCGGAAGGCCGACGGCTCCGCGTCTGTCCAATCCTACACCGACACTATCTGTGGCACGACAGGATCGCTGTTTACTGTGTCTACTCAGCAGACAGCAAACTCGTGCGCATCGAACGCCAATGGTATCATTGACACTAAAGTGTACGGTGCCGGTGCTACTCCGCTATACTTGACTTCTACTACAAAGTACGAAACGAACTCGAACTCCTGCAAGTCGGGCCTGCCGTTGCTGGTCACGGCAGCTGTGGTCGGTGTGGATGCGTGTGCAGCGACATCGACGTGCACCGGTCAGTCAGCGCCATACACAGGAACGACATGCAGTTCTACCCTGACGTACAAGGATGACATGGTTGCTGCGTTCGGGTCGAACCCTTTTGTGATTGTGGAAACATATAACGCTGGACAATCTTGCGCTGCCGCGGAACTGTCCGGAATCACCACATACTTGGCAGATGGGAAGTGCCACAAGACGGATTCGGCGAAGAGCTACCGTGCGACGCGAAAGCCCGATGGATCTGCGAGCGTCCAAATTTTCACGGACGCGGTCTGTGAAGCAGCGGGTACACTGTTTACTGTAAATGGAGCTGATGGCACCGCACGATCATGCGTTTCCGACACGAAGGTGTACGGTGTTGGTGCGACTGGCATGGCTTGGTCTTCGATTGCCATTTCTGACAGCAAATCTTGCACGGCACCGACACAGATGACTTTGACCAGCCAGTTCGCTTGTGTGGACGCCGGCTGCTTTGATTTTGGAGATCGCTCAATCTCGTACTCGTGCGGCAACGACTACATTGCGGCAGCAAAGAAAACTTTTGGTAGCTCTGCTCCGTTCGTTGTCGTGGAAGTTTTCAAGGACGGAACGTCATGTGGCATAATGGAAGGCGTCATGGCATACATTGCAGACACGAAGTGCCACAAAGGCATTGACGGTGGGTCGAGTTTCTCGGTCACATTGGCCACCGACGGATCCGTGTCAATGCTTACGTACGAAGAAAGGGAGTGCAAGGACGCAACGCCTTTTACAACGTTGCTGACAAAAGAGCAGCTGTCTTCACACCAATGCGTCGGAAGTGTCAGGTACTACGCGTTCAATGTCCCCACGCCGCCAACTGTTGCCCCAGCCACTGCTGCTCCGCCAACGGCTCCAACAACAGCACCTACAACGGCACCGACGTCTGCACCAACTTCGGCTACTCCGACCGGTACCGGCTCGGCAAACACCGGTGACTCATCGGGTGCAGCACCTCTTTTCACGCTCACTGCAACAGGCTTGTGGCTGCTTGGATGGATGGCTGGTTTGCTGCTGTAAGCTGGAGTGTCACGTTGGAGTGTCACGGTGAGGCGACGAACCTCTTAACCGTAGAGTACGAAGTTTCACCAACCATTTTATTCTTCCGGCGGTCGTTCGGTGACTGCTTTAAGTAGGAAAACTTGCCTACATTCATTTGAATTACAATTTGCATTTCCTTGAATTTCTAAACTTCTATTGAATGTCGTGTTGCACACGTACAGTAGGGTGTTGCTTAAGTGCTAGCTCATGTTTGTCACCAGAAGAATAGATTTCCCAGCAACAAATCGGAAAACTGAACAGCATTAACTCATGTATTTGTTGCCTCCCGCGGATTCCTTCTGTTCACGGTCGCATAGGTTGAGTCAGGAGCGTGAGGGGTTGCCCGCTCATACCGTCACTGTAAGACTCCGACTAGCTCGTAATAATATTACAATATTAAACGCGGCGAGCAGGAACAGATTTTGTTTACAGCATACATCGCAGGTACTCTTCGTTTGCACACTGGACCCACCTATACACCAGCTCTCATACGCGAAATCGCTCGACAAGCGACGCTCCTGCTCTTGACGGATCCTTGTAGCACAGTCAAACTGGTTCAAGATCCCATGGACTAACTCGACAACCCGTGCTTCTGACCGTGTGACGGCGTCGTGGTGGTCCGCACGTCGGGTTTTCAGCTCTCCTCGCACGAGCGCCAGCGCGTTGTCGTCCGAGCGCCGAACGACTACCTGGAAATGGTCGCTTGTACATGTCTTCACGCATGTCCTGAATGTGACGATCGGTGCGTAGGCTGACCTTCTGCTCAATCAGCTGGAGAGCAACGTCCATGCGCCGCTCCATGAGTTGATGTAGCGCTGCCTGATCGGCCATTTGAGTCTCGGCTATAGCTCAAGCTTGTTCTTGAGCCCCGTGTTGTAGTTGCTGGAGGACATCTTGGACGCGCCCGTCGACGCGAAGCTCTAGTGTCGTTGGGTCACCGTAGGCCTGCTGGATGGCAAGAAAAAGGGCCTGGCACCGGACTTCTGCCTCCTCACGCGCGGCTGCGACGCGCTGCTCGATAAATCGCTGCTCCTCTTCTTCATGGAGCGACTGTCGCTGCTGGAGCTTGGCTTGATGCTCAGCGATGCTGTTCGCCTGCAGCGACACATGAGCGAGCGCCATCGCCAGCTTTTCGCCGTCGATGCGGTAGTGCTCCGGCAGCTCGATGATCGGCAGGTCATCCATTGTGGTGAAGCACTAGGGTGTTGAAGTTACGGCGTTCAGGGTCTAATCATTGGTTGCCATAAACGTTTTAACTAATTAAAATTGAATATGCTAGCCAATGAGAGGCAAAAAATTCCGGAACGAATCAGGTTCTCGCCCTTTTAACCTGTATTATACACGTTTCGTAGGAAGGGCTTATCCTGTATAATACACGGTAAATGGTGCATGCTAGTTTTCACCCTGTTTTTGTATACGGTCATACAAACGCTAAGCCAAAGAGGGATAGGTATGTGAAGCCTGATCCCCATCCTTCCTGGTGCGGTGTGCGCAGGCGGTGCATTGCACAATTTTTCATAAAATAAAAATTTAGAGGAAACTCAGCGATATGTGGTTCACGCCAAATCAATATAAGAAACTGCAGGGATTTTCAACGCCACTCATTTTGGCGCTCATTTCAGAAAACTCCGGCTCCCAGTCAGATGTCGGGTTTTCGGGCCCGGTGGAAGGAGCTACGGCAAGAAGGCTGGTCTTCCAAGCCTCCTACAGGCCTCTCAAATGACCACACCTATCTGAAGCCCGGTAAAAGCAAGACAGACGTCCGCGGAATAGACTTCTTTGTAGGGGAGAAGGAGCTGATGTCGTATTTGGATCGACTAGACCTTGGTAAGTTGTTTATTCTAATGATGTATTGAAAACTTGAGCCTAACCGTTGACGCGTGTATAGATGAGCTTGCGAGGCAAAAGGAAGATGAACGACAGACCGACGACGCCACACACGCATCCTCGAGGCAAGACGATGGAGCCACTCCACCTGATGACGCTACTACACCTCCAACAGGTATATTTTACAACGCCTGTACATTACACCGTACCTGTCTAACACTATCGTGTATTATGCAGTTAGTACAGTGCGTGAAGAGCCACTCTCAACCACCCCAGTACGACAACAGACGCACCCCAGCTCTCCAATGCAATCTCACTCCAGTGCACCGCTAATTACTACTTCGCCGCATGAAGCTGACGACGATATCGATGCTTTATTTTCGTCAAGTCCAGACAGACCCGGTACGTTTACTGTGCCATCCATACAATTCGAAGGTGTTGTAGCTAACTCTTTTCAACGTTGTATTTTTCCAGTTGTGCCAACCACTTCAAGGCGCAATCTGTATGAACTGTTTGGGTCTTCTGATGAGTCAGATGACTCTAACGACTCTCCGCAAAGCCCCACAAATGTGCAACAGTCCGCAGACGGCGATCGCGTGGACGCGGCATCGAACGCTGCGTTTTCCTGTTCGTCTTTATCTGGTAGGTTCAAACGTGTATGTACACGATATACAATTCCTTTGTATACATGATACACATACATGATAATAACAACTATCATGTATATTTTTAACAGACGATCCTAACATTGTAACGCCCGGCAATGACAAGTATGTCTTTGCAAGTCTTGATTCGGACGAGGAGGGGGGAGGATTCTCTGTGTACGACGATGATGAAGAGCTGGAGCTCGCTGAGCCTGATCCCAGCATTGAAGATGAAGATGTCGTCCCACCTGAGCTTCCATTTGATGCGTCTCTACTTGAAGCAGTAGGTGGTGTTCACGAGATTGCACGTGGCAACCTCAAGGCTGATGTTTTAGCCGACATGAAGGAGAACGGGTGGTCTCCAGTACACAATCAGACGCCTTACCCATACATGGATGAACCCTACGACATGCGTCGCGATGATTGGGCAAATATTGACTATCCGGATCTATTTCGCGGTGAAGATGGACCAACTGCTGCAGCGTTGAGCGCTGCCGAGACCCCAATTGGTGCATTTTTTTCAGTTCGTCCCGCCGTACTTACTAGAAAGAATTGCGGGTGCTAGTAACGACTACTTTATGGAGAACCTGGACGCGCGAGTGGAGAGTCTACACGCCAAGCAGCTAGATAGGAAGCTGAAAAGGCCTGATTTCCATGTCTCACCTCCGGATATCATAAAGACTAAGCTGCTGAACACGAAGGACATTTCAGGACGAGAAATTGCTATTTTTCTTGGATTACTTATTGCAAGAACCATAGCTCCCAACAAAGAGATGTTTGATAACCATTGGAAGACTACAGATGAAGGTGCTATTCCTCGTGGCTGTTTTAACGCATTTATGACTAGAGATCGCTTCTATCATATCTCGCGGAATCTCCACTTTAGCAGCAATGCTGACGCAAGAGCGCATATCGATCGAGCTTGGAAACTCCGCCCGGTGATTGACGTGCTGCAAGAAACATTTCAGGCCAGTTTCATCCCACCTCCAATAATGGCGTTTGACGAAGCGATGCTTCCGTGCACGTCTCCGTTCAACAAGATGAGAATCTTCATGAAGGACATGCCCCATCGCTGGGGCACAAAGCTTTTTATGCTGTGCTGTTCCAAGTCTGCGTACTGTATTAGGTAAGGAAAAGAGCGTGCCTTCGGGCACGCTCTTTTTTTTTTGGTTTCAAAGTTACCTTATCGTGTCTTCGGCGTGCTAAAACCTTTTGAACTATTGTGTATATTACAGGTTTGAAGTCTTTTGTGGAAAGCAACAAATGCAAGACAGTAGCACACCGAGTGATGAAAAATCGGGACCTGCCGCAGTCGTACGGAACTTACGTCAAGTCTTTGGCGTCAACGGACCAACTGAGCGACGTCTCATAGTCACCGACAGGTTTTACACCTCTGTCGTGCTGGCTATGCAGCTGCTGACCATGAACTTCTACAGTTTGGTCACAATAATGACGAACAGAAAGGGGCTGTGCAAAGCAATTCTACCAAAGAAGACTAAAAACGGCAGGAAGGAATCAAAGAAGCGACCAGCACAGATCGTCAAAGGAGCGTATGACGTAGCCACCCTCCAAAAGGTGCCATCGATCAAGGCCGTCCGTTGGTGGGATAATCAAGCGGTGTATCTGCTTGCTGCTGGAGGAAGTGCAGTACCAGACCGTATCGTGCGTAGGAATCCAGTAGCTGGAGATCAGACAGAGTTGATGTGTCCACGGATCGCTAAAGACTATCAGACTTTCATGGGCGGAGTCGACGTTCACGACCAGCTACGTCTACAACGGCAAGTATTCATATCCTGTATATACACGTTGAAGTCATCGTTTTAACGTGTATTGTACGTATTATTAGGTATTCACTGCAATTGGCTCGGCGCTACAAGAAGTACTACAAATCTCTCTTTCTGGGACTGATAGACATGGCTATCATCAATGCTTTTATCGTGCACAATTACCATCGCGCGGCAACCGGGAAGCCAAGGGTTTCCCACGTGACTTTTCTGAAGACGCTTCATCTACAGCTCTGTCAGTTGCTACCGGAAGATTGGGTGCAGCTTCTCCGCCACCGCGGGCATCACGCGACGCCAACGCGGGCACGACAAGCTCGAGCGGCGCACATGCCTGTACAGGCCGACGAGTGGCGCAAAGGAAACTCCGATAAGACGAGAAAGCGTAGGCAGCGTGCGTGCAAGGTTTGTTCGGTGCTAAAAGGCGCTGCCACGTCTCGAGGAGGGGAAACGACATTCTACTGTGCTGAATGTAAGCTGAAAACAACATCAAGACACGAGTTAGCCGCACGCGTATTCCTCTGCAACAAGGTGAAGCATTGCAGCAAAGGCGAACCTACTTCGTGCTGGGATATCTGGCATAAACACTGGAAAAATGGGACTATGATCCCTCAATCAGGACGCAAGCGCAAAATTCGAGCCCGGAAGCCCGCACGCGCTGCAAGTGACGGTGGCTCTGATGCCAGCGACTCGGAGTCGCAGTCTAGAGCTGAAATCGGAAGTGTTTCCTCTCAGGGTCGTTCGGGATGGCGGCCACACACCAACGATGACGGCATCTAGTGAGATCGTCGTCAGAGCACATGTTCCGGCTTCAAAAATGATTTGATTTGAATATATGTTTTTTTGTGCAGATCGCCATGTGGAATCCTTCTCTAAATATCGACAAAAATATGACCCGTCACTCCCCGCTAGATGTGTTTTTGTACAAATGTTGTGTTGTCTTTGTTCACTCAGGACACGATATCAGCGTTATCGCGTACAGTGCAGACATGTTAGTATACCTGATACACGATATCGAGAAATGAAGACCCTAGGGGTGGGGCGCTGTACCGACTCTGTTAAATACACGATAAAATATAGCTGGGTCTTACTATTGTAACCCACTATCCATAACGTGTATGGGGTTTCGGTAAATAGGCGCAACGAAATCCGCTCGCTTTGGGGGGGGGTTAATAGTTTGGTTTATTGATTTTTGAGAGGTCCCTTCCATGTAAAAAATAGTAGATCCGTGGTTCGGGTTCGGCTCGTCCCAAGGGTGTTCTAACCTACTCACAATGGGTTTCACTCGTTGGGTTAAACAGAGCACAATCTCGCCGTCCACTATTATGAAAGGGCTCAATCTCGCTCTGTAGTGAAAGATAAAAGGGCTAAAATGCTTAGCCCTTTCACTACGGACGAGATTGTGTCCTGTTATTATTACATCCTTTCATTAGAATCCTCTTTCGCTGGTTTCGTTCAAAGCATCCCCAACTCAATAAGTATATAAATACGTCAGTATGAAACTCACTCCTCCTACGCTGATGTATTTTTAAGTACAATTTTCTGATCGGTTGGTAAACTCCTCCTTTCACTCGTAAACTTGCGAAGACGGTCTACCTCCACGAAACAACACAACGATTTTACTATGAGTTTCGTGGCTGACATGTTCATCCCTGGATCAGGATCCGTCGTGACTGTCCTCGTCAAAATCTATGATCTGTGTAATGAGATGAAAGAAGGTCAGATCGCGTGTAAACGCCTTCACCTTCGCTTAAAGGACATCTTCGACGAATTGCAGAAAATGGAAACCAGAGGAGAGATCCCATCAAGCGACAAGGTAGCCAAGTACGTGGAGGTTGTGGCCAAATACTTGCGCTACCTTGAACAATATCGCAGCCAAAAACTGTTCAGACGGCTGATCAAGCACCAAGCCATGTCTGGACAACTAGCTCTTATTTACGAAGAGATTGACATGCTCTTTCGAATTCTCAATCTCGCGGGCACGGCAGCTATGATGGAATGGAAGCAGCAATGGGATATCGATCAACAAGCGCAGCAAGAAGTGATGTCATCGCTTGTCGTGAACAGTGTGGAGGTTTTGCGTGAACTTCAAGACACGCGGGCGCAGTTAGAGGCAATGATGATGCTCAAGTATGAAATGGAGTAGAGGTCAGACCAGTGAAACTATGCACCTCATGAAGTCTATGATGGCCACAGTCGTTCGAGCATCCAAGACGACTGTGGCAAAGCTACCGCCCTGGTTTTTCCCATCGGACGATATCGAGTTTGAAGAGGAACCATTCGCCCGTGGGTCATTTGGTAGCGTGCATCATGGTGTGTGGGGGTCTGGTACAAAATGTGGTGAAGTGTTTCCTCGTCGACGATGTGATCGTCGATGGTCGTGCTAAATAGAAAATTGAAGCGGAGATGAACCTCTGATACAGCTTTAACCACCCAAATGTCATACAGATGTTTGGAGCATCGCATGTTAGCTCGCCACCATTCATCGTTTGTGAAGACGCGACCCATGGTGACCTCAGTGCATACCTTTCCCGTCCAGTAAACAAGCTACGAATGTGGCGCTTGCTCTACGGAGCAGCGCTTGGGTTGGACTACATTCACAAAAAAAGTGGTTCACGGCGACCTTAAGCTCAATAACGTTCTTGTTGGGGCCGATGGACAGGCAAATGTCACGGTCTACGGCTGGCAGAAGGACTGGCTATTTTGGACGAGTGTTTCCGACAGTTTAGTGCACTGCAAAAGCTTGGTGCCACGTCTGACTATCCCGACTCTACTACTCAGACGGCCTCGTTCCAAGTCTGACGTGGAACCAAGGAATCCAGACAGTGGGAGGATAGTGAAGTTGAGAATGATGTCGGTCCGGATGGGGACTATTGGAGATACCTTCGTAGGTAGGAGAGCACTCTCAGTAGTGATTTTCCTTCTTTCAACAGAAGTGCTCAAGAAACAGAAACAAGAAACAAGTTAATACATTTGCTTTACTTTTACGTCTAAGTTCCTACGTCGCCGGCTTACATAAGATACACGACCCCGACGAGAGAAGGAGACCGCGACAATTTGGTGGAGAAGCAGAATATCTTCTAGCCAAGTTTCGTAGGAACGTAAAAGCGGAGAGAGCCGCTTGGAGATCCTTAGTACCGAAGCACTAAGGCGAAGGAAAAGGGAAGCGGGAACGGTATGAGCTTCCAAAATTGGAACGATCCTATCGAGGATGAGGAGCTTCGTCGCACGCGGATCCTGGCTGAAGCAGATGAGGAGCAAGTAGCTGACGCTCCGGCCACGGAAGGTGAAGGCGGCGAAGCTGAGCCAAGGACTCAAGGTGAGACAGGGGAAGCGGCTGAAGGTCAGGCGGAACGAGCTGCCGGAGGTCACGAGGAACGAGTCGACCTGGATGAAGACGAGGGCCTGTTTGGCACGTCACCTCGAGCTGAGGAGAATCGAAGGATGTTCGTGACGATGCTGGGAACGCCTCAGGGCAGGGCTAGCTTTCAAGAGTTCTTTAGGACTCTAGCTGATCGACCGACTCCTAGAGAGGAGCAGGCCCGGGCTAAGGAGACGCGTGAGACCGACACGACGAGTTCTGGAACGAGACGAGGGGTATCGTTCTCGCTGGATCCGTCACGACCGTCTCTGGATCCCGTGGAAGAAACGAGTCGCGAGGCGACCCCTGCCGCGTCGACTGAGTATTCGCGTGAGGAGGATCCTCGTAGAGGATATGAGAACGATGCTCCTGCGTCATGGTCGAACGTTCGGGGTACGGCTAATTCTCGCGCTGAGCAGCAGAGCGACGTGGAACGGTACGGTGCGCCGAGGGCGACTTCGCAAACTTATACTCCTACGGCAAGTCGTGGGACGACGTCTGCAAGCTACGGAACGGCGCCTGCTAGTCGTGGAACGACTCCTACTAGTGCTGGAACGGCTTCCGCCAGTGACGGAACGAAGTCTGTGAGTGGTGGGACGACCACTGTAGACCCGGCACTACAAGCTTTGATAGTCAACACCATCGGTCAGGCGATGCAACAGATTGCGGTGTCGAGTGGGTCCGTGGGAGCGCCACGCACTCCGCTGACGGATCAAGAACCAAGAATGGCGAATACGCCGCCGGTGTACTCGAGCGCCGAGATGGATCGACTGCTAGAGTCGCCGAGGAGTGAAATGCGTAGTCCTGGAGGTGGTAGGGCTGTGTACCAGTCGCCCACTGCGCCTAGGACGAGCAGACCTATGTCTCCTGTCTACGCGTACGATAACGTGTCCGCTCCTACGCCTAGAAAGAACGATGGGGGAGGAACGTATGGAACGTCCCGAACCAACTCGTTCCGAAATCCGTTTGCTCCGATGTTGCCGCCTGGTTGGGATCCGATTGAGATGCCTCCTATGTACCCACCTACGCCTGTGACTACACCTTCTGTGTCTGCAGAAATGAGGTCGGAGGGAGCTCCGAATTGGGGAACGAAGCCAGCGAATGTGGGATCGTTCCCGAATTACAGTGAGAATCTGGGTCTTCATGGGAACGTTGGGCTCAATCCGGAACGCTATCCGAGGACTGCGACTTTTCATCCAGATAAACCCGCTGATCGTTACGCAGAACGCGAGTCACGAGACTACTCCCGAGGTCACGTTCCTGTTGTTGGAATTCCGAACGAATTGAGGAACGCTGTCAAAGTGATCGTTCCATTTTATTCGGACACGGCCACGAGTGAGCGTGCTGCTGCGTTCTGGCGCTCGTTTGAGAAGTGCATGATGGGCATGGACGATCAAATGCGCTGGACTGCTTTTGAACAATGCTTGAAGGGCAAAAAGGGTCAAGAATGGTGGTACAATTCGAGGATCGACAGCTTCGAGCTCCTTCGTTCCGGATTTCACAACCGGTTCATCTGCTTGACTCCGACTCAATCGTGGGCCCGTCTTAAAACGGCCGCGAGGAAACGTGGCGAGTCTGTAGAAGAGTGGGGTGATCGACTTTCGACGATATGTGACGCTTTTAACATGCCTGACCCTCGTATGAGGTATGAGTTCTTCCTTGAAGGAATAAGGAACAAGCAGATGCGAGCAGTGTTGAACGGTAACATGATCGGGTCAATTGAGCAAGCCTGTCGCATCCTGTTGTTCAAGAATCTTCACTTGCCTGTTGAAGAGGACGACGAATTTCCTGAGGAAGGAGCGAAGCAATCGAGTACGAAGAATGCACCCGCGACTGACATACAAGTGCTACAAGAGTTGCAACAACTGAATCGGAACGTGCTGAAGAGTTCTGGAACGAGCCATGGGCATATAAGTGCGGTGGCTCCGCCCGTTCCAAAACCGGCTAGCGTTCCAAAAGAGAGCACTGGTGCCGAACTTGGACCGCTGAGCATTCGTATGGGTCCTGACACTCGCACTGCGGAAGGTGAAGTCGTGTGTGGTCGTTGCGAGGGTAAGGGATGCAGTCGTGAGACGTGCCCTCGTGCGAGAGGCTATTGTAATCGCTGTCACAAGTTTAGTCACTACTCTATGGAGTGTAACTTGCCCAGGAGGACGAGTGGAGGTCGATATGGAGATCGTCGTACTCAGGAGTGCGCCTTCTGTCGACAACCGAGTCATAGCGTGACAAACTGTCCAGAAGTCGAGAACCTGCGTAGCCTCTCGAGGAGCACTGTCGTGACTGAGACGTCTACCTCTTCTGGAACGTCTACACCAACTGGAACGTCCCGACCATGAAGGGGGCAGGAGGAAGGGGAAAGAAGTGTCGCTCTTTCCTCTTGCCAGGTTGGCGACACAAAGGGAGATGAAGGTTCACGATTAAGTGGAACTGGTGAACTTGAGAGGGCTCCTGGGGCTGGTGTGACTAGAGGAGTAAGCGCTCGTGACGTTCCCGTTGCGAGCGTGACGACCAAAAATGCGGATATTGGGATTGGAACGATCAGTCCAACGGAACGGACTGATTCAAGGCAAAATGAGAAGGTAGAGGTTTCTAAGGAGAGACCTGAAAGTGGAACTGTGTGCGCGGGAGGAGCAACGGAAAGCTCCACCGTAACGCTGGATTGGGAAAGTGGAACGAAGGATCGTTCCAATTGGTTACAGGACGTCGATCAAGGGACAACGGAACGTTCCGAGGATGCGTCGAAGACCAAGGAGGAGTGCAATAGGAGAACGGAGGCTGAAGTGCCGTCCAACAGTTCTACGCGGTATGAACAGGCACTCGAATCGGACACGGAGGACGCGGTTAGCGTCAGGGCAAATCAGTTTGCAGCTGTAATCGGATTGGTGAACGCAACCCAGGAAGAGGCGGGCGTTCCCACAGCTGATAATGATTTGGAACGTACTAAGAAGATGGACTCTACAAGTCAATATGATCGTTTGTTTACCGACGAGGAGCTGGATATGCTCGAACGCGGTGACGATCCGGTAGTGGAGAGTGAACCCGAGGAGTACGACAAGGAATTGGAAGAGCGACTGTTTCCCTTGGACGACGAGAAGATTCTGTCACGAGTGAAACGGAACGCTGAGAAACAGGAGAAGCCGTCACTTGCGAAAATGAGTGTACAGCTAGGAATATCGGAAGAAGTGCTGGAACGCACGAAGGAAGTCTCTTCAGGAGAGATGAGGACGCCTGAATACTGGTTGGATTGGTACGAGAATACGCTGAAGAATTCGTCGGAGGCGAAGCGTGCCAATAGGGACTTCAAGGAAGTCGATGGAACGAAGAAACCGACTTTGCCTGTAAGTTCCGTGACGAAAAGTGAGAGCGAAGAGGTGAAGTCGGAGGAAGAAGATGAAGAGCGCGAGTTCGTGCAGAACGTGTGCGTCGACCTAGAGAGAACTAAGGTTAAGGCTGCTGAACACTCTGTGGGAACGCCGCTGCCATTTAGGTGGCGTTCCGAAATTCGCAAGTGGGTGTACGAGCTTCTCAAGCAGGAGTGGAACGAGGAGAAAAATTGTCCCGTGAAAGAAACTGGTTCGATGGGACGTAACGACGCGAAGAGTGAAGTTCCTCCGCTTCGTGACAAGTCTAACAGGGACATCTTGGACGTCCATTATCTTCGTGACTACCTGGAAAGCAATGGGGGAACGATGAGTCGCTCGCTTCAACATCGGACGATGGATTGGGGACGAGAATATTTCTGGAACGAAGCCTCATCTATACGTGACAGGAAACGCGACAGGGAG